AAAGGGTCTGGAGCTTGTAAGCTGCGTAGTTTTTTTTGGGATAGTGTGGATCTTTTTGTTGGACTTTTTTTCCTCCTCGGGCTCCTGTAAAACAACCCATCCCCCCATGCCGAATCAGGCATTTCATTGTACACTTATTGTTCACTTGCTAGATGTACTGCCTCTTTATACCAAAGATACCAGCTCCGCCTAAGGGAGCAAAAATATTCGCTAGATTGCCTACTTTTGCGTATCTGGTCAAAGCCTTATGTCCGAAGACCAACCTATACCTGATATTTAGCTAGACCTTTACCTAGAATTTTCAGTCTTAGAATATCATCATCGCTCTTGAAATACGCGCCATATATGCTATTGCTCAATTCTACTGCTTCCGCACGTAGCGGATCGGCCCTTGCAGGATGGGCTCGGACACTGCGAAGGGTCTACGGGAAGTATTCGAAGCTTGACCCTAGCTAGTCTTCATCGAGTATAAGTCAAGGCTGGGCTGACAAGCGCCAGCCGACCGCCGACGATTGTCCAGTCACAGGCCACCAATTGACATGATTCCGTAATATGCATATATACGGCTACGTATGGAGCCGATAGCACACAGCTCCAAAATTTAGGATTGCAATGCACTGGAGCTCAACTGCATTCGTGTTAATTCCCTATGTGTCATTCTGCGAATCGGATGAGTCAGGGGCAGACAAATTGGACCCGTACTCACGATTGTCAGGGACGAGTGATGACTTATCCGTTCGATCCGAACTTGTAGATGGACGGCGACGAGAGATCCGTTAACAGTAAGGTAATCCAGGAATCAATTGCGGCACCCGTCGCAGGCCCTGATCACCAACGGGATCGGCACTGACCAACCTGGCAGTTGATCAAGATGTGGAATGGGATCCGTGTGGAAGGACCTTGCGTGCCCAACGGACTAAGACATTTCACACAATGTGCGCAGTGCCGATACGGTCAGAGACAACCGTTCCAGTTCATACGGCGACGGCTGCTTGATTCTGGGGAGTACAGTCAGGAGGCGTTTTCCTCGGATACTGAAATTCCGCTTGTACGCACAGGAGATTCTTTTAACATAAGCGTAGGAAAATATGGTGTTGCGACTGCGCTCGACAGGAATGACTGAACATTCCGAATATATACATACGGTGGCGGCCTGCGCATTTTTTGCAGGTCATTCCATTATCATCGGACTAATTTTCTAGTGCTTGGAAGTGGATGATGGTTTGAAGCGGCGATACGGTGAAGGGCTGGGCACGCCAGCTACAAATGCATCGGTCATCAGCTGGAGGCAAGTTTTAGCGTTCCTTCGAGAAAATCGTTCGAAGATGATCGATGAACTGCGAGGCTGGCAAATTATATTTTCCAACAACCGTGAGTAAGCACTGGTCTGTAGTTCATTGAACTTCTTTAGAGACGCTTTCGAGAACGTGGACACTCACGTATGATTTGATTTGAACAGGTGTCAATAGATTTGTCTTCCAGTCGGTGCCAACAGGAATCTAGTGCGTATTTCAAAGCATATGCGACACATATGAAGGTGACCGTTAGAACAACAGTCGTTTTTGTTCATCCACGACAACGGTAAAGTGAACGAAAATTCGACATTTTTCATAGGATAAAGCTGAAATCAGAGATAAATCAGCACTAAAAGAGCTCACGCAGAAATCTGTGGCGAGCTGATCAGTCTGATCTGCACGCAAGCCATCTCGAAAGGGCATGGCGGCGTCAGGGAAAAGAGGTCAGAATGCACGTGACTTGTTACGCGACGCGCCCATCATAAGGCATGTTCCCACACGCTTTGGCTTGCATTAGTTTCTTTCGAGTTCAGCTTGTTATTTTCACTTTGGTCGTCATTCGGGAGCCGGGACACCATCAATTCCTTCTCTCTTCCCAACCACGATCATCATCTACCAGCTGCCTTTGGTTCCCAACAAGAAAAGGTTTATATCATTAAGGAAAATATTGGACTCCGTCGTTGCAAGGGGCAACCGTGACATCCTGTTCTGGGCCACAAGACTTTCGACGTTTCTTCCATTCGTGTATAGCCTCCTTTGTTGCGAGCCTGGACAAACAAAGGTGTTTGTTCTTAACGACTCTCCTTGTTTCCTTGCTTCTTACTGTGCATTGGTTACATGGATACCAATAGCCACTATGCACAAGCACTCGCTTTCAGTTCCAACTGTACCCGCTTCTGCCCCCACCTCACCCGCTTGTACTCGTCTGAACCGATCAGAGCGGCTATTCGCAGCACCAGTGACTCCCCAACGTTTAGTCCGCCCTCAAAAGGCTTCGTATCGATCGCCAGTTACCCCCGCAAGCACCTACTCTACGCCATATACACCATTGAGCCTCCGTTCATTCTCGACTGCATCAAGTTCAACTATTACCACCCCAGGATCGGCTTCTAGCTTTAATAAACGTTATATTGCGTCTCCCTCTACCGAAAATGATGCAATTTTTGTGGACAAGAGTCTTGCGGACATAGCTGAGAATTGGCGCTCGCGTGCCAATGACAACGGTATTAAAGTCTCAAGTGCAGACGACTCTAATTATGGTGATGATGAAGGTGCGCATACATCCGTCAATTGTTGTATGTTACTCACGCAACATTATGAAATTTTGGTTGTCATTGCTGTCCTATTTCGCTCCTCCGTGGACTAAAACTGCATATATGCGCATTTAGCCAGCGATTTGACTCATTCTGATATGAATTGTACAGGTTTCGTAACCGAGGAAGGTTTGTCACTGCCATAAAATGCTCCGTTCCGACACCCACTGATAGTTTCCTATGTAGCACTTCTCCCTCCGCCGTTCTTTGCAATTCATCGGCGGTCTCAGACGATCTCCAGCACAGCATCACCTCGCACCCCGCTCTCACCATATGCTCTGAGAACCCCTGCTCGCCGCGCTCTTGGAGTGCTGAATACACCGCCACCAAAACCAACAAACGTTAGCCAGTTAAAATTCAAAGGAAGCTTGACTGATCCCGCGCACACACGACGGCGGCCTTCATTTGGGCAGGTCAGTGACTCACTTCTTCTTGCTGATCCCTATATATTGATCAGCTGATGCGGCACACCGCTTTCTATATGTAGATGTCTACCGACCTCTTCGACATCGACGAGAACACTTTTGAACCTTATCCTCAGTCATTCCCTTCAGCTGAATCTTTCTCTTTGCACGACCCATTCTTCGGTTCCGTTCTTCCAACGATTACGGAGTGTGTTCAACAGCATTTCGGGGAGTCGTTTTTCCAAGCAAATATGCAATCGAACGCCACCGTCACCTCGTCAACAGCCTGTTCTGTCTGCGGTCGTGACGGCGGTCGATTTGCAATCCTCAAGCCGTGCGAACACCCTCTATGTTCAGGATGCCTTACAAGTGCCCTCAACATCGTTGGTGAAAAAGCCATGCAATGTGCTGTTTGCAAGGAGTCCGTCGTAGATTTCCAACTTCAAAGCCGGCCATTTGATGACAGCTCCATGGTCTCATCTTCACCTCAGCATTTTAATTTCCTACCCGCTTTCACTCCACTAGACAGGAGTTCTTCTCCCTTGCAACAACGCCCTCGCAGAGCCAACAGACCTCTGTTACCCAGCTTTGAGCCCGTAGCTTTTGTGCCACCCATGGACCAACTCCCTGTCCATTTCCAACGGGATTTGTCCCCTCCCAACTTTACCCCAGCCCCTAAGCAACAAAGAGTCGACAATGTGGTCCTTCGGATTGACAATGTGCCTTGGGTGGGTCCATACTTCCGGCTTTGTGGCGTATCTGATTTGTCGCAGGATATAACTCCGCCAGCTATCATTGCCTGGCTCAAGCAGCCTGTCGTCCGAGTGCATGTTCTATTGGATTCACGTGGTAAAACTCTCAGCCATGCATTTGTTGAGCTTGGCACGGAGGAGTATGCGAGGGCTGCTTTACGTGGCGTGCAAAACTCTGTCCTCGGCAAAGGCAAGCGTGCGCGGGGGGTCACCGTCACTCGCAGCTCGCAGGAAGAGCTGATGCGTTCTGTACGACGTTCGTGATCTAAAGCCTCCATAAATCTGACAACATTTGGTAGCTGTTCCCGGCATGGAAAGGCGGTTTCGAGGGCTCTAGATTATCTTTCACTGGCTTGAGGAATGATCAAGCTAGGGGGGCGCTCGAGATGGGCATCATCACCGACGCGGAACTCAAGGCCTTGTTGCACCTTGTGCAGTCACCTGGCGTATGTTATTATGGTTTCGCTTGTTATGTTGTTCGCTGAGGCTTTTTAATAGTCGCATTTCCTGAAAGTTCCTTCTCTTCCCTTCCATTTCCTCATCAGCATCCTATCCAAGTTCCCGGTGGACGTTGATGGTCGAGTATTCTGCACCAACAACCTTCGAGATAACTTGTTCAGTACGTGTTCTCCATCCCAACGATGCCTGAAGCAGTATTTTAACGTCATTTTCATACAGATCTGACTTATTGTGAGTTCCTCATATAACTTGTCCAGCTGTGGCCTAATATCCCGTAGCGGCGTTGGGTCTTCTCATGACAGGGGTGGGGAATGCGATAACGGAAGGAATTCATTTGTTGGATGAACTTCTTCAAGCTGCGGTGACTTGTCAAGGTATTGTTTTGCTGATATTTTTGGAATTAATGCTAAGCGCCATCATCCGCAGCCTTTGCGCCACAACAAGCCCAGATGCTTTCCAGCCTAGTGAGGCCTTCTATTCCGCCGTTTGTTCCCGCTTTCCAACTGCCGAGCGGGCACTTCCGCACTGACAGCGGCGTCTTCATCCGTGATAACGATCTCCCTGTCCCTAGTCCCTACGCCACTCTCTCCGCTCCTAGCCCTCACGGTACTGTTCCTGCTCTCAGCCCATACAACGACATTGCCCGTGAGTTTGGCGTTGATGAAGATTTGATTCAAAAACTGGCTCAGAGGCTGAACGTTCTGCGGTGATACCCGGATGCCTGCTTCTTCATTGCACCACGACCCACTTGTTCCGGACCTTACTCCTAAGCATGACGTGACTTCATGATTATTTTCTTGTTCCCTCAACGTCTTCCCCTGTTTCTTGATGATCGCTAGTCGACTTCATATTCCTCGGGTTTTCGGTGTATCCTCGATCTTGCCCCCTCTCTCATGTCTAGTTACCACACTCGCTATGGAATCCTGCATTGCTCTCTCTCCCTGCAATCTCTCGGTCTTTTTTGCCCTGTATTGCTTACTTGACGACTATCCCAGCACTGCTTTGTATCGTAGTCTCATGCTGGTAGAGCTACCATTATCAGATATCTGCATATTATCCTTGGCGGTGTCATGAACTATAACGTGACCTCGTTATCTTACGTGACAACCGCGGCTCCCTATCAGTCCAAACATTGACAAACCCCGTTTGGGCCGCGGCCCAGTAGTTTTTTGACCCTGCCTAGAACTTACCAACCTTGATCATGACAATCAGAAAACTAGTACTGTTGCAATGTTAGCGTCAGTATACATACCTTGTCTGTTCCCCACCAGCGACTCTCACGAGGACTTTAATCCCTCATCAGAACTGACGAACGAAAATACCTCTGCCTTGTGGTGCAAAGCGCTCTTATCGAGACACAAATATCTCTGCACATATATATGCAAGTGTCCACAGTATATACCTGTTCAGAGATAGGCTGTCTCAGATACCATCATCACTAGCCCTTATGACCATTTCTCCCATACAGTGGTTGAAGCTCTCGACATGGGAGCTTGAACTCGAGAATACAGCGTTTGCGACAGATAATAGATGGAGCAATCATGATATGGACCCTACGCCTCTTCACTTGCGAACGTGGAGGTATGCGTCATCCCTTGCTGTGATTTCCCAATACATCTGACTGGTCTTTTTTGAACTAAGTTCATGGAGTTATGTTCGTGACACAGGCCAGTTGCTAGACAGTTCAAATTAATACCAATGTTTTCTAGGTGTCATATTGGTTTTCCGATGCCAGTAATATCGCTGTCTGGGAGGCGAGTTCAAAAAAGATGCGCCGACTTGGTTGCGACTGATGTCAGACAGGTCGCGAGCTCGATGTTAGCTATTGGTCTTTCCTGGTGAGTTTTCACCTATTATATTTCGAGCAGGATTGACAACCTGAACACAGGAGACAGGCCTTGCCTGCCATTGTTGTTGCGTACTGTATAACGGCTGTTCCGATACTTCTCACCGGGACTATCGGTACCCGCCTGAGGGTTCCATTCTCGGTCCTCAGCAGGTCGTCCTTCGGATTTTGGTTCAGCTACTTCCCTGTTATTACGCGAGGAATAATTGCCATGTCTTGGTTTGGAATTCAGGTAGGGTATTGTAAATCCATGCGTGGTGCTCTCTCTAGTTTTGCTAACAAAACATGAACAGACATACAACGGTTCTGAATGTATCTATCAGGTACATTAATTGCTGTAGAAGATTGACGTATTTTAACACTATGATCTTTCAGATGCTGAAGGCTATATGGCCGTCTATCGCCCATGTCCCGAATCACATACCGGCCTCGTCAAACACCACCAGCGTCGGCAAGTGCTCATTGCTCGAGCGCGCGTACTTTGTTGATCAGAATCGTTGTGGTCAGGCATGATGTGTTACGTTCTTTACTGGCTCCTCCAATTTCCATTCATGCTGCTGTCTCCTCAGAAAATACGTTACCTCTTCATGGTCAAGGGCGTGATCGTCCCATTTGCCTGGCTTGCTATGGTCATTTGGGCGTTCATAAAGGTTCCTCCTTCAGTCGGACTATTTGCTCAGCACGCTACAGTGCAAGGCTCTGACCTCTCCTGGGCTTGGCTGACGGCACTCAATAGTGCGCTGAGTCTTTATTGTGGCTATGCGGTCAATATAGCGGATTTTACGGTTTGTAACTACACCACGTCGTTCAATACATTGTGTTGACCTTCGAACAGCGGTATGCCACACATGAGAGAGCGTCAGTTCTTTTCGGTTGGGGTGCATGAATCATTCCTGACCCGAATCAAACAACAGACAATATTCACAGGCTATCATTATTCCAGTAGCATTCACGCTTTGTTCGTTCGCTGGACTGGCTGTGACGAGTGCAGGAATTGTCCTTTATGGTTCGGCACTGTGGGATCCCCTACAGCTGATTGACCAATGGGACAATCGAGCAGCGGCGTTCTTTGCCTCGTTCGCGTTTCTGCTGACGACCATCGGGACCAATATTAGCGCTAATGCCCTTGTGGCTGCCAATGACCTCACAGTCTGCCTTCCGAAATACATCAACATAAGACGTGGTCAAGTGATATGTGCATTGATTGGTGGATGGGCGTTCTGTCCTTGGGAAGTTCTGGCAAAGTTTGTTGACTCGACATATCGTCCTCTTATTTTGTTCATTTATCTGTAGAGCATCTGGTTTTCTGTCATTCCTGAGTGGCTACACCATTTTCATTGGACCATTCGTTGGAATTATGATCTCCGATGTAAGTAAATCAATCGTGATCGGGGGCGCACACTGAAGTTCTGTTAGTACTGGCTAATCCATCGGGGTCGAATTGACGTCCCAGCGATGTACCAAGCTTATGGTCGATACCGCTATACATTTGGAGTGGCGAGTTCATTTCACTGGCTAGCCCGGATTGTGCAGGTGGCTGAGGCTTGTTGACAGAACTGGCGTGCTTTGGCAACACTCGTGATTTGCATCGCACCAGCTATGCCTGGGCTCGTTCACTCCATCAACCCGTCCATTAACGTTGGAGGTATCCATAATTTATTTTCCATTGGGTGGATATTTGGAGTGCGTGCACTATCTACATTCACCCGCGCGACTCACTGTTACTTCCCCCCTTTCTTCATAGTTCTGGTCAGCATTCGTCGTTTATTCCGTCCTCTCGATGCTGTTCCCGGCTCGAGGAACATATGTAGAGAAGGCTGTATTGCCCGATGATGTGATACCGCCATCGGCCTCTTGTGATTCTACGGACGAAGATGTGGAGAAATTAGACAAGGGTAACGTGACTCCTGAGACTGTATCGGGGCTCCATGGCTTCCACAAATAGAAGAGAATTTTTCGGGCATCATTTGTTTTCACACGTCGAAATGGTATTCATACTATTGCCACACATCAGGTTCGCGTACCGAAGTTCCCAGTGACGGAAAGAATGCGGGGAAGGGCAGTAGCTACCAATGCACCAATGGCACAACCAATCGCTAAAGTCGCGCCGGTACCCAGGACGCCCGCATCCCTGGAAGACAAACGGTGCAACTTCGGTCTTGGACCTTTGTCAAAAACGCTGGAGCACGTTGCTTTGGACTCAGGTGCTGTAAGCAGACCGGGAAGACCATCCACGCTTGAGAGGTTCTGTCGCATCCAATATGCTCTAAGGCCCTTCGGATTAATCTCTGTGGAGACAGTAGCGCGGTCATGTGACTCTTTTATGTCGAACGATCGGAGGAGTTGAGTGCGGTGCGTAACAAAGTCATAGATCGGAACAGCATATCCACACGACTAGGGGAAAGATTAGAACCCAACTTCGGAAATAGGTTAGATCGGAGATACTACCGTTAGACACTGGTATACATCGATGACGATAGCCGCACGAGACCCCGGTTTACGAGTCTCAGGAGGAATAAGAGATTCATACTCTTGCGTGCCATATTCGTATACAGTCCCTGCACTGGTTGTTAGAATGTGAGTGATACAAGGGAAGTAATGTTATCATGTACCTGTCCCATACAACCTCAAGATCCTAGGAGGTCCCTCGAAGGAGTGAAACAGAATCGTTATGCGACCATTCTCCCTGATATGAGATATAGTCTCCACACCTTTAACCCAACAGTTGGATTAGATGAAAATCAATCAACAATGAAACACTCACCACTTCCAGTCAAATCCTCGTACCAAACTCGGTGAGAGTTCACCACATGGAAGCATTCCGCTGTACCCTTGGGGGAGACATTGACGTGTCCACCAGGACCAAGAGGAGCTGAAGCAACCCAGAACATGTGCTGTTTCCTAACCCATTCAATGAGAGATTCAGGTATTTCATCATAGTACTTGGCCATGGGAATTATCTGGCTAGCTTGGTGCCAGTCGACCGAAGTATAAGTAGTGCGCTGGTTAGGTCCGATCGGTGTTTAAGAAGACTTAATTATAACCTCTCAAGTATAACACTATCTGGTCATGGGGTGAGTCAATTTCAACCGTGCCGTTGAGTATTACATCAAATAGAAGGAATTATTACCATTCTTTTAGAAGATCGGACTAGAGGAGAGTGGGGAGAGCCAATCAGTCGCTGACTAGTGTTCCAGTAAAACAAATGCGACAAACCACTTTTCACCTTGAGTCTACCATCTCGCAATAGAAAAAGGTGCATAACTAGACTAGACAAGACACGGTTCAATAATGTCAAAGGTACACAAGGCCAGTTGTGTCAACACAGCAAATGAAGCAGAATAACGAGTACACATACGAAAGGTGAAGAGCACTGTGCATATGGGCACGTATTAAGCTTGGGTGGTGAACATATCAAACTTTCTGGTAACAGATAGGATGTAAGGAATGGCAGTAGCGACCAAGGCACCAAGGGCAAAACCAATGGCTACATTTGCACCGCTGCTCTGGGAGCTTCCCTCTCTCGAAGATGAGTATCGCAACTTTGGTCTTTGACTTTCCTTGTTAAAATTATTGACAGGCGTCACTTTGGAATCAGGTGCTACGAGCAGACCAGGCAGACCATCAATGCTTCTCAAGTTATTTCGTGCCCAACGTGCTTTGATACCCTTCTTATCGGTCTCTGAGGAGGATACGGTGCTTGAAACACAGTTGCGTGACTCGTCCATATCGGCCATTCGGAGGAGTTGGGTGCGATGTGTAACGAAATCATAGATTGGAACAGCGAATCCACATGTCTTGATGGAACTGTTAGATCAAAAGACACCTGAGTAGATAAAAGATAGGCTACCGTTTGACACTGGTACACATCGATGACGATAGCTGCACGGGAGCCCGGCTTCCGAGTCTCAGGAGAAATAAGATATTCGTACTCTTCTGTACCAAATTCGTATACAGTTCCTACACTCAGATGTTAGAATGTAATTGAAGTAAAGCAAACGACCCTCGGCTTGTGAGCACCTGTTCCGAACAATCTCAAAATCCTGGGAGGTCCTTCGAAGGCACTGAACAGGATCGTTACGCGACCATTCTCCCTGATATGAGATATCGTTTCCACTCCTTACTCGCACAGTTCTGAGTTAACTAGCGCAAAAATAGATCTGTGATACTCACCGCTTCCGGTCAAATCCTGATACCAAACTCGACGAGAGTTCACGACATGAAAACTATCCGCTGTGCCCTTGGGGGAGAGATTTATATGTCCGTCAGGGCTCAGGGGAGCCGAAGCTACCCAAAACATGTGCTGTTTCTTGATCCATTCGATGAGAGATTCGGGTATTTCATCATAGAATTTAGCCATGAATAGGATCGTGCAACTAACTTGGTGCCACGACTTGCGGTGGTAGAGGCTTGAACGTAACGATACCGTTGTTTGCAGCTGTGTGCGATTCTGATGAGATCATGAAATTTTGGTGGCACGTATGGCGAAACAGGAAATCCCCTTCGGACGAAGTTTGACGCCAGCAGATATCAAAAACAGCGAAGTTTGACCTCACTTCATCGCCTGTACGGTAACATGTTTCAACAAATAAGCAGAGACCTGAAAGAATGTGTACTTACACTCTGGGATCACGGTTGGGAACTTATCGAAGATCTCTGAAGCGTTCGGTGTTTCTCGGGCCAGCTGCTTTCACTGGTGAAACATATTTGAAGAACTCGGTGCTGTTGCTAGGCCTCTCATCACTGAAATTCGCTGTCTCCACTTGTCGACCGCACAACGCGAGCACTCGTCGAAGTGAATCAGTGAGTTTAAGACTTATATGTGTGAAGTTCTCACGGTCACGAACTCCCTTGTTCAGGCAGATCACCCTAGTACTAATACTACTTAGTGGTTCAACGGACTCGTCGACAGTTCGTCAAACGTGGCGGGCAGGGCCTCAGACAGGACGTACAAGCCTTTTAGTGCGTAAAGTTCGCCTACCATCGTAAAATTACCTTGCCTGTTTCTACTTCACGACTTTCCTGAAGATTCAGAACTTGTTGCGGTCCTTCTACAGCAAAATCATGAGCTCAGAGGGTGTATTACAGATTACAATACCAGGTTAGAAACCATGCATCTACTCCGCGAAAGGCTTTTAATCATGAATTGTTCAGACTTTGATGATGGTGACTTTCAATCTACTCCCATACCCTTCGGCAGGTCTGGAGGACATGGCTTTGGTGCATTCGGAAATGCAGGTTCAGGCCCAGATTCACCAACTACCATGACACCCATTGCACTTCCTGAACGTAGTGACCGAAGCTACTTTCATAGTCGTAACGATTCTGCGGCATCAGAGGATTCTTTCAGTTCACAACCTGTTCGTCAGACTGGCAAGAGCTCACATACGACCCAACCTTCCATAACTGCAAGCTCTCCGTTTTCCAAAAAGCCATCGTTTGCATCCATCAGAAACGCATTCAAGAAGAACACCGATGTACCGCCATTACCTCCACTAGACTACCAAGCATATCCCATTCTCAAGAATCCTTTTAACCGCTCGACTTCGTCCTTGCCTCATTCCACCTTGACATCTAATAAGACATTCAATGCTACAAGTCCACCGCATCCTCGCCCTCCGACACCTGGATCTAGCGAATCACGTCCCCGCGCACCATCAAGGGCAAGAGGGCATTCCACTGCAAGATCTTATCATTCTCAATCCGGGTCTATATTCCACAACTTGGACACAGGGAGTGATCATGGTCACGGCTTTTCTTCCTCCTCATCTCCTCCTCCTGTTCCCCGTGTGCCCGATACATTTGGTGCTCAGATGTTCAGTGGTGATGGGCCCTCGATAATGGAGGAAGATGATAAAATGTCATCGGGTCTTAAGACGCCATCCGATTATGCTCTGCATGCAGTTTTTATTCGGTTTGCTACTCTTGCGGAGGCAAAGATGAATGTATTCCTTCGTGAAACGCTGGTATTTACTTTCTTTTCGGATTGTTCGGGTACATGTCATTTACGCGCCTTTAGGATCACGAACCTTTATTGTCGGACTTCATAGGTCCCTCGCTGGATCCCAAGTTCGATGACCTGCTGAGCTCTTTGGGAAAGATAGCTCAGAAACATCCAAGACCCGTCATAGACTCAATTATGCGCTGGAGACGCAGTCATAATGAAAATGTCAGCGCCGACATCCTTAAACATCATGCTAGCCAATCGCCTTTATGGATACGTGGTGCGAGAGTCCAAGAACCGTCTGCCTTACTGAATGAACGAAAGTCGCTGGCATCAATATATATCATGTGTCGCGCTCTGATTTCCGTTTTGTCCGTTTTGTCCAAAGACGCACTGGGTGATACACTGGGATTTACCTTGGAGGAAACAACGTTCGAGCAGTTCAAGAGACCGGATTTGAAGCTCCTTGCACAGTCAGCTAATCATCGGCTGAATGCTGAACTGTATGCTACGCTGCTAGGACACTTGGCAAACGTTCGGTGAGCATGGCATCTTTACTGCGCCAACATCCAAACTAATTTTCCGCCAGTTTTGTCAGTGTCACGGATCGATTTCTTGGCGAGCTCGAACCTGTGGCCAACGGTCAGGTGGCGAAAGACCTTGATACGAAGTATGAGCATCTAGTAAAAGGGCTCCGTCATGTTCAGCTGAGAGTGAGAACCATGTTATTCGCTGTCTTTTTGTGTTTATGTGTCAGCTAGGTATGGCCTCCGGAGGCATTCGAGGAAGGGGCCGAGTTTCTGGAGTTATTGGCCAAGTCTTTTGCAAATGCGCATGGTCTTCGGTTCAAGATCGCTTTCGCCGATACGTTGACTCGACTCTTGCACCCCATTGGAAAGGTAATTCCTATTCCCTGGCTGGTACTGATATAGGCTAACATGACCTCAAGACGGCGCAGGCTGAAGTCAATCATCCACAATGGGAAAAGGCGATCGAAAGGATCTATCCTCGGGCTAAGGAGATGATGAGTAAGCCGCGGTATTGGCATATCGCTTACCCGTTGGCCGTCACCAGCCTTTGTGTTGCGCCTCACCAATACTTTCTCCGCAACTGGACGGCTTGCTTTGAGTACGGACTGTCGAAGATGAAGGTTCGGATTCGATGAGTTAGACGCTTTCCTTGCTGACTCCTGATATAGGAAAAGATCCATCGGATTCCTGTTTTGAATGGAATCGTTCGATTGATCTGGACATACCTGTATCGATGCCAGGAGCCATTAACAACGAGCACTACCAAGTTGGACTCCCTCCTCAAACATATATTCCCTGCTGGACGGTCCTCAATTTTCCATCACGAGGAACATCTTGAGCCGTTCATCTGCATCGTGCATTTTATCTTGTCACGTTATTTCGACTATGGGTTGGGACTCTGCATGGATTTACTTCAGGAAGCCGTCGTGAATTCCTCATCCACAAGTAATCTCGTGGGTATTTTGACTCCTGAACGTGTCGCTGTATCGGCCCAGGCTATCCTCTTAACCTTGAATGCCTTTGAACGTGAGGAGTCAGCTCCTACATGGCCATCTAGTGTCGATTTTACTGCTGTACCATCTTGGGATGATTATCCTTCATCTTCTGACGCTCTTCCGGCTGCAGTGGTATCCAGGCATGGAGTTCAAGAGCTGCTTGACAGATATGGAGCTGTAATCACCGCAATCGCGCGGTCAGCGAGTCAGTCTGTCGGTCAAATGTCTATCTTTGATGAACAGTGGTCGCTGTCGCGGTTCAACTCTATCAATGAAGAGTCCCACAACATCATCATTTGTCGTCGTCCCGAAGGGTCCTTTGCCTACCCCAATCATCTTGCGTCGCAGATATCTATGCTACAGACATGTCTGCAATCGTGGCCGCGCTGTTTGCACGCCTCTTTACCCCTCATGGACGCTATCAATATACTCATCCGCAGTATTATACATGTTGAGCCTCGGATCGGAGAAGCGGCAGGAGCGGCGCTGAGGCGCTTTATGGCTGACGGGCGGTATGCGCCTGCAGTTTTGCGCCACTTTACGACCTTCCTATTTGATCCTGCCTATGTTGGGCGGGAGGGAACCGGTGCACGGCTTGTGCTCGAGAGTACTCGACTTCTAAACTTCTGGATTAGCTTGGTGGAAGGTTGGGTCAAAGGTATTCTGCAGAAACCCAAAGCGGACATCACAGCTGGTGAGAGGGAGGCCGTTGCCCTTCAAGGGGACGGGATCACTGCAGGAGCATTGTTTCTGTTGTCGCATGAAGCTTCTACCGTCCGTTGTGTAGGGGTTAAGCTCATCCGCATACTCGCACCATTCGTTGCTCATATAGATGTGGTCGAGGGTGCCCATGCGGGTTCCTCGATCCTTCTGAACGGGCTCCTCGATTGTGATGCTCGTGAGAATGCTCATTTCCAGGGCTTTGACGAGTTGTTAGACAGTTCGGAGCTGGACCGCTTGCAACAGTGGAGGCGGGCTGGGCGGAAGGATGTACTACTGAGGATCGCCGATAGCAACTATGACAAGGACAAGAAAATATGGCGTTGTGTTTTCCCGAGCTTCATCCAAGCCTCGTCCCAGCAACCGCTGAAAGTTGTGGTGGACTGCCGTGCCATGATCGAGGCTGCAGCATCTCGCTATCATCCTTCAATGTTGCACCTTGCTGGACTCTCGACTCTCAGCGGACGATTGCCGTCCGGCGCTTCTAGAGCGCCAGGCTCTGCTGATAAAGAGGGGTACAAGCAAGTCAAAGACAACATGAACTTGATCGATCAATGGTATTTGTGGGTCAAAATTTTGTGTGCTACGGCCACTGTATGTGATAGCCGTGGTGGTGCTCCCATCCAAGCCGGTCGAGAACATCCACGAGCTTCTTCGGACACTATCTTCGAGCGCGAGCGAATGTCAACTACACGCTGCCTCTTCAGGTACCTGACACCATTCTTAGATGTGGAATATGCCCCATTCCGTGATGCAGCTGTAATCAGCATCAGTTCTTTTCCTTCCAGTGGGTTCTCACATCTTTTGGAGGATTTGAATCACTTTACTTTCCTACAATCCCATGATGACGTTCGGTCGAAATCTGGATCTCCTGGGTCAATTGGACGTCCACGACGTCAGGCTCGTCTACATTCGGCTGTTGCTCGTATTTACTTCCTCACCGCTCATCAGCTGCAGCATCAACAATATTCTGCAAAGCAGGACGCAATTTCATATGCGCTCAGATTCATTCGGAATATGCAAACTTTCCTCATTGCCATAGAAAATCGTGACAACTACGCGCTCCAGCGCCTACGCCGCTATTTCTGCGGTTTGATCGAACGGTTCTTCGACAGTCTGGCGAATCTCGCTGACTCGGAACAATTCGTTTCATCGCACACGTATGCGACTCTTTACAGGCTTTGTGAAGAATGGTGCCAGTATGGTGTTCAGTCCGAATCAGCGAAGCAGCGATACATCCTCATGCAAAGAGCTGCGGCTGCGGCTGTGAATGACCCACAAGCCGAATCAGACTCTGCTGAACGGTTTCAACACGAGACTAAACTGCTCTCTAATGCAGCTGTGGGCGCCCTTGCTTCCCTTTGCGTAAGCAAAGCACTTCATTCGTCATTCTTCACAACTAACATAGTAGTAGCAAAGGGCATACTACCATTCTGAATCCAATGGTTCCTCATCACCTCCGGATCGCCCTCAGGAACCTCCAAAACCTCTAGAAGCTGTACAGATCTTGGACCGTTTTCATCATGTCTTTCAATCTTCTTACCCTCAGGTCGTGATATGTGGAAGGTACTTCTTCATCCTTTGCATATGAATCATCTACTGATTTCTCTGTAGAAAAGCCCTTCGTTCCCTCATCTCCTCCAGAAAAGCGGATAAAACGTTGCTCGGCGAGGTCCTTCGACGCTCCTTCATCGATTCCAATGACTCATCGTCCAGCAGCTCCACCTTCTTCGAGGTTCTGTCTGAGGTCGCGTGCAACGTGGATGTCGGCTCGTACACTTTCGCCCAAATCATATGCTTGGGCTTGACCAACCTCTGTCACGCTGATTCTGGAATTCGACGGAAGTCTCTTACGCTTCTCGAAGTCATGCATGAGCATTCCTCTGGCGTCCTGTCTTTTGGCGAATTTGAAGCTATAGTTGCCAATCCTTCAAGCAGCGTATATCTGCATGTACATCGACTAGTCACCGAACGTCTCTCCGGCGAACACCCCAATCACGCTGATGATGTGGTTTCGGAGATGAGTACCTTACTGATGCGCATGCCTCGTAGTGGAAATGAGAGGGTTGCCCTTCTGCTGCTGCAGAGCCTCGAATCTTGGGTCCCAAATATACAACTCACGCTTGACTCCGACAGCGAAGCGCGTTTACATCCATCTTCAGCCAGCAGCCGCATCCTGTATCATCTCCTCACCCTCACAAAGCGATACAGCGAGAGTCACTTTGAACAAGTTGCTGCAATATGGACGCGATTCGCAGACCACCCCAACGAAACCTACGGAGCAGCCACCGTAACTTTCCTCATCAATCAAGCTCTCAAGGTAGCTACCTGCGCATTCATCGATTGCGCCTCCACCATCATAGCATGTCTTTCGCGTTCTGCTGCGGCGCTGCAAGTTTACGAGCTTCTTTGCTACTACTGCGAGCCAGAACGCATGGTGCCCTCCCTTGATCACCAGCTGAATGAGCCTCCCAGCGCCGAAGATTTTGAACTGTGGTCTGATTTGAATGCTCAGTTCGCGGAAGAGCAGCCAAAGATACTACTGGGACCGGCGCAGTATGCGCTGATCTTACTGGGGTCTGCTGCAATGGAAGGACAGTGGACGCATGTCACCTCTATACCGGTCATTCTGCAAGCAATCTTTCCTAATCTCGACCATCGTGTCCCTCTTATGAGGATCAGGGCGCGTGGGATGCTCTTCCAGCTTTTGCGTGTTTGTATTCCAGGTCTTGCACAGTCCAATTGCTCTGCGTTAGTAGCGCAAATCAGCGCCTTGGAGGATCAGGGAGATTCTATATTTTGGAAGGATGATGACGACAGCGATATCGTGGAAACTCGAATGAGTGCGCTCTTCTCTCAGGTGCTTCCTATGCTGCAGCCTCTTGTTCCTGCCCTGGAACAGACTGTAGGCAGACTGGCACTGGCCTACGTGGAGCTTTGCAACATGCGGAGTCTCGCGCTTCGTTCTTTACAGGTGCTCCGCGTATTGAATCTGCCTTTGAGTCATGCCGCGCTGGATCAGTTGCTGAGTCGTTTATCTGTTTCCATAGCAGACATGGATCCAGAAAGACAGGCTTTTTCGGCGGAAGTCATTCGCACCATCACCCATATGGTTACACTACACGAGCTCGACGATACGCTACTTCCTCGTCTTTTTTGGACCGCACATGCAGTAATGTCAACCAGCTCAGAAACTGAATACATACAAGCCATCAAACTGTTGTCTGCATTCCTCGATCAGATTGACTTAGATGACCCCCATATCGTTGCCCTCATCGTTGCCCAGCGCCCTCGAGATTGGAATGGGTCCATCGGATTGCAGCAAGCTCTTTGGAGCGGGCTGCGTTCTGCCACGACTCTGGACGACACCTTCACAGTCCTTGGGAGACTGGCCAAACTGAAGTGCGCCAAATCGTTAGACTCCTCCCAAACCTGGCTTCGAGACCTCTTTACTCTGTCCCTACCTTGGTGCATGCACGCCATGTGCACTGACCAGCATGACGATGCTCTAAACGACTTCTGTTCTTCAATCGCGGACCTAGCTGATGAAGATGGTCTGGAGAGCATCAATCGGATCATGGTCTCCTTTGTCAAGCGTCGGTTCAGGACCAAAGATGACTTCCTTCGTCAGTCCATCAGCAGTCTACGCGACCACTACCCTCCCGACGACTGGACCGACATCGCTACTCTATTGTTGAGCTTGGTGCTCAACAAAGAGAGATGGCTCCAAGTGTACTCAATGCACGTGCTTAAAGTCCTATTCCAGCAACGCGCTTTGCAGTCGTTGGGCACGGAGCATCTTATGCCCTTATTGCGGTTGGTGGAAGGAGAGTTGGCGACGCAAGCTCTTGATGTATTGGAGGAGCCGACGAAGATCACTGGAGGACTCACAGCCAAACAGGTCCTTCGCATGAGCATGCACGTCTCAACGCTTACCGGTGCGGGTGCGAGTGAGGGCAAGACAGATATCTTCGGTGTTCCGGAAGACTCTGGTTGGTGCATTGCACGCGTATCGCATCGACAAACCCAATGTCGCGCCAACGTCCTTGCGGTTGCACTTATGTTTACGACATCATCACGCATATCTACGGTGTACTTCCAGCCAGAGGTGCAAGAGCCCCTGTTTGCTGATGAGCTCGATGAAGACTTGGGAGTCCTGGTTCAGGACCTGCACGAGCTCAGCGAGTTCTTCCAGAAGACGAAGCCTCAGACGCAACTCCTACCGAGTCAGCAGCTGGAAGATAGAGTCGCCTCCATTCTAGCTAGATCTACAAATGACACCAACGACATGCCTCAGACTCCATTCGGAGACGTATTCCAGATCAGTGGATCACGCGACCTCTCGGACGACTCCACGGACGAGTCTGATCCTGAGTCTGAGGTGGACGCATTCAAGTACGACTCTCCAGCGTTTTATCATTCCGCTCCCAATGGCAAGGGCTTGTATTAATTTATCTTTACCACGCTTTCCTTGTTATCGATGCATTATAGAACCATTGTAGTCTACATACATTATGGCAGCTCTAGAGTCATGCGCTAGCATTCATGGATAGAAATTGCAGTATGATATGAAGTCTAACAACGTTCGAAGACGCGATAAAGATCTGGTAAGCCCTGCACGACGTCATTGTCCAACAGGAACTTGGGAACCGCTAGGTGAGGCGGGACTGGGGAGTAGAAGTACGCTAGCTCGCGCGGACCAAAGCATTCTTGCTCGGATTCCTAGAGGACCTAGAACGACTTTGTATCTGTGGAATGACAATATGGTGTAGGAATGTGAGTATATGAGTGTACATGTACCTGACACTGGAATACTCGCGACTGGCGAGATTCTGCTGAATGACATCCGATATTCGCTCGATGGTGGTAAAAAGTGGACTTCGCGCTTGGTCGGGTGCACGTTAACATCCACAGACCTCGGGTCGAGGTTGATGCCGCGTAAATGATTATTTTATATCCCACTGGTAAAATTGGGTCTTGCCTCAGATACACAAGAGGGGCGTCCAATAGTTCTTTTATTACCAACTGGTCTTCCGACGGTTGCTAGAATGCCCCTTGCCATGATCATGATGAAGACTGAATTCTAAAAAACTTAATCGGCATTTCGGATACGGGGAATCGAACCCCGAGCTACCGCGAATTCTAAGATTGAGAGGCGGTAATGTTAACCATTACACCATATCCGAGACATCGAGAATCATCCGGGTCATATCTATCATCACCGGGAAGTACTTGTTCGTGGCTTCCAGTTTCCAGGATGAGTACGGTAAATGTCAAATATTCCCGAACTACTTCAAATGGAGTGCTATGCCTCAAACATGATATCACAAAGACCGGACCTAGAAGGATCTATCACAATCATGATAGTAAGGCAGACTAAGCTCTTAGTTCACTACAGGAAGCCGCATCAGTAAGCCGCTGAGACTCAGATATCTCGATCGAGGCGCCAACGTTGTCAACCCTCGCAAGCACGTGTTCGTCATGGTCCGAGTCGTAGCCGCCTAAACGATTTGCTGTTAATCATCTCTCGAGCTGCTCTGTCCGCTCACCTGAGACTCTTCCAAATTTCACTAGCTTTTCTTGGAATCCAATTCCAACATAGTACCTATAACTTCTTCATGTCACAAGCATCAGCTACCGACGACGCCGAGGATCAACGCACCTACCACGACGAGCAGCTTCTCCCGCAAAACGACGTCGTAGGACTCATCGAGGAGTGAGTTGCAGCTCCCTGAAATCTGTCACTTGTCTAATAGCAAGACAGGGAGAATATCAATGTTGAACCTCTGGCAGAGCTGCCATCAGGGATGTATGTGTTTTTCCCTGATGGGCGTCTGCGCCACTTCTTACTAGAACTGCAGCTCGAATGCTGGACCTTCACAGCCATCGGGACCTCTGGTACAGCAAAGTATATCCAATGTTTCACCAGTCGACCATTTAACTCCGTGAGTCCTTGTCAATAATGACGCCAAACATACTCATTTGTCTCAGCGAGGTGGCAAAGCTTGAGGCAGAGAAGGACGAGCTGACTCTAAGTGATTTGTGAGCCAAAAACTTGAAGCCAGGCGATCGCAGCTGACCACGCCCTACACGCAGAGCACATGTCATGAAGGAAGTATTGGAGGTTCTCAAGGACTCGACGATTGCGTCGAAGACCGGAAAGGACCAACGGTCTCGTTTCTGGGGTGTGTACAAAAGAGTCGCGGAGGAACACGACAGTGAGTTCCTCGAGCGATACACGAGCGATATGAACATCGTCCTGATCTTCGTAAGTCAGCCTGCTTATCTGTGTTCCGTTTCGAGACTGATGTTCGACCAGTCCGGTCTTTTCTCTGCTGTCGGCACGTCTTTCATTGTCGCGATGGAGTCAGATTTCAGTCCCGACCCTAGCGACACCACGAATGCCCTGTTGAGGCAACTCGTGCAGATCGGACTCGGAAATCTCGCTGAGGCAGGCTCCATTCCCGTAGACCCAGCATCTGGGTGGTCTCCGACCGCGTCGACCTTATGGGTCCAAACGATCGCATATGCGAGTCTGTCCATGAGCTTGCTCGCTGCATTCGGGGCGGTGCTGGGAATGCAGTGGCTAGGGTACTACAAGTCGAACAGATATGGCCGCGGCTCGCAGGAGCAGCAAGGGAAGCGCAGGCAAGAGCAGTTCGACGGCATCGTCACATGGTATTTTGATGCCGTCGTGCAATCGTTTCCGGTCTTACTTCAGATCTCTCTTCTTCTGTTTGGGATCTCTCTTGGCGCCCATTTGTGGTACGAGCAGGCGAGCATTGCCTGGGTCGTCATCGGAACGACGGTCTTCGGATTTCTGTTTTATTCCCTGACTGTGATGGCTTGTTTGATATCTACCACTTGTCCATTTCAGACACCGATATCGGTGCTATTACACGTGTTGCACATCGACAGTAAGATCATTTTACCGAATTCTGGTGGTTGTTCCCCATCTGAATCAACGTTGCAGGCGCTCTACACCTGGGGTTCAAACGAGCTTTCTGTTATTTCCAGTGGCTCACGAAGGCACTGCAGGGTGAGTTATGTCTTCTTCCATGTGCACAGGTTTTGACCGTTTCATGACAGGCGTGCTGAAACGACTGTTCAGTATTATCAGATCGGGGTGTACCCGATTGTCTGAAGTATTTAGAGGTGACGATCTCATCTACTATTCAAAATATACTCAGTGCTCATTCACCCCCTAGACCCTGTGCATGTGGTAGGTACATTCACACGACGATCTATTCAGCAGTTAATCACTAGGCTTCATAACCGGCTGCGTTCTTTGGTTCTGCATTTTTTCAAAAAAGGTTGTGGACTCAGAGGCACAACCGCTCGACCAGGATCCGGATGTTTTGGCGCAGAATCATGGCACCCTTAACCTCGACCTCCCTGACATACCCGCCGGCGATCTCGAAGCGCCTAGCGTCAAGTGGCTGCTTGAGACATCTACAGATCCTGAAGTATTTCTTGCTGCTGCAAAGCTTGTCCCGCAGGTCGATTGGCCCCTGGACTTTGATGTTTCGGACATGTTGCATCAACTGGTTGAGATTTTTACGACTTGCGTCGACATTCAGGAGCGCATCGTACCGTCTTTGGAGGAGAAGGCTTCGGCATGTGCAGTGGCTCTAACTCATCTATACTATGGATGTGTTCTTCAGGCAGATTCTGTTCGTGGCGATTTTATTATCCGCGGGAGGCAAGATCGCGATGTGTTTGTTCAGATTTACGACCCCATACCCACAGCCGCACAAACGGTGCTTGAAATGACTGTCACTTTTTGTGACCCAGATATAAATTGGGGGATCTCAAAGGCTTGCCCTGACTCCACCTATGAGCAGCTGTCACATCTTCTTCCTTATCACTTTGTAACTGGGCGAGTGAATGAAAACATAGAAGACCTCGCGATAACAGTGATATCAAAATTGCTATCATCCCCATCCTCTCCGTCGAATCAAATTCTAGCCAATTGTATTCTTCTTGCTTGCGTCATGGTCGGGGTTCACGTTGACAAGAAAGGCATAGTAGTTCGGATTGATAAAAGGTGCCATCGGCTCATTTTGTAGTTTTTCTGTCATGATTAACGAAGAGATCATGCAGTTCTGCTCTACCTCGACTCAGTGAGTCCCTTTTGGCGCAGTTCCAAAAGGCTCTCTGGACATGGGATGGAGGCGAGCTCCACAAAGATAGCACAGGAGTCGCACGCCGGGCATGGAAGCTCCTCGATGTCATTTGTCGCATCCTCGAGCTTGCCAGAGGTCACCTTTCTCCTTCATACCACACCATGCGGAACCTGGACGTGTGCAGGAAGATTTATTCACGAGCGAGGTCATCCGAACAAAACGATACCTCGGTTTCTTTGGCGGCTCTGCGAAATGCACTGCACTTCACTTTTGCTGCTGCCCAGGTATCCCGTGACCCTGCCCGGGTGTGGGATCCGTCTTGGTGGGGAAGCATATCCCACTCGCCAAAAGATTTCGACTGGATGGTGGACTACCTCGACTTCATATATTCCGACGACCACGAAGCGGCATATGACATCCTTTTGTTACTGGGTAGTATGGGAGTGTGTTGCAGCCCCGCTAAACAACATCTGTTCATCGAGAGGCTCGTCACCTGCATAGACAGTAACATGCCTCTCCATTTACGCCACGCCGCTCTTCACGCTGCTCACAGTGCCCGAGAACAAATCGCCTCGATGGATGTCATTGATGATTCGGCGCTACGGGGCATGATTTTAACCAAGCTCTCCCCCGCTATTCTGTCCGTGCTTTGTCCGCACCCGGGTACAACACCCGCCAATGATGATCCCGACCTCTTTTTCGATTATGGCCGCGACTCGTGCTATCTCAAACTGGTCTTTGTCCTCGCAAGAAATTCCGACTGGCACTCCCATTTGTTTAAGGACCGCCACATAGATCGGTGCATTAGCATGATTCCGCAGTACTGCAATTCCGAGTACTACGAGCATGCGATTTTCGTAGCTGGTATCCTCCTCCAAATCACACCCGAACAGACATCGGTTACATCGCTCGATTCTGTTACGGAGCAGCAGTGGTGGGATGTGATGAGAAGCGCGTGGATCTATCCTCGCTATGTCATTGACAACGCACGCACTTTCAAACTCCTTCCTGTCCTTCTGGATGGCACAAAGAAGTATATGCAGATTGCTTCGAAATCTGATCTCGAGCAGCTCATTAGAGATGTGAATGAGTTTGTCGAAGAACTGGAGCGGGACATACGACGGAAGAGGCGACTACACGAGATAGAACAGGAGATGCAAGATTTAGAGGAGGGAGAGGGGATCATCATTGGTGCGAAGGAGTTGAGGACTGCAGCCAGCAACATGCTGGAGAGATTTGGTCAGTAATTATTAGTCCCCTGATCATGACTTGCATGCTGCGTTAGAGTCTTGGAATAGAGGAAGTTACGGGCAGTGTATGCACGGAAGTGGGGAGTATCAAAACCTCAACGAACTCGATATTGAATTATCAGCTATCTCTGACTTGGTAGATGCTTGCCAAGCGTGAGGAACGAAGGCATGAAATGCAAACATCTAGGAGACCAGGATCTAAATGTTGACTGGAGGAGGGGAGGTTGTTACACAGGGACAAAACTAGACAAGGTTCTGTGCTCAGCTGCCCCGGTCACATCCCTTCGTCGATATGCACACAAAGGCAAGGATAAGGCGACAGATGCAGACGTATTAAACACCATTGGTGTCCTTATTACAATCGCCTTTTTTTGGCAGAGGTGTAAATCATAGCGCTGAAATCAATAAATTTATCCACCGGAAGCAAATTAGTGTTGTCCTGATCAGCGCCGTCTGTCTCCTCCTCACGCTCCGCGTCATTCTGCCCTTCTATATTATCAGTTGTCGATAGACCATCCGAGCTTCCCTAGCGTAGGCTTCGCAGTCTCAGCCTCTGATTCATAGGAAGTCCGGGCGACGGGTGGAGCTTCTACATGTGAGACGCAAATGATGTTGTCAAAGGACATGGACTCACCTTCATGAAGCGTGGTTGCCTGTTCAGATGAAACTGCCACACGTAGGCCTTTCAGCAGCCGGCCACTGCAGAACGATGTGAGAAAATTGTTGGATGAGCGTTGGGTCCGGAACTGTGGCGAAGGGTGCGATCGACTAGCATGAGTGATACATACCTTCATAACTACTTTCTCAAGGACGTCCGATGCATGCAGCGCGATGGAGGTGTCTGGGATGATGTACGTCAAATTCTCAATGCTGCTAGCTTGCGGACTCATAAGAATCATGCACGGACACAGATTCTAGGCCCTATAAAGACCACACACTCATCAGTTACGCCACAAACAAAGGTTCATGATAAGTATACGTAGCATCGAGACTGAACCAAATTGGACTGGAACTTGAGGGAAACACTGACGCAATTCAGCAGAGGCAAATATTGACTAGCAGGGTAGGGAACGAATAGATTTTTAATGGCTGTCATGAGTGCCGAGCTTTGTTGTGTGGTAGGGCTGTTTGGTCGACTCTTGATCGGCTCAATTACCAATTATATCTGGAATTTGAAATTCAATGTCCTTGTGCTCGGCTGCTTGTTCGCAAAACGCCATGTAAATAGTATTACCCAAACCTGAATTTGAAATTAATTCCTGTAGTAATCAGCTCTTTTCCGGGCCATGGTTCTTGCAGCTTTCGGAGGATTTGAATCACTTTGCTTTCATGATGATGCGGACGTCCGATCGAAATCTAGATGTCAAGCTCGTCTGCACTCGGCTGTTGGTCGTATCTATTTCCTCACTGCTCCTCAGCTACAGCACCAAAGATCTTCTGCACAAAACGAGACCCAATTTCATAGTATGCCAGTGCCCTCACATTCATTCAGAACACGTTCGTTACTGAAGAGAATCGTGACAACTATGCACTCCAGCTCCTGCGTCACGATTTATCGAATGATTCTTTGATGGTCTGGCCAAGCTCGCTGACTTGGAACGATTCGTTTCATCGTACACGCATGCGACTCTTTACAGACGTTGTGTGAAAAATAGTGCCAGTACTAGTACTATGGTGTTCAGTCCGAATCAGCAAAGCAGCGATAAAGGGCCACGGTTGCGGCTGTGAATGACCCATTTGTGCAAGCCGAATCAGACTCTGCTGAACTGTTTTAACACAAGACTAAACTGTTCTCTGATGCAGCTGTGAGCGCCCTCGCTTCCCTTTGTGTAAGTAAAGCACTTGATCATGCACATGTGTGGATCGTGACAGTATTCGTTGGTTATGTAGAGCCATAGGCTCCTAATTTTACACGACACCGTACTCTCGATCAGTCCATTTTTCTGTAGAAGTACCGGTCACCGTCCTCGCACCAGTGCTTATATCACGATCTAATGATAACGTCACATGCATGCGTACAACATCTATTGGGACTTTGGAACTGCTGGCTGTGTCAAAGCACCTACTGACTGATTCCTCAACTACACGGGGAATGAGCGCTGAGCGGTGATCACGCTGGAATCAAACTTGAGGAAGACGAACATTCACAACTCAGAACGAATTACATATAAAAGAATGTATTATCCTCCAGGGAAAACATCGCAAAGTGATAAATGAAATATATAAACGAGTGGAAGGGTGCCCAGAGTTCCTCATGGTACACAAATAAACAAAAAACGACTATCACCAAGAAAGCAAGAACGAAAAAAAGTCACAGAAAGTGACGTTCGATTCTTGAGATGTCGCAAAACTAATAACGCCTACACTGATCCCGTGGCTTCTTCAAAGAACTCTCCAGCACCCCAGGACATATGCATACCTCAGTCCACCTATCGGGGGCCCTCGCGACTCTGGTGTACGTGGTGTAGTAGTCTGCGGTACCTGCTGGGCCGTGAAAGACTTCCAACGACTGGTGTAGGGGAGCCTGGTATTGAGTGGATTGGGGTTGGTATTGGGTGAGATAGGATTGCATGGCTTGCGGTTGGATGGGTTGGAGTTGGTATTGGTGGAATGCACCAAGGGGAAGGGGCTCTGCCGGCGGCGGAGGCTGGGACGACGCCTGGGCCCCGGATGAATTTGTTGCAGAAGGACCACAACGATTGCACGGCCGAGGAACATACCCATGTTTTTTCTTGCGATGCTGTGTGAGGTTGGAAGAGGTGTGAGTTCTGTAGTTACAGAACTCGCGAGGACAAATGAAGGATCGCTCGCCCATACTACAATGAAATCAAATAGAATTGTTGATCAGGTGGAATCGATGATGGCGATGAATGACCACGTACTACCGATCAACATGATAATGGAAGCTTGCTTCATGCGGTGTCGCAAATATACACCCCTCCCAGGGGCAGAAGTACACACTATGTGAGCGAATATAAGTTAGGTGAGCTGCATACCATAGGGTAGAAACACGTACTTTTTTGGTGAATGCATGGCCTCGTATACCTTGCAGTCGTCGAAGCCGGGAAAATTTTGGTTGCAGATAGGGCAAGCGCAGGTCTAAATATTACAAGAGTTAGTATTCAAGTCAATGCACGAAGTATGCGCCTGATTAGGCTTACCTTTGGCATGTTTGGTTATATAAGAATATGAGTGAGAATACCACTTGTGAGGTGAATGTACGATTGAACTTGAGCGGATGATGGTGCTGGGTAAGTATTAGGGTAGGTATATATACCATTCCCTGCTGTGGTCGTGGTATTGTGCTTTGCGATGGACAAACGCATGTTTTCAGTGGAAAGACGCTTGTGGACCCTACTGCGGTTGTAGTATTGCGCTTTGCGATTGGCAAACACATGCAGAGTTGTGGTTTTCAGTGGACAGACGCTTGTAGAATTCGTACAAGGATACTTTGTGGAGGTTACTAGTGGATATGGGCCATGTAATGCGTGAACGCATTGTTGTTGAAGCAACCACATCCATTTGAATACTTCATCATCTGTTACAGCATCGAGCGAACACCAGGATAGAGTTATTTACCAGACATATGCAGGCCGATCGGAATTTAAGGTGGAGAATCGAGTAAAGACCGACATGGATGTCGAATTCCATGATACCAAGGTCCGACAAATTTCTAGAGGTCTTTGTCGTCGTGCCCGGCCTGGGCCATGCAACAGGCACTCCTCGACCAACCCATTAAGCCACTAGGTTCTTTGCATGTCCAAGCGTAGTGCTTTGAGACTTTCATCCTTGTGGGCAGGACCGGGTGAGAGTTGTCAATTTTAGCAGTAAGATGGTAGAAGGGATGAGATCAGACGCGCGATTGATCATAGAGTCTGTGCAAGTCCCGTGATAGTGCATTTTGTTTATTGCTACTAATGTTAGGCAGTACGTCGATGGAGTAAAAAAGGGACTTGTTTAGTCTGCGGTTGACATCCTTGCATGAATATATGCATCATTGAATATCAGGAACATGACGTACCAGCAAGTTCTGACGTCCAAGTATGCCCGACTTGTGCCATTTACAAGTACGATAGTAGTAGAACTTCACGGGAGCGCCAGTGGCTGTGCTCTACCGCATCATTTGGTTCAAGGCAATATTAATCACACGTGACGGTGCAATTTTCCGTGAATCGGAAATTTATCATAGCTAGGAAATTGCACTCATGCACATGAAAAGTCTAGGCTAGTACATCTGATATCTGAAACCGTCGCGAAAGCATCGTTCAACGATCCCTATTTGGCCTAGTCTCGGACGAGTTGCATTAAGTAACTAACTAGGCCAAAATGCGAACGGGGAACTGAATGACAACTGAATGACACAAGCGGTGCAAGATTATCATATCTAAACTTGATCAGGTGTGCAGATAATGAATTGCAGAACTAGTACTACAGGCAATACGCAAAAAATCTACATTAGATCTGTGTGCATCGTATGGAAAACCTCCTTGTCTGAAAATTTATTCAGGTAGTAATCATCACAGACCTCTAACGAGTTTGCAGCAGTTATCGTGCGATTCATCTTCGAACCATACACAGGGACGAGCTCGACGGCACAAGTAACAGCCGTCAGTGGAATGATGCTGCCAGGTCGGAAGATCCGACCTGTCTCATCCTGATGAAAGATTCGTTTCACCCTGTACATCCCAACGCTTGGCTCGTCAGCAGGCGTGGCTTTGATCTGGAAGTATTGAACGTATAAGAGAGGTGCAGCTTCAAGATAGCGAGGCAAAGTACGGCCTTTCTTGGCGGTAGGTTGGAAAACGCAACGCACTTGTGCGATGTAGACGTCTGCAGAGGTTGTAGTAGTAAGCACCTGAATGGCACCGCAGTAAAAATCTTACCATTACTCTCAGTTAATTGTACGAGAACTGCGTCACAATTCCCAAAAGGGAATGCCTCTGAGGGCGGATACGACTGGACGATTTGACTTGGCATGACAACTCGTGACTGGAAGTTGGAGAGGAGTTGTATGCGGAACTTGTTCCACGTCCTAACCGAACCTCCCCGACAGGTCCACGATGTTGTTGGGGCACCCTGGGATGACTTACTAATATACTCAGTGAGCGCCACAGCAAAGTCAGGAAGGGCGTAGGTGTACTGCAGATCGGGGACGGTAAATGATTTTCGATCAGGTGCGACCGTGACATGGAATGCAGCAGTAGCTTCTGCAGAAAGAAGTCCTGTTATGAAGTGGTTGCGGACTGGACGTGGACCATGGAAGCGCTTCTGCTGACTTGGGAGCGTGCGGGCTATCCATGCCAAGGTAGGATCTGTCTCTGCGACGATATCATCTTCAGCAGCAATGGCATTAACGAGCGGTGCGCCATGCGTCTGCAGGAGCGTGTAAAGATTGAAACGCTGCATGGTTTCGTCGCGATTGAGAATTTGAACAACCTGTAAAGTAAAACTCTTGGCTTGCCGGCTGGTCCTTTCGAATGGAAACTTGCAGTGAGTAATCAACAGCCGTTCGCTGACGTCTGCTGAGTACTGTATCAAACCACCGAGAGCTCTGATAGATCCAGCAAAGCTGTGAAACAACTCCAACTTTGGGATGAGAAAGTTGTCGATGGTTCCACGCTTGCCTCTCCGAGCACCGGCATCGAGGATGCCTTGTTTTAAGCGATGAAACTCGTCGAGGGACTGAACCATAGAAGCGATGGATGAGTCGGTGTGCACGGGGCTCTGTGCCTGATAAAAGAACTCGGTGAGGGCACGTATAGCATGAACGAAATCGGGGGTTGCATTTGTCGCGCCAGCGATAGTGGCAATCATGGTGCGTTCAATGTCGCGATGTTCCCGGCAAGTCATCTGGCTGATGTGGGAGACGCCAGAGCCAAAATGACGTGTTCCGACTCGTTTATGGTGAGCCTTGTAACGCGCATCGAGTTCCTCCTCCCCAACAACTTCCTTGCACCATTTTAGAGCATGGTCACCAAAAAACTTATGACAGGTGTGAAGGAGTTCGCCAGGCAACATATAACCAGGATCCGCAAACCTCCAATCTCTCCAAAACGGTTGATGGACGCCACTAAGCATCAACGATTTAGCTTCGACTTGGAAGCGCGGTACACTCCATGGATCAATGCGTTTGGATAGGTCGTAGATGAGCGTGAGCGTGTGTTGGCCTGTTCGAGGGGGATAGATATGAGCACTACCGAAGTCACTTTGAGTGGCCATCGTGACTGGTGATGCGTTCTTCGAGACACAAGCAACAAGCTGTGCTTCAGGAAGGTCGGCTGTGTAGGCGACAAGCGGAGTAAAACAGTGCCGGATATAACCCATGGGATCTGCCATGTATTCACCAATCTTTGTGGCAACTTTGCATCTGGCGAATATCGTGTCCATACATTTGTGGAAGAGACGGGCATGGAGGAGCGTTTGATAGTCTGCGTGAGCATCGAACTTCGGAATTGGGATAAATGCGATACAACGCCATGCATGAGCGGTGGCCTTCATTCGAACTTCGGATTGAATATTGCCAATCGTAAGGAATATTGGGTGCATTTCTAATCCTCCTGTCATCCTGGTTACGGGCGTTTTGTCAGATGCAAGAATGATTGGTACTATAGTGGCGCCTTCTGGAAGGTCATTCTGTTAAAGATTAGCGAGCAATTTCGTTTATTCAAAGATCCATACTTGAATGGTGAAAGCCCTCTCACTAGTGAAGAATTCGCCGTATTCACGCTCTGAGCCAGTCATAACAAGGTGGGGATCGTACATCATGTGATTGGAAAATATCGGGTTTGCAAAGAGATCTTTAACGACTTCAAGACCGTCACGCCAGATGAGTTCCATTGGCCTCGCAGTTGTGTAGTCGATAAACTCGAATGTCGTTGATTGCCACTGAGGGCCACTTGGCAATACATCAATCCAGCCAAATAGTTGATCTGCGCTCTTGAAGGATGGTCGGGATCTACTAGTTTTAAACTTAGGTGAAGTTCAGGCTGTTAGCCACAGTGTGGAACTGCAAAGGCGGATGCTACTCACCCAGTCTAGTTTCAGAAACTTGTTAATGTCGGTTTTGGTCAGCCGCTGCACGATGAATTCTGCTAGCTGCCATTCAGCCTGATCGACGAATGGGTATGAGGGATTTATTGCTCTGCGGCGCTTTTGGTCAGGATCATGATCCTCCATTGTCTGCAAGATATTGTGTCCCCGACCAAAAAGGTACCCTGATTTTGAATGATACTGGCCAGTTACCTCTTCCTGGCCGCTATCGCCTCGTTGAAAAGCTGGAGGAACTGGTAAGCGGTAAGTGGGTTCGTTGCTCCAACAAGAATGCACCGGATCATTGAGATGATCCAAAACAGCGAGATTTGAGACGAATTCTAGTCTGCAATTCGGGCATCTTGCAGAGGAACTACTGATCGTGATGAAGTCAGCGTGATGAAGTCAGTCAGTCACTGCTACTATTTGATGCGGCCTAACTCACCCGTTGTGATCGTGTAGTATTTCTAGTCCAGCTGCAGTGCAGCCCGAGTCAGCCTGTTCCATCGTGCTCCTGCCAGGATTCAACGTTCAACTTTCTTCAAACTCCGACCCACTTGGTTTGTTGCCTCACTGCTTGCTAAGATAGTAGCAGATACACATCCAGCTGTACTTATGGTTCCCCCATCCCTTCATATTTCGTCATCTGTATCTACTATGTCAGGATCTAGCGGATGGACTCGTGTTGAGTCCCTCTGTAATTCCAACCCTTCCAAATCAGCGGAAGAGAAGGTCATTGCTTTGACCACAGACCTCCCACATTCAGACTCTGTCCCCTTCTCGCGCTCAGCGACCTCCTCCTCAAACTCAATTCGCTCTGGTCACGAGTCCCCTATTGGCAGCTCTCGCAGCTCCCGGCGGGGAGTGCGTTCTGCAAACAGAAGCCACCCTTTCACACGTCGTCCCACCCAAGTCGGGCTGCGTTTTGCCATGAAGGCAGTCCGAAGAAATCATCACTCTGACATCACTCTTAATGATGTCATTAAGGCGAGCAAGTATTGAAGCCACTGAATAACTGATTATTTATGGTGTATTTGACTGTTACAGGGGCGAGACCTTTTTTTGAGCGGTCTCTCATCCTTCTCAGATGATACAATCAAATTAGTAGCAAATGCTAAGCACGCTGCACGAGAAAATAGCCGTCAAAAACTCCTGCAACTCGGTTGGGAGATCGAAGAGGCGAAACTCAACAAGCTAGTCCTCATAGCATTTGAGGACGAGGAGAAGCAGCGCTTGAAAATGGCAGACTCGGATTATCACCTCTTCAAGAAGCTCCTGGTGGACCGGGATATTCCGGCCCTAGACCAGGATGTCGAATGCCTTGCGGAGTCACATGATAGCGAACTCGAAGACTTAGCTACAGCCGACGAACAGCTGTTCCAAATGTCGTCCATATCATCGCTTGCTACCAAATACGTCTCCCACAGGTTCCCCCAGAACAGTAGCGATACGGAGTACGAACCTGGTGAGGAGGAACAATATGACAAGTATAATCATAGCGACAACAGTAGCAACTCGGACAATGACGAGGCGGAAGGTAGCCACGTCTCTACCCTAAAATGAAACAACTTACAAACTTACCCTTTCAGGTTGAACGTTGTCCACGAGGACAGAGTGCGGACAGATGGGCCGGCGGCGTCAATTACAATCCTTTTTTGACTCAATTCACTACTTTCCTGGCAGGTTCTGAGTTCCTATCACGAGACCCCTGATCATGATCTTTTTCAATTCTATACGTTGTATTTTAGCGCTCTGAATAACAGAAGCTTTCGTTTGATTGGCGATCGATGAGTACGTTCGCATTGGGTAAGATCAGATAACTAACGTGGATTCACACCACGAGCATCGATGAGCAATCCTCCAGCCAATTCCACTACCAGCAGGCGAAAGCCCAACCCCGCAAGAGTACGTACGATCTAAATTCTGTTCGCTCTTCTTTCCTGACTGCCGTGTAGAAAGGTTTCCGGCCTGGAGTCAATTCAGAACTCAACCCCAGTGGGCAGCCAGTCATCACTCAACTCAACCTACTCGGTGATCGCGTACAAACGCCTGAACAATACCAGGTTCAGATGAATCCCTCCATGCAGCATCCCACGCATTCCCATCAAGCGTCAACGGCACCTCAGCCCCAACAGTATCAACTACCGGTACCACAATATCTGCCGCCCCCACCCCATCAGCACCAACCCCAGCACCAACCTCCCCAGCAGTATGAGCCGCCGCCGCAGCCCCAGTACCAACCTCTCCAGCAGTATGAGCCGCTGCCGCAGCCCCAGTACCAACCTCTCCAGCAGTATGAGCCACCGCCGCAGCCCCAGTACCAACCTCCCCAGCAGTATGAGCCGCCGCCGCAGCCCCAGTACCAACCTCCCCAGCAGTATCAAGCTCACCAGCGGTATGAGCCCCAGCAGCATCAACGCCACGAATGGAACACGGGTACGGCGCAGTCGCAGGCGTATGCAGGCGCATTCGCACTTCTCCAGGGTGAAGGATCAAGGCTGCCGTCACAACCAGATCTCGGGAGCGGGTCTATGGCCCCATGGGGGGTTTCGCGACTCATTGCCCTTGCACCCTACCATGTGGGAGAGAACGTCCGTGGGGAGCAAACCCAAGGCGTTATTCGTGTAAGTGATCATTCCTCCGAGCTTGAATACTAACTTAGTGACTATACAGCGCACAAAACACGTTTCGGACAGCGGGAGACGACGACAAAAGACGAACCTACCTCCCACACCCATGATACCAGTAGCCAATGCGCCCGAGGAGCCTGCAGCACCTATTTCGACGCGCATCGCACTCGATTCAAAAGAGGTGCGACAGTATAAGGAGCTCGCTAAAGAGAAACTTCGGGGCTTGATCGTTACGGTGGCTGCTAATACTGACGGTGCTCCGAATGACGCAATGCGCAACACGATGATCGAAACCGCGCTGCAAAACGCACGAATTGAGCTCTACGGTCAAGGTATGTTTTATTTGTTTCGAAATCATCTACTACTGATAAGTTACTAGTGGATATCGAGAACATCAAAGGTATACATAACTACATGGTGGCTTCATTAGCAGACATGCGACGCGCTCTCAAAGTACATGCGCTCAATACCGTTCCGCTAGGCTACAGCCTCCGCCTACCTTTATTTTCCCTGCTCGACGAGGCGGCGCACAAACGGGACACAATCCAAACGCTGCTAGACGGAGGGAGGTACCTACATTTGTATGAGCAGGTACCCGTTTTTTTATCATCAGCGGGACTGTTTCTCACTCACACCTGCAGACTGTCGACGACGTGGATATCGAACGGCTACTCGAAAACGAGGTCCTCGTCAACATGGTTATCGACGTGTTGATCGGAGGTTGGGACGCCAACTTGGAAGGCCCAATGGACCGAGTGTTCGCATCCTGCGGCGCTGCGATCTATTGTGTGCTATATGCACATCGCACAGGCCGATTCACTGACGTGTCAGTGAATTCGGCCACGTTCGACGATGCATACCAAGATATCATGGCGATCGTTCGAACTATTCGTGCTTCGGATGTCTTGAGTGCGAGGTTTGATGGGGTACAGCAACAGGTTGGCCTCCGAGTGGCCAACCATTAGCTCAGTAGTACGACGCGCTGATAATAATAATCTTTCACATCTAATCACATCGAATTCCGTAAAGTTTACGACGTAAATTCGACGTCCGAGTCCTCCACCAATCGCCTGAGTTCGCTACTGAAGTCGTAAGTGTTCGTAACGCGCGTAGGTTAAGCGTTCATTTCAGTCATTTTGCAGATGTAGGTACAATTACATCAAGTACTGAGTACGAATGTATCCTTCGACAACCATTGGCATCTAGAAGCTTTATTAAGGTACTTATTGATATCTTGTCGCAGAAAATACTGCCGACAGGAGCTAGATATGCTTCGTCAACAAATACCAGGCAATGAGCAATCATACTGCGAATGAGAACTAAACAAAAACACGTCTTGGGGCGAGTCTTTGCCAAGTATCCATACCAGAGCTGCGGGTCAAATTATGCAATCATATGTGGTCCACTCACTGCGTGGCATGAGCGGTTGACGGTTGACCAGACTAACAGTTTGAACAAGCTTCCATGGAGACGGCAGCGTGTTAGTCAGACTGCCTGACCTTGACAACACGGAGAAGACCCAGTTACGCCACAAACAAAGCGTAGCATCGAGACTGGACCGTTAAAATTGGACAGGAACTTGAGGGAAACACTGACGCACTTCAGCAGATGCATTGACTCGGGCAGGGAACGAATACATTTTCAATGGCTGTCATAAGTGCCGAGCTGCTTGAGCTTTGTTGTGTGGTAGGGCTGTACGATGGGGAGGCCTGGAAGTATTCTACTCGATGATTACCAATGATCTGGAATTTGAAATACAAGCTCGGCTGCTTGTTCGCGTTTTTCTTGAGATTCAATATAGTAGTAGGTATAACATCCTCATGTCACCAGCATCAGGCACCGACAACGAGAATCAATGCACCAACTTGAATGATGAGCAGCCTCCCTCGCAGTATGACGTCGTAGGACCCATCGAGGAGTGAGCTGCAGCTTCCTGGAATCTGTCGCCCGTCTAACAGCAAGACAGGGACAAGATGGTAAATGTTGAACCTTTGGTGGCGCTGCCATCAGGAATGTATGTGTTTCTGCCCTGACGGGCGTCTTCGCCACTCCTCACTAGAATTGCAGTTCGAATGCGGGACCTCTGGTACAGGAAAGTACATCCAATGTTCCACCAGTCAGCAATTTAGCTCTGTAAGTTCTTGTTAATAATGACGTCAAACATATTTCTCAATTGTCTCAGCGAGGCGGAGAAGGATCAGCCGACTTTAAGCGATTTGTGAGCCAAAAACTTGAAGCCAAGCGATCGCAGCTAACGACGCCCCACACACAGAGCAAACATCATGAAGCAAGTATTGGATATTCTCCAGGACTCAACAATTGTGTCGAAGAGTGGAAAGGACGAACGGTCTCGTTTCTGGGGAGTGTACAAAAGAGTCGCGGAGGAACACGACAGCGAATTCCTCGAGCGATACACTACCGACATGGACATTGTCTTGATCTTTGTAAGTTTTGCGTGCTTATCTACATTCCATTTTGAGGCTGATGTTTAACCAGTCTGGTCTTTTCTCCGCTGTCAGCACGTCTTTCATTGTTGCGATGGAGTCCAATCTCAGTCCCGACCCTAGTGACACCACGAATGCCCTTTTGAAGCAACTTGTACAGATCGGACTCGGCAACCTCGCTGAGGCAGGCTCCAAGCCTGCAGACCCAGCATCTACGTGGTTTCTGACTGCGCCGACCTTATGGATTCAAATGATCGCATATGCGAGTCTGTCCATGAGCTTGCTTGCTGCATTCGGTGCTGTGCTGGGAAAGCAGTGGCTCGGGTACTACAAGTCGAATAGATATGGCCGCGGCTCGCAGGAGCAGCAAGGGAAGCGCAGGCAAGAGAAGTTCAACGGCCTCGTCACATGGTATTTCGATGCTGTCGTACAATCCTTTCCGGTCTTACTTCAGATATCTCTTCTTCTCTTTGGGATCGCTCTTGGCGCCAAATTGTGGTACGAGCAGGCGAGCATTGCCTGGGTCATCATCGGAACGACGGTCTTCGGATTTCTGTTTTATTCCCTGACTGTGATGGCGTGTCTGATATCTACTGCCTGTCCATTTCAGACACCGACATCGACGATATTATACGTGTTGCGCATCGACAGTAAGATCATGAATTCTGGTGATTGTTCCCTATCTGAATCAATATTGCAGGATTTCTCCACCTGGCATTCAAACGAGTGTCCTGTTATTTCCAGTGGCTCATGATGTCACTGCATGGTGAGTTATGTCTTCTTCACGCGCACAGGTTTTGACCGTTTCATGTTAGCCGTGCTGGAACGATTGTCTAGTATCGTTAGATTGGGATGGACCCTATCATCTGAAGTATTTAGAGGTGACGATCTTATCTACTATCACAAAAATGCTCAAGGCTCAATCATTTCCCAGGTCCTGTACCTCCGGTAGGTACATCCACACAATGATCTCTTTAGCATTTAATCACTTGGACTTCATAACTGGTTGCATTCTTTGGTTTTCATACTCTTCAACAAGGTTATAGACTCAGAGGCGCAACTGCTCGGCCAGTATCTGGATGTTTTGGCGGAGATTCATCCCACCCTTACCCTCTATCTCCCTGACATACCCACAAACGATCTCGAAGCACCTAGCGTCAAGTGGCTGCTCGAGACATCTACGGATCCTCAAGTATTTATTGCCGCTGCCAGGCTTGTTCCGCAGGTCGAATGGCCCCTGGATCCTGACGTTCAAGACATACTGCATCAGCTGTTTGATATTTTCATAAGCTGCGTCAACATTCAGGGACGCATCGTACCATCGTTGAAGGAGAAGGCCTCTGCATGTGCCATGGCTCTAAGTCATCTATACTATGGATGTGTTCTTCAAGCATATCCTGATCGTGGCGAATTTACTGTCCGTTGGAGACAAGACTTCGACATGTTTGTTGGGATTTCCCTGGCCATGCGCACAACCGACCAGACAGTGCTTGACACGACTATGAATCTTTGTCATCCAGATGGCAATAGGTGGGACATTTTTTGGTCAGAGGCTTCCCCTGACTCCCTCCCTGAGTGGCTGTCGCATGTCCTTCCTTATCACTTTGTTACTGGGCGAGTGAACGAAGACATAGAAGACCTCGCGATAAAAGTGATGTCAAAGCTACTATCATCCCCATCCTCTTCGTCAAAACAAATCGTGGCCAATTGCATTTTTCTTGCTTGCGTCATGGTCGGAGCTCAGGTTGACAAGAAAGACATAGTTCGAATTGATAAAAGGTGCCATCGACTCATTTTGTAGTTTTCTGTCTTCATTAACAAAGAGATCGTGTAGCCCTACTCTGCCTCGACTCAGGAAGTCTCTTTTGGCGCAGTTCCAAAAGGCTCTCTGGGCATACGACGGAGATGAACTCGACCAAGATAGGACAGGAGTCGCCCGCCGGGCATTGAGACTCCTCGACATTATCTGTCGCATCATTGAGCTTGCTGGACGTTCATATCGTCCTTTATTCCACACCATGCGGAACCTGGACGTGTGCAGGAAGATTTATTCACGAGCGAGATCATCCGAACAAAAAGATGCTTCGGTTTCTTTGGCAGTGCTGCGAAAGGTACTGCACTTCACATTCGCTGCTTCTGACGTTTCTCGGGACCCTGCCAGGCTGTGGTCAGCCGACTGGTTTTGGCAAGGCAATTCGCACACACCAGAAGACTTTGACTGGCTTGTAGACTACCTTGACTACATCTATTTTGACGATGAAGCGGTATATGACATTCTCTTACTGCTGAGTAGCATGGGAATGTGCTGCAGTCCCGCTAAACAACATCTGTTCATCGAGAGGCTAATCGCCTACATGGATAGCAACAGTGCCCGAGAACAAATTGCCTTGATTGATGTCATTGATGATTCGACGCTACGGGACATAGTTTTTACCAAGCTTTCCCCCGCTATCCTGTCTGTGGTTTGTCCACACCCAGGTACAACACCCGCCAATGTTCCTGACCGCCTTGTCGATTATCACCGCGACTTGTGATATGTCGAACTGGTCTGTGCCCTTGCGAGGAATTCCAACTGGCACTCCCATTTGTCTAGTGATCGTCATATCGATCGGTGCATCAGTATGATTCCAAAGTACTGCAATTCCGAATCACCCACGCAGCATGCCTTTTACATAGCCGGTATCTTCCTCCAAATCACACCTAATCAAACACCAGTCACATCGCTCGATTCTGTTACGGAGCAGCAATGGTGGGACGTGATGAGAAGCGCGTGGAACAAACCTCCCTATGACATTGACGATGCACGCCATTTCAATCCCCTCCCTGTTCTTGTGGGTGGCACAAAAAAGTATATGCACATTGCTTCGAAATCTGATCTCAAGTTGCTCATCGGAAGTGTGGATGAGTTTCTTGAAAGTCTGGAGCCGAAGATGCAACTGCAGAAGATGGGCCTGGCGTTGAGATTGGAGGTGGGACCGGAGATGGGAGGTTTAGAGCAGGGAGAGGGAATCATCATTGCTGTGAAGGAGTTGAGGACTGTAGCCAGCAACATGCTGGAGAGCTTTGGTCAATAGTCAGTAGTCCCCTCATCATGACGGTGCTTGCATGTTGTTCAAGTCCTGGAATAGAGGAAGTCACGGGGCAGTGTGTGCACGGAAGTGGGAAGTATCAAGACCTCAACGAAATTGATATTGAATCGTCAGTCATCTCTGACTTGGTAGACGCATGTCATGCGTGAGGCGTTGGGGAACGACAGGCATGACATGCGTATATTTTGGAGACCAGCATGTAAATACCTACTGGGGGAGGGGAGGTTGGTCCACGGGGTCAATGTCACTGGCAAGGTTCTACCCTCGGCTGAGTCGCATTGCGACCTTTCGGCCGACTGCATTGACGAGTCTGAGGTAGACGCATTCAAGTATGACTTATCCGGCCTGTTATCGTTCCGTTCCCAATGGAAAGGGGTTGTATTGACTTATCTTCACCTTGTTATAGATGCATCATTAGAATTATAGAATCACTGTAGTTTGCATACATTATGGCAGCTCTAGAGTTATGCACCAGTATTCGCGGATAGAAGTTGCAGTATGATATGAAGTCTAACAGCGTTCGAAGACAATTTGAAGACCCGATAAAGATCCGGTAAGCTTGCCACCTGCACGACATCATTGTCCTTGGGAGCTGCCAGGTACTTGCGCATCGCATGAAATAGGATGTTTTGAATGCGCCATGCTTCATATTTCTGCTTGTCTTGTTCATCTTCGTCAGAGGCGGCCACTGAGATGACGGACAGTGGGGCTGGGGAGTAGAAGTACGCTACCTCGCGCATGAAAGAGCAAAAACACTCTTGCTCGGATTCCCAGAGGACCTGAGACGACTTGGTATCTGTGGAATGAGAATATAGCGTTGGAACGTACCTGAAATCCAAGATGCATCAGGAACATGGATAGCTTGTCGAGATTGGGAGTGTACTCGCGAAGAAGGTGCGGTAGTGTCTTCGTCGGTCTCTGAAATGTACAAGCAAAAATACTCGTGCAGCATCTCTCGGCGATCCATCAAAGTCTTGACTATTCGCCGTGAAAGAACACTGAGTGGATCTTGCACAGCATACTTGTTCATTACAGCAAGTATTCAGGCGTATTCTTCTGAGGAACTTCGGAGAGCAGACAATCGAGTGGGTGTATCATAGAACATGTCTTCAATGTGGTGAATTGAGTGAAGAGAGAGATTTGTTTGACTTCTTAGGGACATACTGTGATGGTGGTTCCGTTTTTTCCAGCCCAAGCTTTCTGGTCTGGCGTGTATCCTGCTTTCGACAGGACGAGACCGCCATCAACATAAGCAGCCCTGTAGGATTCTCGTCAGGTGTTTTCGTTCCGTGCACAATTTATTTAATACATACTTCCAAGCACAGTTTCTTGACTTGGTCTTCATGATCACCGTCAAGTGCGCTGCGTGCGCGACATGAGATATAGATGCTAGAGCCTCCCCTCGGAACCCGTAAGTAGTCAGCTTGGAGAGGTCAGAGAAGGTGGTCAATTTGGAGGTAGTAAAACGCTCAGCGAGCAAGGGTAGGTCCTCTTTCTTCAAACAAGCTCAATGGAAAGCCTCCATGCGAATGCGAGGAAGACATACACAAATGCCACAGCCGTTGTCCTGAATCTGAAGCAGCTTCATACTGCCATCCTTGACGGTGACTTGAATCGAAGTGGATCCTGCGTCGGGGCTATTTTCCAGCAGCTCTTTTAATGCAGAAGCGGGTCTGTGTATGATCTAGTAGAGACGAAATTCATCAGCACTTATTCACGCCTGTACCGTGCGGCGTGGTGTCAACCCAGCGCGTCAAGAGTGGCGAGCGCCGAGCACTCTTAGTGCTCATCACGTGATCGTTACGTTGCTCGATGATCGTGTCCTTCCTTGCTCCCAAAAAAATCAATCAGCATCTTCGATATGGGGAAGCGAACCCCGAGCTACCCTGAATTCTAAGCTTCAAAGCTTGAGAGGCGGTAATGTTAACCATTACACCATATCGTATCCGGTCTTATGTGAGTGTAGATGGCCAAACAAAATATTAATATGTATTGCCAAGTGTCAGCTTCAATGGATGCCTCAAACACGTTATCATGATATCACATAAAGACTGGGCCTAGAAGGATCTATCATCATCATGATGGTAAGGTCGCAGTTCACTGCAGGGAGCTCTCACGAAAAGTTTTGGCGTCAACGCTCGCAAGCACGTGTTTGTCATGGTTCGAGTCGTAGCCGCCCAAACGACTTGCTGTGTGCCACCTCCATCTGCTCTGTTCGCTCACCTCAGACTCTTCCAAATTTCACTAGCTTTTCTTGGAATCATCATGTCACAAGCATCAGCCACCGACGACGCCGAGGATCAACGCACCCACAATGACTCGGATGAGCAGCTTCCTCCGCAAAACGACGTTGTAGGACCCATCGAGGAGTGAGTTGCAGCTTCTTGGAATATATCGTCGATCTAACAGCCAGACAGGGAGAAGATGAATGTTGAACCTCTGACAGAACTGCCATCAGGGATGTATGTGTTTCTTTCCTGACGGAGGTCTGCGCCACTCCTTACTAGAATTGCAGCTCGAATGCTGGACCTTCACGGCCGTTGGGACCTCACGAACAGCAAAATACTTCCAATGTTTCATCAGTCGGTGATTTAGCAACGTAAGTTCTTGTCTATAATGATGTCAAATATGCTCCTCAATTGTCTCAGCGAGGCAGAAAAGGTTGTGGCAGAGAAGGACCAGCCAACTCTAAGCGAATTGTGAGCCAAAAACTTGAAGCCAAGCGATCGCAGCTGACCATGCCCTACACGCAGAGCAAATGTCATGAAGGAAGTGTTGGAGGTTCTCAAGGACTCGACGATTGCGTCGAAGAATGGAAAGGACGAACGGTCTCGTTTCTGGAGGGTGTACAAAAGAGTCGCGGAGGAACACGACAGCGAGTTCCTCGAGCGATACACTAGCGACCTGAACATCCTCCTGATCTTCGTAAGTTCAGCCTGCTTATCTGTATTCCGTTTCGAGCTTGATGTTCGACCAGTCTGGTCTTTTCTCCGCTGTCAGCACGTCTTTCATTGTCGCGATGGAGTCCGATTTCAGTCCCGACCCTAGCGACACCACGAATGCCCTTTTGAAGCAACTCGTGCAGATCGGACTCGGCAATCTCGCTGAGGCAGGCTCTACTCCCGTAGACCCAGCATCCGGCTGGTCTCCGACTGCGCCGACCTTATGGATCCAAACGATCGCATATGCGAGTTTGTCAATGAGCTTGCTTGCTGCGTTCGGGGCCGTGCTGGGAATGCAGTGGCTAGGGTATTACAAGTCGAACAGATATGGCCGTGGCTCGCAGGAGCAGCAAGGGAAGCGTAGGCAAGAGCAGTTCGACGGCATTGTGACATGGTATTTTGATGCCGTCGTGCAATCCTTTCCGGTCTTACTTCAGATATCTCTTCTTCTCTTTGGGATCGCTCTCGGCGCCAAATTGTGGTACGAGCAGGCGAGCATTGCCTGGGTCCTCATCGGAACGACTGTCTTTGGATTTCTGTTTTATTCCCTAACTGTAATGGCTTGTTTGATATCTTCCGCTTGTCCATATCAGACACCGATATCAATGCTATTACACGTGTTGCGCATCGACAGTAAGATCATTTTTTCCGAATTCTGGTGGTCTCCCCGGTCTGAATCAACATTGCAGGCGCTCTACGCCTGGGGTTCGACCTAGCTTTCTATTGTTTCCAGTGGCTCACAGCATCACTACACGGTGAGTTATGTCCTCTTCCATGTGTACAGGTTTTGACCGTTTCATGTCAGGCGTGCTGGGACGATTGCTCAGTATTATCAGATCGGAATGGACCCAGTTGTCTGAAGTATCTAGAGGTGACGATCTTATCTACTATTACAAAGATACTCGGGGCTCATTCACTCCCCAGGCCCTGTGGATGCGGTAGGTACATTCACACGACGATCTCTTCAGCAGTTAATCACTAGGCTTCATAACCGGCTGCGTTCTTCAACAAAGGTTATGGACTCAGAGGCACAACCGCTCAGCCAGGATCTGGATGTTTTGGCACAGAATCATCGCACCCTTAACCTCGACCTCCCTGACATACCCACCAGCGATTTCGAAGCCCACAGCGTCAAGTGGCTACTCCAGACATCTACGGATCCTGAAGTATTTCTCGCTGCTGCCAGTCTTGTCCCGCAGGTCGAATGGCCCCTGGATCTTGATGTTTCAGACATGCTGCATCAGCTGTCTGATATTTTTACGAGTTGCGTCGATATTCAGGAGCGCATCGTACCGTCTTTGGAGGAGAAGGCTTCGGCTTGTGCAATGGCTCTAAGTCATCTATACTATGGACGTGTTCTTCAGGCACATCCTGACCGTGGCGAATTTATTATCCGTGGAAGAGAAGACTGGCATGTCTTATATGAGATTTGGAGCATGCACACATCCGACCGAACAGTGCTTAACACGGCTAATTGTCTTACAAATGGCAATCACGGGGGTTATCTTTTATCACAGACTTGCCCCCACTCCGTCTATGAGCGGCTGTCACATCTTCTTCCTTATCACTTTGTAACTGGGCGAGTGACTAGATTCATAGAAAACCTCGCGATAACAGTGATATCAAAATTGCTATCATCCCCATCCTCTCCGTCGAATCAAATACTGGCCAATTGCATTCTCCTTGCTTGCGTCATGGTCGGGGCTCACGTTGACAAGAAAAACATAGTTCGGATTGATAAAAGGTAACATCGACTCATTCGGCATTTTTTTTGCCATGATTAACAAAGAGATCGTGTAGTTCTGCTCTGCCTCGACTCAGTAGGTCCATTTTGGCGCAGTTCCAAAAGGCTCTCTGGGCATGGGATGGAGGCGAGCTCGACAAAGATAGGACAGGAGTCGCACGCCGGGCATGGAACCTCCTCGATATCGTTTGTCGCATCGTCGAGCTTGCCAGGCCTCACCTTTCTTCTTCATTCAACCCTATGCGTAACCTGGAAGTGTGCAGGAAGATTTATTCGCGAGCGAGGTCATCCAAACAAAAAGATGCCTCGGTTTCTTTGGCAGGGCTGCGAAAGGTACTGCACTTCACGTTCGCTGCTTCCGATGTTTCTTGGGATCCTGCCGAGCTGTGGTTGGACCACCAGTTTGGGAGACGTGATTCGCACTCGCCAGAAGACTTTGACTGGCTTGTAGACTATCTTGACTTCATTTATTCCGACGACCACCAAGCGGCATATGATATTCTTTTTCTACTGAGTAGTATGGGAGTGTGTTGCAGCCCTGCTAAACAACATCTGTTCATCGAGAGGCTCATCGCCTGTATGGACAGCAACATGCCTCTCCATTTACGCCACGCCGCTCTTTGCGCTGCTCACAGTGCCCGAGAAGAAATCGCCTTGATTGATGCCCTTGACGATTCGACGCTACGGGACATAGTTTTGACCAAGCTCTCCCCCGCTATTCTATCCCTGCTTTGTCCGCACCCGGGTAGCACACTCGCTAATGATGGCCCCGACCTCTTTTTCGTTCGTGCCCGCGACTTGTGCTATGTCGAACTGGTCTGTACCCTTGCGGGGAATCCTGACTGGCACCCCCATTTGTCTGGGGATCGCCATATTGATTGGTGCATCAGCATGATTCCAAAGTACTGTAATCCCGAACCATCCACGGAGCATGCCTTTTTCATAGCTTGTATCCTCCTCCAAATCACACTGGAACAGACATCGGTTACATCGCTCAATTCTGTTACGGAGCAGCAGCTGTGTGACGTGATGAGAAGCGCGTGGAAGCGTCTTCCAATTAACATTCACCAAGCACGCTATTTCAAGCCCCTTCTTGTCCTTGTGGATGGCACAAAGAAGTATATGCAGATTGCTTCGAAATCTGATCTCGAGCAGCTTATCAGAAGTGTGGATTACTGTCTCATAGTTCTGCCGCCAATGATGCAACCGGAGATGGGACTGGAGATGCACGATTTAGAGCTGGGAGAGGGGATTATGATTGCTTTGAAGGAATTGAGAAATACAACCAGCAACATGCTGGAGAGCTTCGATCAATAACTATTAGTCCCCTAATCATGACTGTGCTTGCAAGTTATTAGAGTCCTGGAATAGAGGAAGTCATGGGGCAGTGTATGTACGGAAGCGGGAAGTATCAACACCTCAACGAAATCAATATTGAATGCACAAGTCATTTCTGAGGTTCTGCGCTCGGCTATCCTAGTCACGTCCCTTCATCAATATCCACAGAAAGACAAAGACAGGGTAACGAATTCGTCTCCATATCGCAATCGTCCTTTTTTTGGCAGAGTTGTAAACAATAGGGCTGAAATCAACAAATTTGTCTAGCGGAAGCGAACGGTTCTGCCTGTATGCGCAGTCGGATTACCTGGCTTCGATAAGCCGACGAAGGGGTTGCCCACCCCAATAACACCCTGTTGTGCGTTGTTCTCGCAGGTAAGCATAGCATATAAAATACTGGGTGAGAATTGGGACGGCGGGACGTCACCATCAACGGCGTCCATTTCGGAACTTCCGAAACGAAGGCATGAAACCAGGGAAGAACTTGTCGGTAAGGGTGGGTGATAACTTGAGGTATGATGAATAAAACTTAACTGCTTGACTTCTTCAGCACATACAGTGACGGTGCCGTTATTACCAAAATAAGTTTCCATATACCAGTCCTAATGAGGTGAAGGACTTAAGTATATTCATGAGCAGCCTGGGCAATGCAGATATCCGTTTCGTTTGATAGTACCACCTCAGTTAATTTTGGGTACAGAAGAAGGTGACGGATGGGCGGCGCAATGACACTGCAACTCCGCTCGAAATGCCGCTAGCGAACTTGGACTCTTGGAAGCCCCTAGACTTGCCCATAGTATGTAGACTTTCGCCATTGAAATGGGGTCAGCGTCACCAGCCAGATCACAAAAAGAAGTTTCGGATACGGGGAATCGAACCCCGAGCTACCGCGAATTCTAAGTTTGAGAGGCGGTAATGTTAACCATTACACCATATCCGATGTACATGTAGTTGATCCCTACCATACTCATCAAAGTAGTGATACATATAGCAAGAAGACAATGTCGCATATCCTCTCCGCGACGAAATAAGTACCCCCTCACAACTTCGCAACCATGATACAATATACCAACGCACCATCAGGCGCCCAGTGTATGATATTGAAACATATTCCACTTGATAGATATAGAACCACATGGCTGAGAGTAATAATTAAGGCGATAAAATGACCATCAGTCATCAGATCAACGACCCCTACGTGTCACGAAATTCTAAAAATACAAAATCAGTCCACGATCCTGCGCCCGAAAAAAAATGCTGGCTCACATCCAGATCCTGTGATGTCGCTACGGCAAGCACGAAATTTTTGCCCTGGTCCGTAACTACAACAATCACCATCAGAAGTCAGAACCGTAAAACCAAAACATTCAACGCACCTAATGCAAAGATATTATCCTGCAAAAACTCTGCCAGTTCCGCAAGGGGCGTCAAGGGTGTTACGAGGGTGTAATGCTGAGACGCGCTGCGATTGAACTTGGTCATGTATTTACTGACGGAGTCGTTCTGACCGTCGGATTGAGCATGCAAGAGATAATTGATCTAATAGCGATACGTACTGGCGATGCTGTGCCTGCTTCCCACTTTTCTTTCAGAGCGGCAACGTCTACGTACCCGAGTGGACGACGATCACGGTTGAGGACGCTGAACAGGAAACTTAGCCATTGGCGCTCATGGAAGACACGCACTTACGGTATATGGGAGAAATCACGATCATATGCTGACTCCATTGCGCGAGATACAGATTCGGAGGAGGGCAAACAGAATGCAGGGGGAAGTTGCAGGTCCTAACAATCGATGATGCGTTGACTTATCTCAGTTTCGGACGATAATTGATTTAATGATACGCACCTCTACAACAGCACCACGGTATCTATCATTCGGAGGCATTGATGTTAAGGCAAAGATGTTGAAAGGGATTGCGTCTGATGGGAGTTGAATTGAGGTTGCCATCTTGAGGGAACCGGATGTAGTGTACACACGCACCACTTAAATCGCCAGAGCTTTAAAGAATGAAACGATTCCTGTCAATTTCGAAGCGAAGGTCGACCGAACCGGACAGTACCCGAGGCACCGATGTCATTGGGAACATGTGACTCGCTATGACCGCGTGTGACACTGATGTAAGCCTGTGAATTTCATGTTTCTTTCTTCCTCATCCGTCAATCAGAAAAGTTGTGTTTCACTGTCGTATTAATGTTTTATAGCAATTGTCGTGTGGTATTCTTGGTCAACGGTCATTCGTTAAAATTGCTGTAAAGCAAGTGAGTACTCAGTTTTGGAGTGATCATGTACTAGTTGCTCATCATTGAACGAACTAACACATGGCGATAAGCTATATTATCCTGGCACGAACAAGAAAGCGATGTCGCCGGGACATAGCAGTTCGATCCGGTTTTGATGGGCAACAAGTAAGTGATTGATTTATACGCATTGGGTGGCTCTCAAATTCAAATCTCTCCGTACACAGCCCACACGCCAGGCAGCTAGCTAGCTGCGAATGCAACGTCTAACTCGCCTCACAAAACGAATCCCCCAACCCAAATAGACTCCCGCCTGATAGTGGGAGAGGTTTCATCAAAATTTCAAATGTTCATCAAGCTCCTCGTGCGCCGCTCAACCTCGAGCAAGTTGGATACAAGTGGAGTACAGTTGTGTATTGTTTCAAAGTAAGCAACTGCTCTGTTTTGGAATCAGGGACCCGCTGCTGCAATATGATTGAAGTGGCCATGTAGTTGCTATCCGACATCAAGACGATGAAGGCGACCGACGATCACCCCGGATTCGACTGAGATGTTCCTATATATATGTGGACGCAATTAGTGTCCGTCGATCAATCTACTTGGAGGCTTTCTGCCTACTGAGTCGGATCTGCTCATCCGCCACGCACAGCCTTGACTTTTGAAAGTGTTTCCTTGCGCCTCAAGCAGTCGTGCGAGAAATAAGCTGTGTTCACTCTGCTGAAACGTCACGGCATTATGCTCGTCTGGGACAATATTTATGATTCCTGATAGTCACCAGGCGTGTGACCTGCCGTATAGTACCACGGACAAGTCGAATAGTGCGTCAACCTCTCAAATATGCAGCTCAGAGTCTAAATAGTCACGTCAAAGTCGACATTGACTCAGGCGTTCCTGCCAATATGTCGCTTGTTACAAATGACTTTGCTTCGAACGCTCGTAGGGCTTGTGACTATCGGACATCTGCGTGATTTCATTCAACTCATTCGACAACATTTGATGGGATCAATCAAAGATTCTGATGCGAGACGCGCACACCAAACTAATCACTATAAAAGCGATGGACGGTGGTATTTCTGCACGCACTCAAATACGCCCCATCTCGATATGACCATAGTCTCAGATGATCCCGCTCGGTGGCCGTTCATCAGTTTTTGTCATCTTTTGGGCTATTTTGCAGGTTCGTAGAGAGAACAACTGCGATGCCAATGGTGACATTTCAGTATCTCTGACCACCGCTTCACAGTTGCAAGCTCTACTGCGGTGATATACAACTGGGGTGAGCGAGATAATACGTTTCGAGGGATCATTGATATGTATGCAGTATTCAAGCATTAACATTCGGACGAGAGGTAAGTTGATATCGTGATCTGTGCGTCTCACTGAGAATGCTTCCACAGTTCGAACTGATCTTAGTGAGCAAAGTTCTATATCAGAACCAAACAGCATGATGCAGTTGACTCGGGCAGGGACAACGTTGGTCCATCATGACCGTTCTTTATATTTGTGTACGGTTTTGCTATGAGCGCAGTTGACATGTGTTGTGCTGACTGTAACATATGATAGGTGCGCTACATTGGAATAATATATTCTGTGTACGTTTGCAGGGCTATCTACATGACACTGCAATGCGCTGATAAGTCATCTCTCGCAACCAGCGCCTACATCTTACGTATGTATGCTCAAATTTATTCGCTTCTTCTGACTGATGGCACGCAGAGAGTTTACCTGTCTCGATCACCGATGCAGTGGGTATTCTGCACCGATGCCTATCATACCCATTCAACTACTAACTACGCTCCTATATAGGAGTGAGTGATATTTTCTCGGCCGGCTTGTGTTCTCAAGATAACGACTACAACAGTTGTGAGCTCATTTAAAGTACTTATTCCACCACCAAGTAACTAGGTTTTCAGGCACTATCGTTTGGTACATAGGGACATGGAGCCCTGTCATCGTCAATGCCATGTTGGGCGGTGAGCTCACCTGTGGTTTCGTTACCGATATTGACTTGACTAAAATATCATTCAAGTCATCATGGTTGCTCGGATCAATGCCATGTATCAAGGATCCAAAAATTTGTTTATCTTTCTTGTTGTAATGTTGTTGGGTTCCACGATTACCTCCGGAGTTATGGTGGTAATAGCAAACCTGGGTGTTTCAGGGCGTAAGTTTTGATATTGATGAAAGCCTGGCACCCAAAAGACTCATGGTCATTTACCAGAGGAGGCCATCTTTTCTGGCTACCACATCTGCTGGACCGAAATTGACATGTACAAGCAAAACCTGAATTTCGAGAGTATGATATCCACCGTTGTATGGGAGATCCTTGCCTTGTTTCTTACAGTCTGGATTGTTATAAAACACATCCGTGAACTGCGACAATCGCCGACAGGATCGACCATTGGGGACTATTTCATGGTGTTAGCAGAGAGTCACGCATTTTACTTCCTAGCGTGAGTTTGGTTATTCGGATGTTCTTGTCTCGTTTCACTGACGTTCCGCATCTGTTAGCTTTGCTACTATGGCTTGCTTCACACTTGGCTTACTGTCTCCGAGTATCACCTCGGTGCGCTGACCTGTGACTGGCGTGTGCATCTGACCACTGATCCTTTTTCTGCAGAACTCATGGCTCATGGAAAGTCCTATTTTTGTTGGCGTTTGGTCAATTGCCCAGATGTTGCAGATGTTCGTGCTGGGACCACGTCTGATCCTCAGCATTCGAGAATATCATGCTAAGCTCGTGGCCAGGGCCGACGAGGAAATAGGAATGACGCTCATTACTTTCCAAGCTGGTGGAGATGCGTTGATCGACGAAGATGCGTTGACTGGCGGAGATGTGTAACAAATAAAACGATCTAAATGATCGACCACGGTACTGTGCGGGGAGCATGCATATTTCTGGTATATTTTGCCTCACCATGCTGTGTTTGGTGTTCCGATACGGTCTGTCGCAGAAGTGCAAGATATCTTGGCGCAGTGGCAGGAGTCCTAGCTCGTGGTAGTCCTGCGGTCAGTCCTGCACAGATAGACCCGTAGCCTACCTCCATCTATAGAGGTTTGGCCTTTGATTTCCCTTGCGGTCTGTGCCCGGTCCACCGAAGTGATTTAGAGGACAGAACTTCTTTGACTTAAACTCTGTACGCCGTACAGACAGTCGCGAAAAATTAAGGAGAAAGAAAATCGTCGGTCATGCGACACCATCACATGCATCCAGGATCTCATACCATCACCGACCAGATGCTAATAATATACTAGTTGAGTGCCCGATTTATTACCGAGGGCGCAGTTGGCAGCAAGATTACGACAAGAAAGGTTAGAGCATCGAATCTACTTAGAGTGAAACAAACGCTGGATTCAATATAGAGCGAGTCAGGACTAAGCTCTGTAAGTACAAGTGCATACAACCTACAAGAGAATGACATACAACAGGAAAGTGCAAAATTTGAGGCAAAACATGGGCTACTGATACCAAACCACAATCGCGTGGCTGAGTGACGAAGGTGAGACCTTTAACAACACTACCAGGAAGCAAGAGATACCTGTATAGTGAAAAATTTTGCAACACCAGGTTATTACTGGCCCGGGCATCCCCGAATTCATGGGGTTCTCTGCCAACACACAGCCCCGACATAACGAAGTCCTGCAAGTCAGTTGTCTGCATTAGTATAGATTAATGATTACATGGTCACTGATGCCACGAATAGATTTTATCGGTGTTTGCGGGTTTACCGTTTCAGAGATGGCCGAAATGTACTTTGCTTCCGGAACGAGGGCTTCCAAGTTCTCACACGCGTCTGCATTCTGATTCGAACCACGGACACGGACAACTCAAAGTACTACCAATCATTATAAAAGCGATGGACAGCGGTATATCTGCACGCACCACCATCCCGACATGACTAGAGTCTTAAATGATCCCGTTTGGTGGCCACTCATCAATTATACTTGTCTTGTCAACTATTTCATAGGTTCGCAGAAAGCAATCAGCATGATGTCAATGACCCTGATATCTCAATATCTCTCACTGTCGCTTCGCAGCTGTATGCTTTGCTGCAGTGGTATATGATTGGGGTAAGCGAGATAATACTTTCCGAGGGATCATTGATATGTAGGCAGTATTCAAGCATTGACATTCGGACAAGAGGTAAATTGTTGTCGTAACCTTTGCATCTTACTAAGAATATTTCAACAGTTCGAACTGATATTGGTGAAACGTTGGTCCTTCATGACTATTCTTTATGTTTGCGTACGTCATTGCTATGACCGCAGTTGGCATGTTGTGCCAACTTCAACATATACTAGGTGCGTTACATTGGAATATTATATTCTGTGTACGTTTGCAAGGCTATCTATATAACACTGCACTGCTAATAAGTCATCTCTCGCAACTAGCGCCTACCTCCTGTGTACGTGTCCTCAAATATGTTTGCTTCTTCTGACTGGCGGTATACAGTGAATCTCCCAATCTCGCTTACCGATACAGTGGGTGTTCTGCACCAATGCCTGTCATTCCAATTCTCATTCAACTACTAAATACGCTCCTATATAGGGGTGAGTGATATTCTCCGCCGGGTTGTATCTTCAAGATAACGACTTCGACAGCTGTGAGTTCATTTGAAGTATTTATTCCACCACCAAGTAACTGGGTTTTCAGGCACTATCGTTTGGTTCATACAGGCATGGGGCCCTGTCGTAGTAAATGCCATGTTGGGAGGTGAGCTCACCCGTGGTGCCTTATTGATATTGACTCGACTGAAATATCATTCAAGTCATCATGATTGCTCGGATAAATGCCATGTATCAAGGATCCAAAAAGTTACGCATCTTCCTTGTTGTAATGTTGCTGGGTTCCACCATCGCCTCCGGAGTCATGACAATGATTGGAAACTCAGGTGTTTCAGCGCGTAAGCTTCAATTATCGATAAAAGCCTGGAGTACAAGAGACTCACAGTCATTACCAGATGAGGTCGTCCTTTCCGGCTACCATATGTGCTTTAGCGACATCGGCACGTACATGGGAAATCTGACTTACGAGAATGTGATATCCGTCGCTGTATGGGAGATCTTCGCATTGTTTCTTACGATCCGGATTGTTATAATGCACTTCCGTGAACTGCGACAATCGCCGAGACGACCGATCATTGGGGACTATTTCACGATATTACTAGAGAGTCATGCGTTTTACTTTCTAGCGTGAGTCTGGTGATTTCAACATTACTTATCTAGTTTCACTGAAGTTCCGCATTTGTTAGCTTTGCTATTATGGCTTGCTTACAGCTTGGCACAACGTCTCCAAATATCGCGGTGTGCCAACTGGTATCTACAGCTGACCACTCTCTTATCATCTCTTTGCAGCTCTCATCGTCCGTGGGGAGTGCTGTTTTCACTGGCATTTTGTCAATTTCCCAGATGTTGCAGATGTTTGTGCTAGGACCACGTCTGATCCTCAGTATTCGAGAATACCACGCCAAGCTCGTTGCCAGGGCCGACGGTGGAATAGAAATGACCTCCCTTGCTTTCCATGCTGGTGGAGATGCATTGACCAGCGACGATGTATAACACGTAAAACGATCCAAATGATCAACCATGGTGCTATACAGGGAGCATACATGTTTTGTCGTGATATTTTGCCTCGTATGTATTTGGCGTTCCGAAGTGATTTGGAGGATAGAATTTTTTGTACTTTCTCCTACTACCTGTGACACGGAGTCCCCTGGAGTGGCTACTCGGTGCTTGAAGCTCTACCAATCCACTCAATTACGAGGCCCCCTCCGCAGAAACAGATGCCAAGCTATAATAACGGCCAATTCGCACTGCACGCGAGAGGGAGAAAGATATACATATACATTGACAGGAACATTCAAGTTGGGTGTCACGAAATTGCACAAAGTCTCATCGGTACAACCCCCCCGGAGCTCTTTGCGGAGTACTCAGATAAGGCATTCGCATGCCTGCTGATTGGAATATTTTCCCGACTAGAGCGTATCAGCGCGCGTCAGGCTCCATACTGGCCACTGCTGCTGAAGACCTGGGAGTCGTTCTGGGAATCATCCGAGTTTCAGAATACGTATCTCACCAAGAAGACTGTCACGGCGCTCAACGCGCACACCCTGAAATATTTGGAGGACTGTACAAACCAAAATTGTGCATCCTCAAAGGAACTTTCGAGTAACCTCTGTGCGCTTGCGAGTAGTGTCAGAGAGCTGCTCAAACAAGTATCACGGCGGGCGCTTGAAGTGCAATACCAGGCAACTGTGTCCAGAGGCACGTCAAAGAGCTATCGGACGCCCTCGAACGACGGCTGTCCGCAGTGCAAGTTCCATAAAACCCTTCTCTAGCCGACCTGCGGCAACTGTTAATTGTAAGGAGGCCTATAGCTTCTGTTCCGGACGCTCGCCGGGATTCGCATTTCAATGATCCTGAAAGTTCCAAATGCGCAGTTTACGATTCTTTCCGTATACACTCTTGATCTTACAGTCGCGCGATACATGGAGTTCGTCGAATTCATGGTTGATGAGCTACTTGAGGATGGCTCTGATAAGGGATCGGATGATGATACTACCGGTAGTCATGGAGGGTCAGATGTCAGCATACGGACTGCGTCGCCAACATGGCCAGAGTCCCCTACGTCATCCGTCATATCCACTTTGTCCATCAGCTCTCTAACATCGCTTTTGACAGCGTATTCCGATGTTCTATCGCTCGATATCCCGGACATGTGTGATCAAGTGTTTACGCATTTTATTGATGCGATCGGGGCACTGCACAATGAAGTGGAGAAGTGTCGGGTACTTGACGTGCGTCCATCTCTGACTCGCGCACCGCAGCTACACGGTGACACCTGCTGCAAGAATGGGCGCTGTTATCACCTGAAAAGTTTCGCCGCAAGCTTCGCGTTGATGCAGAGGTGTTCGATGAACTCACGACGTTAATCCAAGCCCACCCCATTTTCCATAATAATTCGAACAATCCACAACTTCCTGTTGCAGTCCAGCTCGCGATCTTTCTCAATGGTGTCGGCCATTATGGCAATGCTGCGACTACCGAAGACATATCTGATTGGGCTGGAGTGTCCGTAGGGACCGTCTACAACTGCTACAAACGAGTCATGATCGTGATCTTGCAACTGCACGATCGCGCCATTCATTTTGATCCGCTCGATCGTGAGGATCAGATCGAGTGAGAGCGGGCAAAAGCGTACGTGGAGCAGAGGACATGTCGTGAGTGGCGCAGCGGTTTTCTTTGTGTAGATGGGACTCCGTCCCCTCTACACGAGAAGCCTGGTTGGCACGGTGAAGGGTTCTTTGACAAGAACTCTGACTACTCTCTAACAGCGCAGGTAAGTATCTACTATCGGCTCAGTGTGCAGCGCAGTGACTTACAATTCGAAAGGTCGTCGTATTTCCCCACAATCTGCGTATCGTCGACTAGTGATGTTCCGGCTCGGCTTCAAGCCCCGGGCCAGGCCAAGCCGGGCCTGATTGAGCCAGGCCCAGCCCAGGCCCAGGACACGGCCTGACCAGGGCTTTGGCCCAGGCTTCAATTTTGCGAAGCCTAAGCCGCCGGCCCAAGCCGTGGCTTAGCAGTGCACTATCTATTTCGGTATGTAAGTTTCTGTTTATGTTTATGTTGCCATCTTGCGATCGGTATCAGCTTCTCAGTCAATCATACCATGAGGTATGTCAGAATGAGATCACAGTGAGTCGCCGTTGTCATGTTATTAAAGCTCGCTGATATTTACCCCGGTCTTGAAAAGCAAACATTCAGCAATCCATGCGCCTTTACAGTCTTGCCTGGCGCTTCAACTTCGCTGCCTTCGCAAACTTAATCTGTTTTTGAACCATGTTCGATTTTTTATATGTGGTACGTGTATATGTGTTGTATCTACCTAGCAGCCTGCAATGACCAGCACAGTCCACACAGATAGTGAAGATGAACCTATCGTGCATTCTCGTCCCATACGCAGGATCAAACCCACTGCTGCTCTCCTCCAACACTCGGAGAAGGCCGCCCTTCCATCCCAAACCAAAGCCATCAACGAATTCCGTGCCGCGGAGGCAGCCAAGCGTGCTTTGGAGGTTTCTGCCCAACCCAAGCCCGTGCCTCCCCCACCCACAGCTATTTCCTCGTCCAACGTGCCTCCCCCACCCTCACCTATTCCCTCATCCAACAAACGCTTGCATCCTGATGATGCCTTTGTCGACATCGAAGATGAATCTGTCGACGAAGACCATGACTCAGTCCGCGAGAATGCTCGTACCAACCCTAAGCCTCGTAGAAAGAAACAGAAGGCCCCAGAGAAGTCCCCCGAGTTGGTTGATGGAGATGGGGTTCTCATCGACATTGATGTCTCTATTGCGGACCCAGGATTGTCTCGGGAAGGCAAAACTGCTGATATCGACGCATTCTTTGGAGCGACATTTGAGCAAACCGGGGCCAATGGCAAAGTGAAGAAACACCGAAAGTGCAGTGTTTGCCCGTAAGTCTACCTTTGTACTCTCATACTACTCACTCACTCGGCAGCTCTACCAGCAGGTGTATCTGCTATTCATTGGTGGGGGGTACGTTCTATGGCTTGCGCTACTTGGAAAATTCGCACTGATGTCAATTTTGCTCAAGATAAATGCACCAAGATATCCAGTATGGGCCTCGCTCGCACGAGATTACCTATCCATCATGTCGTCATCAGTCTCAAGCGAGCGTGCATTCTCGCAAGGTGGCATAACCATCAGTAAACGACGGAACCGGCTTAAAGGAGACATTGTTGAAGCTCTCCAATGTCTCAAATGTGCGATACGACACGACCTTATCTTTCGCGAGCCTGGACCATCCTCTCTTGTGGAGTCGGAGGAATTTGACGACTCTGAATTGGAAGCTGACAGTGAGGAGAGGACCGGAGATGTTATTGCAGACAAGGAGGATGCTTGGGATGCTTTGATTTCAGATGATGACGAGGTTTCTGAGTAGTTACTTCATGTATTTTCTTGTGCTACTATACTACGAATCTACAACTTTGCATACCACCAAGCCGCGGCCTAGTACGGCTCAAGCCACGGCTTTGGGCTGGCTTGGGCTCACGGCCTAGGCTTGAAATATGGCAAGCCTAAGCCCCCCCAGGCCAAGCCTAAGCCGGGGCTTTGAGCCCAAGCCGGGCCGGAACGTCACTATCGTCGACTATGTCATTGGCGTACCCGGGAGTCTTCACGACTCGAACATATTTGCATGAACGAGGGTCTCCCGGGATCCCAAGTCGTTTTTTGGTGCGGGAGAGTGGTTGTGGGCAGACTCGGCGTATGCTGCGTGAACTTGGTGTGTGCCGCCGTATAAACGGCCAGCGGGAGGGTGCTTGACGGCCGAGCAAAAGACATTCAATTATAACCTGTCAACAGTGAGCATCGATACTAATATACTTTCGTAGTCCTCACCCAGTGTCTAGGTCCGTGTTCATTCAGAGCACTTTTTCGGCTCTATCAAGGGCCGGTTCCAATCACTGCGGGAGCTTCGCATCCCGATCCAAAGCCAGAAGGACCTCAACTATGCAAACATGTGGATCCGTTCGTGCTTCATTCTGCACAACTTAATTGTTGAAATTGAGGAAAAAAGATACCGCGAAGACTCAAACATACGCTTCTATCAGCCAACTCGGAGGTCCAGGCGAGCTGACAGTGACGGAGGAGAGGATGATCAGCAAGAGGGTGGCGCAGTAGGTGATCAGACTTACATTGGAACTGTGGGGCAGGATTTTCGTAACATGTTAAAGACGCGGTTGCTTTCGTCGTTGGAGCGAAGGTAGTTAGTATTATATTAAATGTACTTGTACCTATACATCTTCCTTTTGGCTTGCAAGGTCATGCTTGAGATTTTCTCGAGAAAGGAGCGTTTTAGTGAGTGCTCTTTGTCAAGTAGAAGTTCTTCGTCCTCTTTAGTACCTAAAGAGGGGTCAGTCATGCTTGAGATTTTCTCGAGAAAGGAGCATTTTGGTGAGCTCTAGGAGGGGTCGGTTGAGCTTGAGATTTTCTCGAGAAAGGAGCGTTTTGGTGAGATCTAGGAGGGGTTAGTTGCGCTTGAGATTTTCTTGAGAAAGGAGCGTTTTGGCGAGCTCTAGGAGGGGTCGGTTGAGCTTGAGATTTTCTCGAGAAAGGAGCGTTTTGGTGAGATCTAGGAGGGGTCAGTTGCGCTTGAGATTTTCTTGAGAAAGGAGTGTTTTGGCGAGCTCTCTGAGTTGGCACCATCGAGTACAAAATGGAATGCATTTCCTGAAAACCTGTTACATGACGACATAGTACAAACCTACTTAGTTTTGATCAAGACCACGCTTCAAGGCAATACGACGAATTCAAGCCTCCTCCTCCTCCCGACGTGCACGAGATAGCTCAATCTCAATTCTTGCAAATTCAATTTGTTGAGTCATCCTCTCCTGCTGGTGGAGATGATCTTGGTCAGATAGACGCATCGCATGCTCCCACTCATCACGAGCACTGCGGGCCTTGAGATCACGAGCCCAAATTTCGGTCTCAAGTTTCATGCGTTTATAGTGTTCTTGCTCCACACGACCCTCACGTTTGCTGTTAAGGTGTGTCATTAGGGACTCTGCCGTCTGAGACATCCTATCTGCAGCAGCAGAGGTCTGATCAAGAACGCTGCCACCAGGGCGTTTGCGTGATGAAGAGGGGGGGCGACTAGATTGAGGCGAAGCACTCTGAGTAGGTGCATGTGCACGAGACTGCTTTGTAGAAAGAGAAGGTGAACTTGCGCGACTTCCTTTGAGTGAGCTGACACGAAGAGACTGCAGCGCTCGGCTAGCACCAATGTCCGAGTCTTCCGAGTCAATGGGTGTGGACTGGGGGCTAGGTGATGACTCCTTGAAATCAGAAAAAAAAGGTGAATTCTGGGTGGTGCTGTGATGGGGTACTGGTGAGCGCTCAGGAGAGTTCAATGATATCACGCCGTGTGTGTTGGAAGTTGCGATGGGAGGGAGTTGGGGTCGTTGGTACCAGTGTGGTAATGGAGCTAGTGAGAATGAGTTGGGCGTGTCGCTAGGACCATGGTCCGAAAATAACAGCGGCGATGGTGCTGACAACGGTGATTCGAGTGACTCCATGCAGGGGGGCTGGTCAACCATCATATCATCTGGCGCATCTATAACGCCAGCATCACCTGTAGTACGAGCGCTAATCTCAACTATTTCTCCGTCTTCGATATCCTCGTCTGTGTGAGTGTCGTCGTCGCCTGTGGCTGGTGCTGGTGGTTGCTTTGAAATAGCAAAGTGTTCTAATGCAGTGGCCGCAAAATCTTGCCCTGTATCCGCAGTAGAGAAGGCGTAATTGAAAGCTGGGTTTGTGCGCCACCAGCCATGAAGCTCAGGCCACCAGGGAAATTTTTCAAGCTTTGTATCTGACAGAGATATTATTAAGACATGTGCAGTTCAACAGCAGCTAAAACTTACCGATCAACGACTTCATCGTTGGATCCTCTTGCAGCTCCGCATACGTCTTTCCAGCTCCTGACTGCTTGAGCTCCTTGTTGAACTCGTTATATTTTTTCTTGAGCCTAAAACATCTGATCAGTGATTCTAGTGGGAGGGGGGACAATGCAGGGCCGAGATACGTACGTGCCAAAACGAGTTGAAACTGGTTTAATAAATGCCTTTGGGTCCTCCTTGAAGAGTCGTTGGACCTCCAGATCCTCGTCATTTGAAAATACAGCTTGTGCGACCTGTGAATAGAAGGTATCTCTCGAAGTTCCACTCTGCTTCTTCTTCCGACCTTGCTCCTTGGCGTCCTTTGCAGAATTGGAGAAAAGCTTGATGCGTGCGTCTTCATTTTCCTTGCACCAGGCAAGTAGACGTTCCGTACGAGCACTACGAACCCCCTCCCAATGGATAGTGCATTTCTTCCCAGTGTCCATACTGGCAGACGCACTGGCTCGGACTCCACCACCTCGACCTCTCTGTCCAGAGCGTGACATGATTCAGGGTGTTTATTACGACAACGATTAATGATCGGATTGATGCTTTGGCGCTGTCGACGCCAGCAATGACGATGTCGAGCACACACGCTGACAGATGCTGACAGGGCAGAGCGGAGTTTGAAAGCTGCCGTACCGGCAACATCCAATTTCGCAAAATCTTGCTGTGAATTTTTTTCTACGTTTGACTTTGAGAACCGCTATTGCGAGCAATTTGAGCTGCACGTACAATGTCATACATACCCATGTATGCTTATAAATCCAGCTTAACATTAATGATTTATGACAATGCTGGGACATTCCGCCTCTGCAGCCAATGAGTAGTGGTAGTATACCTGAGCTAATTGTTTTGAGCTTCGACATCTTACCTGATCTCGTTTTTTAATTACAATGTTATTTAAGGCCTTTTCATGGAAAGAGCCTCGGGCATGTGTCGACAAATCTAGAATACCATTAGATTTAGTCACAAAGCTATGACATTCCTCCTTTTCAGATGATGAGGGGTGGTAGTAGACTTATCCCAATTATTTCGTGCATTGTCATTTGGCCCTATTTATTTGTCCCATTACAATGCTATTCAAGCCCTTCTCGTGAGAAGATACCTTTAGCGGACAACTTTTGAAACTAGCTGTACCGCTTCCAGCGGCCTCCGCTTTCAACAATACTACATTAAATATTTTCATCCCCTCAAACAACGCTTTACATGTTTCTGATTGCCGCTTATTGCAAATGTAAAAGTACAGCAGCGCTCTACAAGGCATCAGCGGGATCAATTGTGCTACAGAGCGCTGGAAATATCTACTAAGTCCAACATTTGTATATGTTTGCTCACGTGACGGTGCGCTCACAAAAGTTCAACTTGAACTTTTCTTCCCTCGCTGCTCTCCCTTGCTCATTGCTCTCAATGACACGACGACGACAACGACAACGATACAACGACGACGATACAACGACGACGATGACACGACGACGATACGACGCGACGATGACACAGCGACGACGATACGACGACAATGACACGACGACAACGACGATGCGACGGCGACACAACAACGACACAACGACGGCGACGATGCGACGACGACACAACGACGACGACGATACGACGCGACAATGATACGACGCGACGACACAACGACGATGCGACGACGACACGACACGACAATGATACGACGCACAACGACGACGACGATGAGACGCGACGACGATGCGACGACGACACGACACGACAATGATACGACGCACGACGACGATGCGACGATGACACAACGACGACGACGCGACGATGACGATACGACGCGACAATGATACGACGCACAACGACACGACGACGACGATACAACGACGATGATGACACGACGCGACGACGACAATGATACAACGACATATCTCTCATCATCTGGACCTACTGAGACTCGTGTTCCTTGATATATCAAGGGTATGGTAGACGGAATGATAGATATATAGATGTTCGCCGTTTATGTCAGATTTAAAATTTAATGGAATTTGCTTGATATCATTTAATTGAATTGAAAAAGCTGCCTGAAAATACCGTGCTAGTATTGGATGACTTTCCGTAGGCTGAAATATTCTGATTAGAATATCATATCATATATAAACCTATATTAGGCAGGTGTGCCGCGATGCCGCTGTTCATTTCCAGTCAGTTCGTAACCATGTGTCATCTACCCCCCCCCAATAAACCTTAATTCTATTGGGGGGGGGTACCCCCCCCCCAATAGACTTTAGCGACGACTTGCTTCCGTTTTGGGCCACTAACGCCAGCAATATCCGCTGACATAACCAGCCTTGCTCGAGATGCATGGCACGCAATGCGGCACCTTGCGCAGTAATATTGAGGTACCTCCCAACCCTTCGCCAAGTATGCTAATGTCTCTCTCTCCTGCCACTATCTAGGTGATACCAAGTGCCCACTACGACATGCTTGGTCCTCCGTGCCAGCGTTGATCTATCCGTGGATTTCCATGTGCAGAGACATCATGACGAGGAATTGGCGTTTCATACCAGGCTTGCGCAAATCCTGCAGTAAGTAGTGAAGAGAAAGTGGATACATCAACGCCCATTGTAGTGATGAATGCTCTATCATTTTGGCTAACGTATAGTACCTGCCATGGAGTGTTGATGCGAGGATTTGGAAGCAGTTGGGGTCGGCAGAGGTATAAACGATGTGGGTGCCGAGTGTCAACACGCTCTTGTCGTGACATCTCGGTCCCAGCAATGATAGCAGCAGCGAGGACCTGAAATCTTTCATCGTCGTCGAAAAGGTTAGCCTCGTTTTCGTCAAGAAGCAGCCGCTGGATTGTAAGGCGATTGTCCATCAAGGACTGGACTAAATTCAATTGAACGAGCGCACGGCAGATTATTCCAGTATAGATTATCATATCATCGGTATTCGTAATATTTTTGAGACTCCGGTATATTCTGTTCTGGATTATTTTGCCTACGGAAAGTCATCCATTGTCATGAATTGAGATCCTATTTACGAAAATTTGAAAGGAATTAAAATAATTGGACAGATTGCCAAATCATCAAATTCTTGCAGATTTGTGCAAGTTGGATCGCATTTCATCCAATTTGAGAGGGAGGTTTTTCCTGAGTAGCTTTGACATCGGAAGCAGATATAAGAAAATGAAGCACACGTCTTTCCTCTATAAGGTCAAACATGATAATGTAACGATCGATGGCAGAATTATGCTGATGTGTGCGATTGTGTACTATATATTGTGATATATGGCCTTCTACTTTCTTCACCGGTTCACTGATGGGCACCTGTCACGGCTGATTCAATCAGGTACTGGCCCAGGGCATCCCCTTCATGTCCGCCCATTCTCTATCAATACACCGCTTTTCGGACGAAGTCCTGCAGTCAGTATGCTTACACGGTCTGACCTGATACCCATCTATTTGGATCTATGCATAACCTTGATTTTCGAAGGTGCGGCTTCCTTGATCACGAGCAATGGTGCGCCAAGTTCATCCTGTCAGTACACCACCGCATTAACCGGAGGACAATATTAATAATTTCCGATAGTCACCACTACTAGGCCGCCCACTAACCAGGGCCTAGGCTCGTAACCACCCCGCGGTCAATGGCGCGTCAACCTCTCGATGACAATTTCAACTTTCACGTTGCTGTTGACGAGACTGCACAAATCTTGAAGCCACCTTGGCGTAGGCACCTACCAATTCTCATGATGCAGATGACGGATGCATATGGGACGAAGCCACCATTTGATGTCGGCGTTACTAAGGAATGTCATATACATACTTGGTCTAGTACATTTGAGTCAAAGCGGTTCTGCCGGTTATAACCGGCAGCCTGAGAACTGACCCTAGCCTGCTAGTAGTGTGCATGTAGTACATGCACATGGTCATGACCGCCCAAACTAATCACTATAAAAGCGATGGACGGCAATATGTCTCCACGCACTCCATACGTCCCATCCCGATATGACCATAGTTTCAAATGATCCCACTCAGTGGCCGTTCATCAGTTATTCTTCTCTCATTAACTATTTTGTAGGTTCGTGAAGTATGCGATTCCAATGGTGACATTTCAATATCAATGACTATTTCTTTGCAGCTGCAAGCTCTACTGTGGTGGTATACGACTGGGGTGAGCGAGATAATAAGTTTCGAGTGGTCACTGATGTGTATACGGTATTCAAGTATTAACATTCGGACAAGAGGTAAGTTGATGTCGTGACCTGCACATCTCACTAATAATGCTTCAACAGTTCGAACTGATGTTGGTGAGCAAAGTCCTGTATCAGAATCAAATAGGACAATGCAATTGACTCGGGCAGAGGCAACGTTGGTCCTTCATGACTGTTCTCTATATATGTGTACGTTATTACTGCGAGCGCAGTTGTTTTGTTGTGCTGACTTCACCATATTCTAGGTGCGCTACATTGGAATACTGTTTTCTGTGTACGTCTGCGAGGCTATCTACATAACATTGTAGTGTGCTAATAAGCCATCCCTCGCAACCAGCATTAACATCCTATGTATGTATCCTTATCCTCAAATGTGTTTACTCCTTCTGACTAGCACCATGCAGCAATCCTCCCTGTCTCGATCACTGATGTAGTGGGTATTCTACACCGATGCCTGCCATTCCCATTCAACTACTAACTACGTTCCTATATAGGAGTGAGTGATATTTTCCTACTGGTTTCAAGTGTCCTCAAGAAACAATGTCTTTAATAGCTGTGAGTTCATTTGAGGTATTTGTTCCGCTACCAAGTAACTGGGTTTTCAGGCACTATGATATGGTATATAGGTGCATGGACCCCTGTCATCGTAAATGCTATGCTAGGCGGTGAGCTCACTCGCACCTTCCTTACCGATATTGACTTGACGGAAATATCATTTAAAGTCACCATGATTGCTCGGATAAATGCCATGTATCAGGGATCTAAAAAGTTATTCATCTTTCTTGTTGTAACCTTGCTGGCTTGCACGATAACCTCCGTTGTTATGGTGGTAATTGCAAACCTGGGTGTTTCAGCGCGTAAGTTTTCATTATCGATGAAAGCCTAGAGACTCATGAATATTTACCAGAGGAGGCCGTCCTTTCCGGCTACCATATCTGCATTGACTACAATTACGTGGCAAATCTGACTTTCGAGAGTCTGGTATCCACCGCTGCATGGGAGATCCTCGCCTTGTTTCTTGCACTCTGGATTGTCATAAAGCACATCCGTGAACTGCGACAATTGCCAACAGGATTGACCATTGGAGACTGTTTCACGATGTTAATAAAGAGTCACACGTTTTACTTTCTAGCGTGAGTTCGGTGATTTGGATGTTATCATCTTGTTTTACCGAAGTTCTGCATGTGCTAGCTTTACTATTATGGCTTCCTTGAGACTTGGCGCACTGTCTCAAACTCTTACGGTACGCTGACCTACGACTGACATCTGCAGCTGACCATTCTTCTCATAAATTCTCTGCAGGACTCATCGTCAGTAGGAAGTGATGTTTACTTTGGCATCTGGTCAATCGCCGAGGTATTACAGATGTTTGTGCTGGGACCGCGTCTGATCCTCAGCATGCGAGAATATCACGCTAAGCTCGTGGCCAGGGCTGACGGGGAAATAGGCATGACGTCCTTCAGTACTTTCCGGGCAGGTGGAAATGCGTTGACCGACGGATATGTGTAGCCGATTCAGATGATCGATCGATCAACCATGGTATTGTGCGCGGAGCATTATTTGATTGTTTCGTTGTGATATTTAGCCTTGTCTTGCTATGCATTTGGTATTCCGAGGAGGATAGTACTTTTTACATATTCTGCTACCTGGGACATGGAGCTACGGAGTAGCTAATCGATACTTAATTACGAGGCCACAGCAGAACAGATGCCAACTCAACCTATAATAACGACTAACTTGTACTACATACGACAGACAAGCTAAGCGGCGCCCCACCTTGTTACTAGATTACTGTTGTGTTTCGATTCATATCAATGTCTTATAGCAATTAATTGCCACGTGGTCATGTACACCCGGTCCACATATATGCCAGCCTAGCCATGCCACGTCAAAAGACCCTCGCCACACTCGTCTACATGTATGCCAGCCTACCCATACCCGTCAAAAGACCATCGCCCCACCCGTCCCCAAACTCATCTCGCGCCTCCTCACAAAAAATCACCAACCGAAGAAAGAACCAGCATATCACTTCGCCTTCAACTCCTCCCCAAGCTCTCTCACCCTCTTCTCCCACTCACGCGACTCTTCAATCCGTGACTCTAGCACACGTATCTCTTCGAGGACGCGCGCGAGGTATTTGGCTCCTGTGTCCTCTGTTGTTAGTTCACGTTCGCCACCCCCCGCAGTTGGTTCGCTTTCGCCAGGCGGTGTCGCCAATCCGTTCTCACCACGCCCCTCATGAGCCCGAGGCGTAGCAATCCGGTTAAAGGTCCAACTGCCTGTTCCATCACCCGTAAGAGTCAATATATGCGTGTGATACTTTGTCAGAGACGGTCTGCGTGCGTCAACATTATAAGCATCGACACATAAAAACCACGCAGAGACGCACCGCAAGGAAATGGTGATCAAGGTGATCCCTAATGCCTTTGCGTGCTCGTACATCTGGCCTTCGACGTCGGAGCTCACGGCGGATGTGCATTCTGTTGCGTTTCAGATTAGATCAGATGCCAGCAAGGGAGGTAAGAAACTCACCGTCTAGAATCGCGAATTTGGGACGATGGTAGTAAAGGCGAGCCATCGCAAGCTGTTAACAAGAATGTCAATATCATTCCATCTCGTTCCAACACCATAAAAAAAGAAAACCCCAAACTCACCCTCTGCTTCTCCCCCCCACTCAACACATCCCTCCACTCCTTAACCGCATCCCACCCACCCTCCCTATCCACCAAATACCCAAGGTGAGCAGCGTCCAGCAAGATTTCGAGTTCTGACAGCGCTGCGGGGGACGCAGTGAACTCGGATACGGAATGTGGGTATATGATTTGGGATAAGAGGGACCCTGTGGGGTGGTAGGGACGTTGGGGAATGACGAATACGCCTGGACGACCATCTGCGTCGTCTGTGGGACGCGTAAGTGCATCATCAACAGGACGCGCAACCGTGCCATCAGTACACATAGAGCTCCTGAGCGTCGAACGACTTCCAGGCGCCCAAAGCCCTGCCAAAACACGTGCAACAGCCGTCTTCCCAACCCCGTTAGATCCTGTGATCATGAGGTGCATACCTGGTCGGAGCGTGAGCGTGAGTGCGCGGACGAGGGTGGTGTTTGGCCCTGAGAGAGTTTCTGAGGAAGTCGCTTCCAAGGATGGGGCTGGGGGGATTGGTTCTGCGTGAGCTTGGAGCTTGGATGTAGTAGCGAGGGAATGAGAAGGTGTGGGTGAGGGTGAGTTGGGAGAGGTCAAAGGATCCTCTGGAATGCATATATCCACGTCCTTCAGCGCGAATGTATCACCGTCCCCTGAGAGTGCAAGAGGGAGAGGTGGGAGGTTGTGGAGAGTTGAAAGGAGGGTATAGAGTCTTTAGGTGGTGATCCAATCCAAGAAATCAAAATGAGACCCATAAGCATACCCCAAAGCAACACAAAGCACTCACCGCCCAGTCAACCCAGCAACCTCTTGCAGATCTTTATACGCATACATGAGTCTCCCACCCGCGTCTGCGAGGGAGAGGAGAAGGCGTCGGTTGGAGATGTAGGCTGTATGAATTTGTTAGCTGCGTTTGCTCGTTGGGGGATATAGACAAAGGGGGATGAGGATCATGCCAAGCACCAAAACACTCACTTTCTGTCCTGGCAGCAACGATACCATCTGCTTCGCTCTTCTGGTTCCGTCCCCGCTTTCCCTTTCCATCCACGACACCCGCATCACGGGAGCGCTTCCTTGTGATAAGCAACGGTACGGCTATCAACCCGTACCCAGCGGCGGACCAGAGGTATTTAATGACGAAATCTTCTGTCCATTCGTATGCGATGCGGATCTGTGAAGGTATTAGTTGAGATGGGATGGGTGAGTTTGGGATGAAGAGGGAGGTATGTAAGGAGATTGGTCGGAAGAAATCACAATGGGTGAGGGTAAAAATGGACAAGCGTTTGGTATGAGCAGAATGGTGATGTGTAGAAAGGTAGGAAGCAAATTCGAACGTACCTTATATATCGAATTGACATGTTTGATCAATCGCAGATACGTTCTCGTCAGTATATCTCGTTCGCGTGCGCCTCCGTCGTAGAACCTGCGTTGGCATCAGATGACGGCCATGGCAGACAGAAGGAAGTGCACTTACGCAACTTCTTCGCTTTCTCTCCCGACGCGTCCTACACCAGCTCTATATTCGCCTTCCAGGCGGGCTTCTACGGCTGCGAGACGACCAAAGGCAGGTGTCACGGCACGGAGGATCTGGATGGATGTTAGGGTTGTTCCTAGGATATAGTAGTGGACAGACCTTGGCAGTAATATAATAATTGATAAAAAGTAGTACGGTGCCTCTGAATCCAAGAGACCTTGCGAGTTGGGAGGTGAAGAGAAGGAGGTCGAGGGAGGGTTTCATGAGATTGCCGCTAGTACAAAGAATTAGTTCTGTCCAGGCGGAGGGACGAAGGACATACTAGATACCAGCGACACTCTCTGCCCAAGCGTCGACGTCTGCTGTGATGTACTGATCGATGCCATGGAGGGGAACGCGGTAGTAGCGGAGATAGGGAGCGGAGGAGAGGTAGAGGTCGTGGATGTATCGAGTCAAGCGGGTTCTAAACCTGAGGGAGAGTGTAGATTGGAGGTGGCGAATCTGAAGAGAGTATAAATGGGGATGGAAGGGGAGTTGGGGAGGATACATACCATGGAGTTTGTATATATACTTGGTATAGCAAGTGCGAACCATAGAGCGAGGCCGGTCAAGAACCCTTTGCCATCTGCACTGACCAAGTCTCTTACTATGCGACCATCTAGGCGGGCGACAGCTATGCTCAGCACTGTACGAAGAACGAGAAATGTAGAGTGAGCAGTGAGTAGGAGTGCTTCACGAGTGTAAAGCGAAGGGAGGACGATTCGCAAGAGCGAACGGAGCTGGTGCACAAATGGAAGACCCAGTCCTGGAGTAGCATGCACCAGCGGAAAGTGAACAGCGTCGATGGCAAGCTCGCTTTGACTGTACGTTGGTGTACTGCTTGACTTGTTCCTAAAGGGTTTAAACAGTCTAGACCGAAGAATGAGAACTGTTGCGATCAGAACAAGCAACGGTCGTCGTGATGACTGGTGTCGAAATAGTTCATTAGGGTTGAGCGGTTTCGAGAATATCGTCATGCTCGCTGTACGTTACAGCGAGCAGTGCAGGCGAACTTCATCATGAAGCGCGCGTCGAACGAGCATGTGATTACTGGATCCGAGTCGGATCGGGTTGACTTGTACAATATTTGTTTGCATCCTCACACTGAGCGGTGTCCCTTCTTTGCAGGAACTACTCAGTTTTAAGAAGGCACAACTTGGGAACTCGGGCATACTTGGACGTTGAAACTTGCTAGTACGTTGTGTTGCATCTTTTCCTGACATTCACTTATACTTACATTCATACAAGGATGTCAACCGACTCGACAAGTTCCCTCATTATGTCGACGTTCTGTCTAACATTAGTAGCAATGGATACAAATGGCACTGAAATATACGAACTTTATTAATCCAGTGCAGTGCTCGATCTCATTCCCTCGACCATCTTATCGCTGAATCGCTGAAATGACAACTTTTGTCCGGTCATGCCTAGGCGACCCCTCACAAGTATTCTGAGCACTCCACTTGGACATGTAAAGCAACGAGTGACTCAAGGGGTTGATCAAGTGCCTGTTGCATGGCCCAGGCCGGTCACTACGACAAAGATCTCCAAAACCCTGCCAGACCTCGGTGTCAAGTAATTCGATATTCATCTCAGTCTTTACTCAACTATTCACATCAAGTTGAGCTCCATCCGTATAACTTATCTCTGGCAAATAACTCGATCCTGATGTTCATCCAACGCTGTAACAGATTCAAGCTTTCAAACCGATGTGGTTGCTTCAAGGACAATGCACTCACGTGTTCCATGGTCCACATCCGCTAGTGACCTCCACAAAGCGTCCCTGTACGAACGCCACAAACGGCTGTCTACCGCAAAGCACAGTGGAACGAACACAGTCGGGAATCGTTTATATACCTTCCCCAATCCCTCCCCAGTGCCATCATCACCCCGAGTTGAAACATACATTCACCTCAGGCAGAATCAAGTAGCACCACCACTCATATTCTTCTATAACCAATCATGTCTAAGGTAGGCCTAATCACACGTATACTTCGTGCACTAACTTGAAGACTGACTCGGACGCGGAATATTTAGATCTACACTTGCTCTGCTCATCCTGGCTGCAACGCAACTTTTACCAGGTTCATCGACTTCAAGAGACACGAGGCCGCATATTCATTAGAGTACGTTTTTCTCCTCTATGCCATATAGCGTACCTCACTCACATTCGCTTACACAGTGGGTATATCTGCACCTGGCCCGGCTGCGACTTTGCGACAAAGAGGAAAGCTAACTATGAAATCCATTCTGCTAAGCAGTACGTGTTAATTCATCACTGTCATTAATTCCACCTTGTCAACATTTTTTTAGTACGGGCGAGCAACGCTACATCTGTCCTCACGATGATTGTAACTACAAGACCCACGACCCCGCTGGCTTCACGCGCCACCGCAAGAAACAACATGGGTATGTTGCTCTGCCGCGCGGTCGTGGTGCCCCCTCCACAAAAGGGTCAGACGGGATTAAACCGTCATCCCAGCCCCCGGCACAGCTCCAGCCCTTGGCAGAGTTTCTTCCCCCTGCTACATTCTCCCAATACCAGCTCCAACTTCAAGCCACGCAACTGCAACCCATGCAACCGCAACCCATGCTACCGCAACCCATGCAACTGCAGCCCATGTCATCGCAACCAACGTCACCGCAGCCCATGCCACCGCAGCCCATTCAACTGCAACCCATTCAACTGCAGCTCATGCAACCGCAACCCATTCAATCGCAACCCATGCCACCCTGGCCCATGCAATCTTTTCCAACTGAACACAAACTCCAATCCACTCAATACCGAACCCCTCCACCTATCTACGACTCATCATTGGGAGTCTTATACGGCTCAACAGATACCGCGGACGACTACACCATGTATACTCCACCCGCGAGGACCTCCAACGGGTGGACTGAGGGATGCATGTGTCCTGAACTGATGCAGAGAAGCCCTTCGGAGATGCTAGGGTATGAATATTAGCGTTATTAGTTTTCATGATCTTTAGAAGTGAGAATAATTGGGTGCTGATCATCTCAAGGATAAAGAGGAGGAGTTTTTGTCAGACCGCAATAACGCAAATGACCCACGCCTCGCCTCTTGGTTTTTATATGCGCGAACCTTCCTCATCGCTAGCGCCGTGCTCCTTGCATTTGCACTATCTCAGTGTCCAATTTCGGCGCTCCTCACGACGGCAACATTCGTTGCTCCTGCTTTGCTCTGGACCACTCCGATCAGCTTCAAGAAGTTTTGGCTAATCTCGAGGCGCCTCCTCGGGAGGTTTGGCAGAGAGGGTACGTCTGCGTGTTCGCCTTGAACGATGCACGCGTAAACTAATGCTCTTCAGATGTGACATCTACGCTGGTACTGTGTAGTAGCCAAATTAGAGAAGGCCGGAAAGAGAGGGAACGCGAAGTCCTATGATATGTCCGATGCGTCGCAATACCTCATCCAAGAATCCAAGAAGAGGGGAGCGAAAATCAAGGTTGCAGACATTGAGGCGAAAGCGATCGCGTACGGGGCCAAAATCCAGGAAGCGCAGATCAAGGAGTTAAAGGTTTTGTGTGGAGGATATATAGAGGGATGAATCAATTCAGCGATGAGCACACTTTCCTGTATTACAAGTGTATGATAGTACAAGGATATGGGCATGACGTGTTGACCCAAACTTGTAAGTGGGTAGAGAGCTAGCGGTATGGATACGTCACTAGTCAGTGGGTGAATGCGATAGTGGATTTCGATTTTTTATATATCAATGACGACAGGAGGCCGGATATCACGGTCTCGCGGACCTCCGACCACAGATGCATTGACAGCAATTGTCCTTATACTATTATCCCGGCCACCCCAAAGTATCGCCCATATCAAATGCATAGTGCGAAACCAACTGCCTTTCTTGAGCACAATGTCCTCCCATATTGACTGAGCAGAGTTCCAGGACATATTCTCGATTCCACGACCGCCATGAATGTGTCCGAACACATGAAGTACTAGCTGGTGTGTCCTACCGAGCTCCCATATACGTGCAAGCAGGGCTCTGCAACCAAGTCCAGCGAGATCGAGATGACCGTGAGGAGGACCATGAGTGATGAGAATATCTGTGTCGTTTGGAATGACAGACCAACGGCTGGGAGTGCCAGTGACACCCGTACGTGGGTATTGGAAAGCACCATTGCCGTGCTGCGGAGTGAATGGGCTTCCAAAGATTTTGAATGCGCGACCGCGCACTTGGATAGTGTGAGCCTCGTCCTCCAGATAGATTATGCCACGATCTCGCCATGTGTGGACCCATGAACGACCCTCGGCTGTCTGAAGGTACGTATCGTGATTACCGGCTATGACGATTTTGTGTTTGTGTGGAAGGGAGACTAGCCAGTCAAAGGTGACCTGGAGCTCACGGGGAGTGCCAGAATGAGTGAGATCACCTGCATGAATGAGGATATCACCGGGTGGTATCAGGGCAGATATGTCGGTGTTGTGAGTGTCTGATATGCATATGGTGCGAACGGGGGTAGACAAAGGACGTAGCAGTTGTTGGCTGAGACTATTATATAACTTTGAAGCTATATAAAGGCTAGGATTGGTCTTGAACAGCTCCCATGGACTAGGAGCTTTGCGGTTAATGATTGCATCGAAGCCAGACATGCTCGTTCGAAAAGGTACGCCTGTGAGGAAAAGCGCCGCTGAAGATCAAATGGCTTATTAGTAAGCGGGATATATATAAATTTTAGCTTGAATCATTTGGTTGTTCCAAAATCATGATACAGAGTCCTCAGGCAGATGCTCGCGCTACGTTTCTTGACCTGGAGCCTATATCAATACTTGAGTTGCAATATGCCGAATTAAATTTGACGGAGATGACTCTAGCTTGATAAGACTTGGGCTTGAGTCTGCTGTCTTCGACACTGAGGAGGCGTGCTGGAGCATACAAATGATTTACGTGGGACCGACTAGTACGTATGTCGATGGATGTCATCCACCAGCATTCAGAATTTTTCATTGGACTAGCTGCTCTCGTATCTCACAATTTTAGTATCAGCTACTGGAATATCTCCAGATTTCTGCCATCACAGATTTCTGCCAATAGCATGCAGATACTCGTTAAACAGCCGCTCAATCGGTTGCCTTATAGGCGTCGCACTGTCCAAAACGCTCGGACTCCCAAACATCCCAGCTCTTGCCCACCCATCCACCATCACGTTCCCCACAACAACATCCAGCACATTGTCCACATCCATCCCATCCAGTCACCTGTCTTATTCCCCGAAACAGCACGCTCAATGACCATCCCAGTGCCCATCATTCCAAATGGCAGCATCATGCGCCACATCTCCGAGGACGGATCGAAGGGGAGTAGTGCGAGGTGATGAATAAACCCAGAGACGAGAAACGCGCCTATGACGCCCCCGATACGCCCAAAGAGTAGAGAAAGTGGGTTTCCCCCGAGGAAAATGATTATCCGACGCAACCACTGATGCCAGCGATGGTTCCAGAATTCTCTGAGAGAGGTGGCGCGCCAGGGAGAATCAATTAAGGGGGGGCATTGCTCTGGATGTTGCCTGAATATCAGTACGCAAATAACTACGATGATATCTTAATTGGCTTTGATTATGAGTAGATGGCGAATGCGCATAGCGTCGCGATGATGCTCGATCGTAAATAACGGAGGTGTGGGGAAAGTGAGTCGTCGAAGATGGTACCACCATCAGCAGATCCAAATGTATCTGGAGAGAAAGACTTCATGGCAGAGTGAATTGCGCCACAAAGAAATGAGTGCTTTAGACCAGAAACTAGGGCGGATGTAACAAAGGCCAATCCTGACGATGTAGGATGTGTCTCAGGCGGGATGTACAGTCCCTGCGACCAGTCCCACCCACAGCCTCGAGAGTTGCATACCATTTCAATTGCGTCGAGCACAAGATTTCGCTTTGGCACGTCGGTTGACGATCGGCGAGCCACACGAATAAAGGGTTCCGTCTGTCCATTCAAAGGTGCGTGCTGCAATACAAAACATGGATAGCTGAGAGATAAGTTCAATGGTGCGGCAGTTAATGCGAATACGACAGGAACTCACCTGCAGGTCGATATTCAAAAAGACGAGTTTCGGTTGCTCCATGCACATGTCTAGCGATGCCGCCGCGCGAAATGCAAGGATCGCGGTGATGGGCCATAACGCAACGCGGACTGGCTGCGTTGGGGGCAGTAGGACAAAACTGTGACGAAGTAACCTGCGACTGGTGGAAGGACACGAGAAGCGAAGGTCTTGGTTGTGAGTAATCGAGAGAAGTCCAGTTGCTATTCATTCTCTCAATAGAAATCAACAGACATGCTATATAACATCTGTCGCACAGACATCGTGATGAGTTGGTTCTGCTTATGACTTCTATTGCCCCTGATCTTTCTGAGCTTGGGTGAGTGATAGTTGAAGATTGGGTGCTGGCGTACGGTCCAATTTGTCTGGCGTGAGAGTTCAATAGGCATCTACTTCTTCAAGGGCAGACATGGCCGGCAGGCTTTACTTGGGACGACGATGACAAGTCCCTCGACGAGGCGCCGGAGTTTGGAGAGCACAATTTCGATGATCCAGGAAGCGCTGGTTGGGAAAGACTGTTGACGAGGCACAGTGCCGCTCCCATGAAGTTCTACTATCGCTAAGTAGTTGTAAATGGCACATATCAAGTTGGGCATACTTGGACGTCAAAACTTGCTGGTGCGTTATGTTCCTGATATTCAATGATGCTTATATTCATGCAAGAATGTCAACCGCAGACTCAACAAATCCCCTCTTTGCTCCATCGAGGTACTGCAGGCTAACTTTACTAGTAGCAATAGACAAAAATGCACTGTCGGACCTGCACGGACTCTGATCAATCGCGCGCCTGATCTCATTTCTTTGACCATCTCACTGCTAAAATTGGCAACTCTCGCCCGGTCATGCATACCAGGACCGAACTTTCAAAGCACCTAGTAAATTAAGGGCTTGGTCGAGTGAGTGCCTGTGACATGGTCCAGGCCGGTCACAACGACAAAGACCTCCAGAAATTTCTTGGATCTCGGTGTCGACATCCATATCGGTCTTTACTCAATTCTCCACGTTAAATTTCGATCGACGTGCACATCTCTGGCAAATAACTCTATCCTGGTGTTCGCTCGATGCTGTAACAGACGATGAAGCATTCAAACGGATGTGATTGCTTCAACAACAATTCATTCACGCGTTACATGGCCCACATCCACTAGTAATCTCCACAAAGCATCCTTGTACGAATTCCACAAGCGTCTGGCCACTGAAAACCACAACTCTGCATGTGTTTGTCCATCGCAAAGCACAATGCCGCGACCACAGCAGGGAATCGTATATATACCTACCCTGATACTTACCCAGCACCATCATCCGCTCGAGTTGAATCTTACATTCACCTCACAAGTAGTATCCTCACTCATATTCTTATATAACCAATCATGCCAAAGGTAAGCCCAATCAGGCGCATACTTCGTGGATTAACTTGAACACTAACTCTTGTAATGTTTAGACCTACACTTGCTCTATCTGCAACCAAGCTTTTCCCAAGTTCGCCGACTGCAAGATACACGAGGCCCTGCATTCACCAGAAAAGTACGTGTTTCTACCCTATGGTATGCAGCTCACCTAACTTATATTCACTCACACAGAGCGTACTTCTGCACCTGGGGCGGCGGGTGCAACTTTGTGACATTGCATAAAACAAGCTTCAATGATCATACTGATGGGCAGTACGTGGTCATTCATCACCATCATCGATTCCACCTGATCAACAATTCTATTTGATCTCCTTTTAGTATGGGCGAGCAACGCTTCATCTGTCCTCACGATGGCTGTGACTACAGAGCTCACACCTCTTCAAACCTCACGTACCATCGCAAGAAAGAACATGGGTATGTCCCTCGGTCGTGCAATCGTCGTGACCCGGCCCAGTCGTCGTCCCAGGCTCCGCCTGCGGCAGAGCCCCTTCCCCTTGGTACATTCTACCCATACCCATACCAACTCCAACGCATGCAGCCGCAACCGCAACCGCAACCGCAACCGCAGGCCATGCAATCCTATCCCACCCAATACCAACCCATGCAACCGCAGGCCATGCAATCCTATCCCACCCAATACCAACCCCAATCCACTCAATACCAGCCTCCCCCACCTATACATAACCAGTCGCTGGGAGTCTTATACGGCTCACCAGATACCGCAGTCGACTATACCATGTATCCCGGACCCGCGATGGCCGCAAATGGGTGGACTGAGGGATGCATGGTTCCTGAGATGATGCAGAGACGCCCTTCGGACATGCCAGGGTATGAGTATAGGCGTGCTTAGTTCTACATCATCTCAAGAATTAAGCGTCATTTTGTGTCGCTTTTTTCTTTCTTTCTTCCTTTCTTGGTGATAGTTGTTCTTTGGTTTTCCGCTTGTTTGTGCGCCATGATGGACTCTGGGCACCCTTCCACTCGTTTATATATTTCATTTATCACTACGATGTTTTCTCTTTCTTGGTGATGGTTGTTCTTTGGTTTATCGTTTGTTTGTGCACCATGATGGACTCTGGGCACCCTTCCACTCGTTTATATATTTCATTTATCACTACGATGTTTTCCCTGGAGGATAATACATTCTTTTATATGTAATTCGGTGAATGTTCGCCTCCCTCAAGTTTGATTCAAGCGTGATCACCGCTCATTCCCCGTGTAGTTGAAAAGTAATCAGTTAGTAGGTCATTTGACACATAGTCAGCAGTTCCAAAGTCCCAATACATGTTTTACGCATAAATGTGACCTTATGATCAGATTGTGATGTAAACACTGGTGCGAGGACAGTAGCCTCTATACAGAAAAACGGACCGATCGAGAGCACGGTCTCGTGCAAAATCAGCAGCCTTTGGCTCTACACAACTGTCACGATCCACAAATAAGGCTCCTTGCTTTCAAGACCTGCCTTCATACTGGTTACGAGCGCGTCCGGTGATCGAGGGTAGAGGTACTTCACGGGGACGATTCATACCATGAGCGGTATCGGTCATAGGCTGTTTCGTGCACTGCACGTTTCAGATCCATCAACAGATAATCCCAATCTGGACAGAATGTAAAACCGGAGTTTCGGATGGCAGAAATGTTACTGCCTGGAACTACCTTCTGGCAGACAGTTGCAATATAGTCCCGCATCATCACCATGCCCTTCGCGATCATGGTGTCGATCGCATCCATATCTTGGTTCGGAAACAAGGTCTGCAGCGAAGGCATCAATAAAGCAACTCGGATGAGTATTTTGTAGATATACTTACGCCACGTGCCAACAATTCATTGTCAACATCAATGTTGATCGGCTCGTCTCCCCGGACCCAAACGTGGAATCGAACAGATGCGAGGTGACACCATGTATGGCCTGCGACCACGACAGGTTGATCAAGAGATTGTGCTGCAACACCTTGAAGCGAAAGGAATGAAGAGCGTGAAAGAGTGTCCTGGAGTAGCATCTGCCATGCTTCTGACATACGTCCAGGTGAGCGATATGGTTGGTGTTCTTCGATCACAACCATTATGGCCATCGAGACTTCCGGATGACAGGCGATTTCGTATTTGAGTTTCCGAAGAACTGAATCTGTGTCCTGGGCAAATGCACATTCCCCGACGGCAAGGACCTTAGGCTCATGAACCATATTCTTGGTCACCACATTCATCTTAATCGACAGGTCTGGAACAGCAGATGCATAGAGCAGCGTAAGGACCCTGGATACTGTGGTGTACATAGAGTAGTCTGAGTCACGGCGGTGGAGACCATACAAAAAAGGACAGAATATTGAATCCAGGTGAAGGAATGGAACTTCGTGAATACTGTTGAACTTTTCGACGAGGAGGATGTGTTCGTCCTCGAAGTAAATCAATCTACGATAATGTGGTGTTAGTCATGTCATGAGAAGTAAGACATCCATCCTAACCTTGGCCTTCCTGGTACTGTATCATTCTCTTCGATGATGTGCTCTACTGTCGAGTATACCCCATAATAAACATCAGAAAATTCCTGTTACGATATCAAATGACTATTCGCGCTCCGCCCATAAATTCCAACATACCGCAGACTCTTGCTCAGGGTTTGGCTCCGTAAGGAACTTCAACACGTCCCCACATTGATCTTGAAGATTGAACATCACAAATAAGTGTAAGCCTTGGGTAAGTGTAGGTTACAAATACCAAAATCAATGGGGTCGAGTTCGGCGACTTGTCTGAAAGTCTCCTCCAAAATCAAGTCATCTGGCAGCGAATCCGAAAGCATGTTGGAAAGAAGCCCGGTCTTGTTCAAGTTTTTCTAGGTGTGCAAGGTTGCTATTTAATAGGGGAACTCCAAATTTCAAACGTGTCCGCGGAGATTAGAATATTTGGTTGTCAGCAAGATGTACAAACACGCATGTGCAGCAAACCCAACCATCGCCAGAGACAGACCTACACCAGGGGTTACAATGGACAGGAAGTTCGGCCAAGGGGGATATAAATGAGGTATACCTGATATCTTGGGCCTGGGCAAGTCCTTTCTTCGAAACCCTTTTTCCCAGTCCTTCAAGCGTCAAACTTTTCCTATGATGTGTAAATTAGGGCTCCGTGAAAAACTACCCACGGAGTTAACGACGAGTTTTTAACTCACCCCCACCCTCGAGGGGTTTTTGACACGAGTTAAAAACTAGTTTTTGACCAGTTTTTGACAGACTCAAAAAATGCGTTTTTTCAGGTCATTTTGACATTTTTTCGCTACGGTAATGCAAATGCCCACTGTACAGGCCCTCCCGGAGGCGTTGGAACTGTGCTATCCTGTAGTTGAGGTGTCCTGCTTGCCCCTTCCACCGGCTTCTCTGATAGTAAGTCCAACAATCGAGGCTCATCAAGATGAGCATCCTCGCTACCCACAAGTACTCTCGTATCACAAGACCAGTACATTGGATCACGCTCAATCTCCGGGTCCTCGCTCTCCTCCAACCAATTGTCCTCCGAGTCTGAATTAGAGTCCTCAGTCCTGCGGCTCCGGGTTAGCCTCTGCTTGCGACTTGGAGTTGTCGTGTTTCCTTTTCTGACCGTTGCTATCGAGATTGACATCGAAAAGAGTACTTTCCAGGTCACGAAACTTAACTGTTGGTTTTGAGGGAGGCCTTTTGGTCTACGGGACAGGACAGTGAGAAGGCGGAGGAAGAAAAGGTGGGACAGCATGAACACGTTCAGGATCCATCAAAGCCCACTGCCAAACTTGAACCTGACTGACAATGGTAGAACTTTTGAGGGAGCTGCGTAATGCGGAGTTCAACCAATTCATCGTTGACGCTGTACGCTCGTCCGCCATCGAATTGACAGTGACATCGAAAATCTTCACTGCGACGTGCTGCGAATGCGAGTTGTGAGTAGTTAACAGATCGTCGGTCATATCTTAACGATTTTTCGGTGATTTCGGATGTTCGGATGGAGAATTCGATAGGCTATGTTCCCGAGATCATATACATATATATTTTAGTTTTTGACACCCCAATATCAACCCCGAGTTATCGACTCGTTAAAAACATGTTAAAAACCTGTCAAAAACTCCAACGTCAAAAACTCGGTAGTTTTTCACGGAGCCCTAGTGTAAATCTCTGGGACGACTCCATGGCATCCAAGTTTTTTTCTCCGCGCCTTCCGAAACTAAGTACCAGATCATTACCTCCCCATCAGATATTATGTAAACAAGGTTCCATACCAGCTAGATCATTGCACGTTGTATATTCCAATCCCCAAGATATACAGAAATGCACTCGGTTGTCCGGTGGACTCCTCGCGGCCATCGTCATACCTTGATCGCTCCTTGGCATAATTTATAGCAATCTATAGAACTGCCCCGACATTCAAAGCACGGATGCAATTCAAAGAGGCGCCTGAAAATTCAAGATGTACAGCTGACTATCTAGCAGGTCTCTTCATCACCTTCACCATCTCTCCTCGCCTTCGACAATATTCACCGTTCGTGGTATCGAGCTCTGTCAATGCGTCTGTACAGAGTGCGGTAATCAAAAACTTTCTTCGTCGGCGCCATGGCCGAGTCGAGCACATCAGCACAACGAAGAGGTGGAGAAAGAGGAGCGATGTTGAGCTCACCAGTGGTCAGCGCACCTCGTCGGACGAAGGAGAAGGATCCACCACCATATGGTACACGATATACTTTGGGAAGGTGAATGACCGCATTTTAATACCTGCTGACTTACACGACGAGAAACAGGCAGGAATGAACTGCTTCCTCAACGATGGCAGCATAAGATGTTAAATGATAGAGTATACTATCAGGATGTCACACTCGTATGCTTCATGGCAACGACCTTTACCAGGGGTGCGACTAAGTGAGCGAAGAATATGCCATTAGCACTGGCAGCGAGGAAGTTGAACTCATAGTGAAACATAGATCATCCTGGACGACTCATTGCGAACAGCACATCTCACCGCTTTGCAGGCCCTGCTTTGTCAATTACAACACCCAGATCATGTCGTGGAAGAAACCAACACCAGAACGTCCACCAGGCAGCTTGACGCCGGAGTGCATCATCGAGGGTCATTCCAAATTCATTCGGGGCCTTGCCTGCTTGGGCACAAGCTGCAATATACTGAGTGCGTCAGGCGATGGTTCGATTTGTCCAATAGAGGGAGTGCAGTGGGGAGTCCTTGAACTAGTCACGGAAGAATGGTAGGCTCAAGGGCAATATCTGAATCGATGGTCATACACTCCTTCTGTCATTCCCCTGACGCTGCTGCGCTAACAAAATGGCTTTCAAATCTATCTTGTTGGCGCAGCAGCTGACTACTCAATTCGTATCTGGGACCTCAGGACCGATCAGCCAGTCGGAGACCCGCTCTTGCACGATGATATACTCACGCATGTTGTCATGTCCCCTGATGGAAGATATATCATCAGTACTGGATTGGGCGTAAATATATGTGTATAGAGCCTCGATGCAGCTCTCAGACATACAGGGATGATCATGTGAGTATGTTTGTTTGGTTATGATTCACCTTGCGGCTGAAGCCAAGACCCGATGCGAATCTCAGGGAAAGCTTTCTGTGTTTCTCTTTCTTATGGTATCTTCTGTACTAGGGACATCCAGTTCGATCGATAGATGCTGTGCGTCAATAAGTTGTCAACGCCCTACTTATTTGCTTATCTGTCTCGTCAGATCTTGCACACTAGTCAGGTCTTCTGGGACACTGATACCAACACCGAGCCTCGTCCTGCAGCTCCTACCAGCCCATCATCTTCCCTTCGTTGGCTTACTTTCCTCCGTTCGCTGCGTTTCAGCATTCGACCTTCAAACGCGTCACAATCCATACCACCGCAGCCTCGACATCGGAATTTCAAATTATTTTCAGGAGAAAGTTCGAAACACACCGTTGATGTAGCTGCCGGTCGCAAGAAAAGTGTAAGTGGCTTCTATCGCTCCTTGTTGATATCATTCAAGGAAATACGTTTGCAGAGAATTTTTGTTTCCCCTCCTAGCGCAGAAGAATTGGCCCGTGCAGAAGCGGCTGCAGCTATGCAACATCCGAATGGCAACGACGCTGGCCTTTCGACGCAAGGAGGTCAATCTCAGGCTGTGCTCGCTGTACTTTTCTCCTGACGGAAATACGCTACAAAGGGTTTGACACGTGACGAAGCTACCAGTGTTGAATATCAATGTTGTTTGAACTTCGCACCTCTGTCAGTGTTTATATAATTGCACTGTCTCTGCAAGAATGCATACTTCGTTGGCTTTGTAAAATGCACATCTTGAGCATACTCACTAGTACGTTATATTACATTTTTCCCCCACATTCACTCGTACTCACATTCATACAAGGATGTCTCAACAAGTCCCCTCATTATGCCGTTGTACTGTCTAGCATTAGCTAGTAGCAGTATAAAAAATGCACTTACCTGCACGGACTCTATCAATCGCGCGTTCGATCTCACCGCTGAAATCGACGACTCTCGCCCGGTCATACCTACAAGGACCGAACTCTCGAAACATCACTTGGTCATGTAAAGTACTCAATGAATTAGGGATTGGTCAAGTGACTGCCTCTCGCATGGCCCAGGCCAGTCACGACGACAAAGATATTTGAATCCAAAATCTTGTTGGACCTCGGTATTATGCAATTCGACATCCATGTCAATCTTTACCCAACTCTCCATGTCGAGTTTCCATCAACGTACACATCTCCAGAGAATAACTCTATCCTGGTGTCCGATCGATGCTGTAACAGCTAATGAAGCCTTCAAACGGATGTGGATGCTTCAATGACAATGCGGTCACGCGTTACATGGCCCACATCCACTAGTAACCTCCACAAAGAATCTCTGTACGAATTCCATAAGCGTTTGTCCGCCTAAAAGCACAATGCCACGACCACAGCAGGGAATCGTTTATATGCCTACCCTAATACTTACCCAGCACCATCATTTGCTCAAGTTGAATCGTATATTCACCTCACAAGTAATATCCTCACTCATATTCTCATAAAACCAATCATGCCAAAAGTAAGCCTATTCACGCGCATACTTCATGCATTAACTTGAAGATTGACTCTTGTCATATTTAGATCTACATTTGCTCTACTGGAGGGCCTGGCTGCAACCAAACTTTTGACAGGCGCGTTGACCTCAAGAGACACGAAGCCATGCATCCAAAAAAGTACGTGTTTTTCCTGTGTGGTCTACAGTTCACCTCACTTATATTCGCTCGCGCAGTAAGTACATCTGCACCTGGCCTGGGTGTAACTTTGCGACACTGATTAAAAAAAGCTATGGCATCCATTCTGATAAACAGTATGTACTCATTTATCACCGTCATCAATTCCATCTGATTGAGTATTTTATTTCATTTCGTTTTAGTGCGGGCAAGCAACGCCACAACTGCCCTCACGATGATTGTGACTTTAAAACTCACAATCCTTCCCTCCTCACGGCCCACCGCAAAAACATACATAAGCATGTTCCTTTGCCGCGCAGTCATGTTGCACGCCCTGTAATAGGATCATACGAGGCCCACTCGTCATCCCAGCCTACGGTACAGCCGCTCCCCCCTGCACAGCCCCTGCCCTTTGGCTACCAATACGAACCCCAAGTCATGCAACCGGAACCTATGCCACCCCGACCTATGCAATTCCACCCCACCCAATACCAATACCAACCCGAAGCCACTCAATACGAAACCCAAGTCATGGAACCGGAATCCATGCCCATGCAATTAAACCTCGCTCAATACCAATACCAACCCGAAATTACTCATTACGAACCTCAAGTCATGGAACCGGAACCCATACCACCCCGACCCATGCAATTCTACCCTACCCAATACCAACCCGAACTTGCTCAATACGAACCTCAAATCATGGAACCGGAACCCATTCCACCCCGACCCATGCAATTCCACCCCACCCAATACCAACCTGAACCCACTCAATACGAACCTCCCCAACCTGACCCCAACCAGTTGTTGGGAGTCATATATGGCTCAACAGATACCGCGGACGACTACCATGTACACCGGATCCGCGATGGCCCCCAATGGGTGGACTGAGGGGTGCATGTGTCCTGAATTGATGTAGAGACGCCCTTCGGAGATGCTGGAGTATGAGTATAGGTGTGATTAGTCTCGAGAATCAAGAATCACTTTGTGGTACCATTTCTTTCTTTCTTGGTGACGGTTTCTCTTCGGTTGTTCGTTCGTTTATGTATCATGATTCATGATGGACTCTGAGCGCCCTTCCACTCGTTGACGTGTTTTATTTATCACTTTGCGATGTTTTCCCTAGAGGATAATACATTCTTTTACATGTAATACCTCCTAAATTGTGAATATTAATGTTCACTTCCCCCAAGTTTGATTTAGGCGCCTCCACGTCTCAATAAACTTCAAACATGCTCGCGGAGATTCAAATATTTTGAAATATGCTTGTCTGCAGCAAGACGGAGTCAATGACATACGGCGCGCATGCGCAATGTCCATCCCAGTACTACAGCAAACGCTCAAAGATGCGACCAGTGCCATCACCAGAGACAGACCTACACCGGAGGTTATAGTGGACAGGAAGCTCGGCGAAGGGGGATATAATGAGGTAAGTATACTTGATATCTTGGGCATACATTCTCGCTTGCTACGACAAAGAGATATACTATTATACCCATGCCCCCGCGTCCGATATCGATTCCGACTTTTTCGAACTCACGTCTGTCGAAGATTTTGTGCAGCAGCTACGAGATAAGAAACGTCAGCTAGAGACCAGCTTCGTCACTGAAGACGAGCCATTTGTGCTCGTTCACGGAGACTTTCACGGTCGGAATATCATCATGCGTGGTACGCAGGTGCAAGCTGTCCTTGATTGGGAGTTTGCAGGTGCATATCCTTTGGGAGAGCTGTTAGGATGGATGGGTGTCGATGTCCTGGAAGTCGTCGACGACGAATCAGAAGAGGATAATGTACTTTGGAGCAGGGAGATTGTACGTATGGTTGAAGAGACGGCGAGACAAAGAGGATGGGATGAGAAGGAATTGGCGCTGTTATTGGGCAATGGATATCCTGTCCTCGGTCAAGCAAGGATAGAAATGGTTCCGTCCGATCCTTGAATAACGCTCTGGATGGGTATTTCCTTTGTAACTTTTATCAGTTTTGTAACGAATCTGACGCCGCGGTTCTTCATCCCATCACTGGTACGGTCACGGTTGTGAGTCGTCGATCGGTTCTAATATTGAGCGCTGAAAGTTCAATGAATGCAGTTCAGTCAGTCTTCTGAAAAACATGCAATCATTAGGAAAGCTCGACATTAGCTGCGGGTTTCCTTGAAATGTACATGGCGTACACGCAGCATGTCAAAGTCACGTTGGAAGTAGACTCACTTTCTCGGACACTAGTCGTTTCGGTAGAGATGTATCTGAACTGGGAAATAGCAAAACATACTATCTGACATATTTCGTGCTCACCCCTGTTCTTATTCAAGAGACTAACGAAGCGCTCGTTTCAACAGGTCCGTTGGATGGCGGGCATGACCTCAAGGCTGAGCTGGCCTGCACAGCTCGGCTGGTGTCGTCGTACTTTTGTAACGAAGCTGAAGGTAAAGTATTTCCAGTGTGCGTTGGCGTGCAGACGAACTTGACCTAGGTATAGGAATGTTGATTGTCCTGGAATACTGTCTCTGATAAACAGTATTTGGTAGCTTTGCGGCATATAGGGCCTGTTCTGCCACTTTCAGATTCTACTGGCGCACCAATAAGTGGATGTCCTCAAGCCTAACCACGACAAGGTGCTCACGTGATCCTCAAACACCGTAAGAGCATCCGCCAATGGTGGCCACTTTCTCAAGATTCAAATGGTCCTTTCCTTTTCCTGGAAGTTCTATGCGTACTCGCGAGGTGATGCGAACACTTGTACGAGTCGCCAGGGCAGCTACCTCTTTGGGGTACCACTCGACAGCGGTACTCATCTTATCCATATTCCAAACGGCGACCTCAGAAGTAAGAGTTCATTTAGATCCCGAGACTGAATCTGCAGTAGATTTTGCCTTAGACCTCGGGGCGCAAAGCCTGATGTGTGATGTTTGGGGTAGCCGAGAGATGAGTCGACGCGGGTCATACCCACACCCAACCCACGGGCACCAAAATCTCCGAGGCTTACTCACGCTCACCTGGGTCAGAGCATCGCAGCTACGTGGGCCTATCTTCAGGCGTAACGTCGGATATATGAAGTTTTGGGTGGCCGAAAGATGACATTGTGTGTAAAGCTACTCTGTGTTGGACTGAAAAACTGAAGGCTACGGCGAAACACAGCTCTTGGCGAGCAGGAGGCAACAAGCTTCTTTAGTTTTTATGGTCTTGCATGGACAAATAGATTCACTCTGAGGAGTTCGTCATATATTTCGGTAAGTTCCGCTCGCAAGTACTTTGTGTGTGACTCTGCTAATAGTCTTATCATATGTCCGAACTGATTGGATATGAATCTCGGATTTACTGTTCAAACTTAGTGGTATCCGTAGTACCAATAACGTCATGCTAATAAAAATAAAGGCAAGCCGCAGTATAGTCGATAGACAACCATGTTCTCGCAAACATCCATTCACCAGCACCTCGTTGCCAACTGTTGTCGGTCAATATTTGCAGTGACCCGGTCGTGTCGGGTTGCATATCGGCAAACATTGTACTGTTGAAACGGTTTGATCGGGAGCCCGATGGAGTCGTGGGCGTCTACATATATAGGCTGGCGTTGGTATTAGATTGGTATTAGACGCTTATACAGCAAATCGAACGGCGTCTCTTGGGTGTCATTGCGGCTAGAACCGAACTCGGAAAAATCCAAGGTTCAGTACCACCTGCTCATCACCGCCTCCTTATCAGCTTGGGCGCAACATTCTTGGTGATTGAATATTGAGGCTCTGCCAATGGGTCACAATGCACATATACCGCCTCATCCTTCCCAGCTCGAAAAATGCGCGTCCGGAACGCAACCGAAGTCTATCGTCAAAATTTGACTACTAATAATAGCGAATGACATCATATTAGGGCTTCAATATTGTGCTAATCGAGTCTTATTACATAATAGATTTGCTACAAACAACAAACATAGTACAAGGCGGCGGTCGTTGTGCGTGTGACTCACTCACGGTGTACTTCGGTATGGCTGGGTGCAACAAGTCATCTTCCAAGAACAAATCTACGACACCGACGGACTGTTCGTTAGTCTCGTTTGTTTTTCACTAATGATGCGAACAGATGGTCGACAGGCAACCAGAACGTTGAGTGCAAACTTTGTCATTAGGAATTCAAATGTTGGCCGAAATGTTCGAATGTAAGTGCTACACAGCACACCTGGGTGTGTCTCAATACTTATTTCGCGTATGACCAACTGTTGTAGGACACTGTTCGTATATGCGAACGATCCGAGCCGGACAATAGAACTTCGACTTTTCGCACTGCCTTTCCGGGCTCAGCCAGAGATGAAAACGTACCGAGCACTCCACGCAAAGCAAACGCCGAGTGGCGCCAGTGCAGAAAAAAACACAGGATTGAACGAGGATTGAGCGTCAATTCTAATCTCGTGCACATGGCCTAAACTGATCAGTGCTAATCTTTTGAGTAACGGAAGGGGGATGCACCAGATATAAGAAGCCGGGATGAGTAGCATTTGTCTATCGTTCAGTTCTCGATCCAAGATGTCAACCCTCACAATCCCGAAGCTTGCAGATGAACTCTTCTTGCGACCCATCGTAATATCGATGAACAGCTTGGCCCTGTCGGCCCTTATGTCCTATGTCATGTCCGCCAATGCAGGTATCGACTGGAGACCGGTACGCTCATTAATTTGATACTAGATCATATCGCTCATGCAATTGTCTTCGCAGATAACCATCTGTGTTACATCGGATATCCTTGCCATGGGTGCTGACCATCTTAAGGATAAAAAGGAGGAGTTTTCGTCAGACCGCAATAACGCAAACGACCCACGCCTCGCGTCTTGGTTTTTGTATGCACGGACCTTCCTCACTGCTAGCGCTGTGCTCCTTGCATTTGCGCTATCTCAGTGTCCAATTTCGACGCTCCTCACCACGGCAACATTCGTTGCTCCTGCTTTGCTCTGGACCACTCCGATCAGCTTCAAGAAGTTTTGGCTAATCTCGAGGCGCCTCCACGGGAGGTTTGGCAGAGATAACTACCAGCCTTCTAGATCTGCGCCTGTCCTAGTCATCAAACGCATCCCTGGCATGAAAGCCATTTTTAATGGCATCATTCGAGGGTATGTCTGCATGTTCACCTTAAACGACGCACCCGTAAACTAATGCTCTTCAGATGCGGCATCTACGCTGTGGTTTTCTCCGTGTTGTCGGGATCAAGCAATCTGACCAACACGCTGCCGTCTTCATGGAGCGTTGTTCAACTGTTAGTCTGGTCGACCGTCAACCGCTCATGCCACGCAGTAAGTAGAACGCACATGATCGCACGATTTGACCCTGACTATATCTATAGATCATGACCGATGTCCGTGATTTTGAAGACGATATGAAGGCTGGCGTTCCCACTATACCGGTCCTTCTCGGTTCTATACTCAGAACGAAGGTCATACTAACGGCATGTCATATGTTGGTTATGTTGGCGTTCATCGAAAACACATACATTATGGGAAGCTGTCTATTCGCCGCAGCTCTGGTGTGGATACTCGGCAAAGACTCGCCCAAAAAGGCGTTTTTGTTCAGCTCTCATTCGCAGTCGTTGTTTATTATCTGGTATCTGTTGACGAGGCATATTTAGCTCCTGTCGGCCGACAAATATTAATAACTTAAAGTACGTTAGTAACATTTCTAGATTGCAAAGTGCTGGCTATGGAAGGATACGTTCATAGCCAGTGGCGTAGATTCAAACTGTATCTATATACTACTTGTCGTTTCAAGTTACCTACCTAGTAGACTTTTAATTTAGGAAATTTCCTTATTATAAGCCGAGTTCCATAACATTAAAATGCAGTACGCTGCTTGAGGCCTGAGGCCTGAGGAACTGAGAAAATTGCATCATCGCCCTGTGGTATCAGTCGAGATCTGCCATGAATGAAAAGATGAATCACAAACTTTTGGTGGACGATGGTCCAGCTGTGTCTCTACTAAGCACTCATCGCATGATATCTTATTTTATCAGCTAGATATTACTATGCATGTAGTGCTGCAGCGATATCCACGTCAGCGTCTGCATCTTCGATCTCTTTTCTGAATCCACCAATCGCACGGCGGTCATCACCAGCGCCGTATAAACTCACCGTAAGCATCGAACTTCTTTTTGACAAGCGAAAATTAGCGCTCAGTTTTGCTCGGCAGTGCCAGTGCCACAGGTGGCGAGTTGAAGTTTTGAAGAAGTCACAGCTCTTGCCACCATCTATCCAGATTCCTAGCTGACCTTGGGTATCGGCAGTAGAATATGCGTAATTGGGCCTCGTTAAGGTAAGAACGACACGAGGAATTAAACTCAAACTTTGAAATGCTTGGACACACCATGACCATGAATAATTATTTGGTGAGGATTTATTTTTCTGTTATATTTCACCTTGATAGGGATATATGTATATATGATCTTTCATTTGACGAGTGCGTGGATGCGCGAATTCGCATCGTACTCGAAACCGAAAGGGGAATAGCAGCGAAGACCTCGGGGATTGATTGACACGTAGTACGTCATGCACCAATACGCAAAGAGATAGCGTAAATATTATAGGCGCATCAATCGTTCAACAGGGCCTGACTAGTAACTATCAACCTATGAGCGCTGGAAGTTTCTTCCTTCACTGTGCAGCCAATATCGCCTTCACGTCCTCTCAAATGAGTTTGAAATCCTCTAGCGTTGCATACAGAGACAAGAAATATGCAGGGATCTCTGTGTCTGAAGTTGACACTGGCGCTCAGCTCGTTGCTGGGTTAACTTCGACTCTTGAGCCCGATGAGGCTTTGAGAATAAGGTGCGCTCTGAGAACTGCATACACCTCAACATCGTTCAAAAACCTTTCGCTTCAGAAGGAAGATCGATAGACATGTCATGCCTCTGATGTGTGGTGAGTCGGCTGCTGTACTCAGTTTTATAAACCGATCACATCTGTATTTGATGATTGTTGTGCAGTTCTTTTTGGGTTAGTTGCCTGCGTTCACCACAGACTAGCGCTTACGTGCGCATAGTATCCAAATCATGGACAAGATAACATTAGGTTCTGCGGCCATCCTTGGAATGCAGTGAGGACTGTGCATCGAGACCAGCCAAACACGGCGCGCTGACGCGTATTATCAGGCAGGCCACACACCTGACTATGAATGAGTAATCCCTCAGGCTGTCCTTAGATTCGAAAATCTCATGGTTAACTGACTTCAGGTTCAATTGGTGAGACATATACACTCCTCGAGTTTGCATAGTCCTTACACTATCTTTCAGGCTTGGCACTGCATTTTATATCGGTTATATTCTGTTCGAGTATCCCCAGAATCTTGCCCTTCAGAGATTCCCGGTCGGAAAGTGGATAAGGTAGGCTTCACAGACGTTCTCAATATGAACATCAATAACAGCATGTACAAGTATCAATATCTTCACCTGGGCAATTGCACTTGCATGTCATGCAGCGTGCAAAAACTTTCATCAGCTTTTTGTCGTGCGTATGTTGCTGGGCGTATGCGAGGGGTCGAACACCGCCGGATTCTTGATCGTTGGCTCTATGTTCTACACGCGAACGGAACAGACGCTACGAGTTGGTTATTGGTGTAAGCTCCCATTTGCAAACGATCGACAAAGTCGACTAATTTGACATTTGGGAACCTAGCTATGATGCTTGGCGTTGGTGCGCTTACTGCATTGTATCATCGATCTTGCGGCCCAAGCCAGTAACATCTAGCACAAGTAATCTCTGGTTTCGTCAGCTTTGGTACTTTGCACATTCACACCTCTGGGTTTGAACCATGGCAATGGTCTGTCATTTTATTTTCATTGTTTCATATTCTCTCTGATATATCGCAGGCTTATGATTATCACCGCTATAATGACGATGATCCTTGCCATCTTATTTTGGTGAGTTTACGAAACAAATGTTCCTAGTGCCTAATCTCCATAACCGTCTCTACCTGATAAAGGTTCTTGTTCCCTGATTCGCCTACGAGCGCCTGGTTCCTTACTCCCGATGAGCGAGTGAAAGCTGTGCAGCGCATCAAGGCATGCCTGTTAAGTTACGGTACCAATCATCATCTTACAGCTAGCACAGGAAAACCAAACAGGGGTAGAAAACAAACACTTTAAGAAGGAGCAGTATGTATTCGATGCAATTGTAATTTTTCATGTCTGACGTACAGATCTATAGGATGATCGAAGCCCTGACTGATCCCAAGACATGGCTCTTCGCTCTCCTCTCGGCTCTATGCAATGTGCCTGCCTCATTATTAAACCAACAATCACTTATCCTCGTTTCGTTTGGATTCAATTATCTACAGACGACTCTCTTGTCTTGTATTCCTGGTGTGATTCAAATTTTGACAGTCTTCAGTGCTGTTTGGCTTGCAGCACGACGGCCCAATTCCAGAGCATATGTTGGTGCTATATACTTCGTTCCGGGGTTGTTGGGCCTCTTGCTAGTCAATCTGCTTCCTTGGTCGAATCGGGTATGTGGTTTGCTTCTGCGAGTCTACCGAGCCGTCTTTAATATCGCATCTCACATGATTCAGACTGGACTTCTTGCTGGCCAGTTCCTGGGTGCGTGTGAGGCTTGTAGTGCGTTTCTATGTTCATCTACCCATAGCTGGATTCCCCGTGCCCGCATTCGTACTGGCGTTGTCGTGGCTTAATAGTGTGACTGCTGGTCATACGAAGAAGGTAAGCACTCTCTCAGCTACTGAAGTCGCTCCTCGAATGAAAACCAACCTGCAGGTTGTTACTAACGCCACTGTGCTGTCGGCTTACTGCATTGGCAGCGCAACTGGCCCTTTGATGTGGAAGGCACAGTATAAGCCACGGTAGGTCACTCAACCGACTCTAGGAAGGAAAGATAATCATCAGACATGTATAGCAACCACATCCCATGGGCTGTGATTGGGATGTGTGACATCGCCTGTCCGATACTTCTCTTTGTCATCCGTGCTATTCTTGTCCGAGAGAACCGAATCCGCGATGCAGAGCCTGTTGACGACGGAGAAGAATACGTTATCGAGCGAATCACTGAGGATGGGAAGCGTGTGAAAGTCAAAATCGACAAGGTGCCTCCTCCGATTTTTTTCGTATACAATGCATATGCTGATATTCTGTCTGCACCAGGAATTCCTGGATCTGACGGATAGGCAGAATAGGGACTTCAGATACATTTTGTAGTATTAATTAAGCACTGGCTGGTGTTTAAATTTTAAATACCCGTAAGCGAGGTGGCACAGCATTTCTTGCTCCTGCGCACCTCGTCGGTTTCAGTATTGGCTACTGGATCTACGTCTTTTTGTATCGTTTTTAGTTCAATCATACTCCTAGAAGACACTCATCTGACCATGGGCCTGACTTCACGTCGCAAGAACACCAAGCATCGCGTCGACAATCAATTGACGATGGTCTCACAGATGAATACGCAGCTTCATCATTAGCAGCTTTGTGGACCTTAGCAAATGATGCAGACAAAGAGCATCTGACCCTCGGGCAGCAGCGCCTACGGGAGATATGACAAAGAGGGCAGGAAGAAGAGCAATGTCCTTGAAGAACTCTAGTTGTGGGATATTCTTCGTGGTTCGCTCAGTACTGCAGGCATCGTGGACGTCAGACTTGAACGCTCTCATGGACCATCGTTGAGATTGTCATTTGGTCGATGGTCAATCGCACTGGTCAATCTGTAAGGCGGCGTTGTGCATGTAATGGAACTCCCAACTTACGAGCCCCGAAAGATTATGTCAGACGGGCGTTACTTTGATAAACGAGAAGGCTAGAGTCCCAACCATACCTGTCCTTCTTGGAACCCCTCTCAAGACTCGGATACTCCGAACTGTCGGTCGAGCAGCTGTTCTGATGACCTCCATCCATTTTGGGGAGCTCCTGCTTCGTGATTGCTCCTATTTGGATCCTAAGAAGTTTCTCGAAAACTTTCCTTCAGCATTCACTCGCAATTGTTATGTATGCTATCATAAACAGCTGGTCTCTCTGCTGTTATCTTACGAATGAAGAGAGGCTCGCCGAGACTAGGAACGGGAAAGAGATAACAGTTAGGAAAGTGTGCATAGAACAAGGAGTGATTGCGACGTACAGGAAAAGGATTTAGGAAGTTCTTCACTCACACTTAGGCTGTGACGATTGATTGGCTGGCTGGTTGCTGATGTATTACATATAGTAAGTACCTCGTCAGCTCCTTGAAGACATAAAAAGTGATCCGAACTTGATCCGAATTATCACGAGTTTGAATGGAAGATGTTGTAAATGTGTACGCAAGTCAAATGCACGCTCGCCTGCAAGTAGTGTTGTGCGGGCCGGGCTTGGGCCTGGGCTTGAGTGGGTATGGGCCTCATAATATTTTGGCCCAGCCCTGATGTCGGGCTTGGGCTTGGGCTGGGCTGGGCTTGGGCTGAAGCCCGGGCCTGACATAGATTGGGTACACAACAACGAAACACATCTACCGAAGTTATTCTAAACTCTCTATGTCAATGAAAACCATGCTATCTTCACCTGACTTCTCGGGGCACCCATCAAGTAGCTCGTCATCCTCATCTGCAGGATCTTCGGTCAATGATGAAGGTCCTGACTCACGAAAGACCAGGTCATGACGAAGAAGGCACTTCATTACCTGTAGTGCCTCAACGACATCCCCTTTGAGACGGTTGCGGCGCTTTGTAATTGTTAGCGCAGCTGAAGAAAATGCCCGCTCGCTCGATACCGACGAGGCCATGATTCCTAAGAAGTCACGAGCGATAGCTGTCCACACTAGCCCATACCTCGTTGCATTTAACTTTTGATAGATTCAGTATCTTCATTGAGTGAATAAATGAAGGAATACATACCCCCCACCACTGGACAATGGATTGGTTTTCGGCCAGCTGGTCAAATGTATTGACATAGTAGTTAAAGTCTTGAAGCCAGGGTTTCCGTGGATCGATTGATGACATGGCTGCAGATGGAGTATATGAGGTTGGCGTGTCGTTGTCGTTGTCGTCGTCACTAAGTTCCCGCAGAAGCCTCGAAATTTTGATTCCGGATGTGCGACCTTTCTTGACTGGAGTGTGTTCAGCGTCACCATGAATGTGTGCATAGTACTCCTGAAACTGATGACAGTCAGACTATTGTCATGGAAATCTGCTGGAATACTCACAATATGTTCCGCATTCTCGAGAGATTGGTGGTCCTGGGCCCATTTATTGTAGGCAAGCTATGGAAAATCTGTTAGCATCACAGTAGTCAGAAATATCAACACTTACCTCATGGTCTTTTTCAAGGTGTCGACGGCACGTTGACAGGTCCTTCACAAAGTGTTTGCGTGGACCCTTCTTCGAGCACAAGGTGCAATTGCGATAGGTGCGAGGTTTGCCATCAACACCAGGCTCAGAATATTTCGGACTAAAAAAATTATCAACATCCTGACCTTTCCTGTCAGGCTTTTGCTTGATCTCGTCATTAGAGAGGCTCGCAATGTTGATATCTGCAAGAAATCCATCATCGTTGACAGGATCTGGAGCTGCGCGTGAAATTTCAACGTAAAACGTAACGTAAATGAAAGTGTTCGAAACTCACCTTGATTTTTTTTTGCCGTGGCAGGTGCAGCACGGCTGTCTTCTGAGTCGGAACTGATGATCACAGATTGGCTGCTATGCGACTTTTTCTCTGTGTGAAAAAATGTTAAGTGACGTGCTGAAATGAGCAACACTGACGGTACTTACTTTTTGGTGGTTTTTGAGCGGCTGAACAATCTGTATCATACCCACTACCGGAAGAGTCAGTATTCTGAGATCTCTTGGTGGGGGTGACAAAGTGGGAACTCGAAGTAGCTGGTGCCATGGTGGTATCCTCCGCCAATCGTTTGGCATCCTCAGCTCGCTTGAGGGCAATGGCTTCAAGGTGAGCACTCAGCTCAGGTGTTGCAGAATTAGAAGCATCGGTTAACCTCTTGGAGGGCGCGGGAACCCGTTTGGGCCGCACCAAGGCTTCTCGATCTGCATCGAGTGATGGCGGCATTACCGTGACTGGGAATAATCAATGCCAATTGCATAGAGAAGATCAGGCACAAATTAACTGTACAGTTAATACCGGAATGGACCGAAAGACTTACAGGTATAGCCTCGGTCATTTTTGGAAAAACTCAGCCCGGGCCTGAGCCCTGGGTATGGGCCTGCAGAGGTTGCAGGCCCAGCCCTGGGCCCTCGTCAGCCCACTCATAGGGCTGGGCTGGGCTGGGCTTCTGTAGGGCTGGGCCATGTGGGCCTGCGGGCCTGAGCCCTGGCCCACCACATCACTACCTGCAAGTCCCCCAGACCGAAGCGGCCACCCGGATGGTGGTTTACATAAGCGGACGCCTCACTACGTTAATTCACATGCGAGCGCTTGTGAGCGGCGGTATGGGGCATACTAATACAGCTTCAAGTTTTCCTCCATGCGCTGACCACATAGTACTCTCGAAACTCGTCTTTCTCTGCCTTTATCGCCCCATTCGTTATCGACATGGAGGCGGCATCCAACCCATTATCTTGGGATAACATACCCTCAATGCCCCCGTCTGCGATGCGAGCAGTAAAGGATATCACGTTCGGGAGTGTGCGTTTCCAAGGCTGAATTAATTTTCTTGACCCACGGGAATGACAATCAGTTTCTGTGACACAGATCGCAGGCATGGTCTCCAAAGTCTTTGAACACCCATTCGACTTGACGAAAGTGCGATTACAATCTCAAGTTCTCGATACCACCGCTAGATTCAACGGACCAATAGACTGTCTCGTTAAAACATGGAAAAATGAAGGCATTAGAGGTCTTTACCGTGTATGTGATCTCTACTCAGCAGAACTTCTTCTTTGTTGGTGTGAGCTCATACTGGTCCTAGGGCCTTCCGGCGCCAATAGTGGCCGCCATGCTAGAGAATGCTTCATTATTCCTGTCATATAGCGAACTCCAAGACGTGATACGACGGATAAATTCTCAGCCTTTGTCGTACGATCTTTCGTTACCTCAGCTTGCATTGGCTGGTGCAGGCGCAGGCGCCATCACTAGTTTCTTACTGCAAGTCACTCACGCCTGGTGTACGAGTTGTAATTAATTCTTGTTTTTGACTAGCACACCGGTGGAACTTGTAAAATGTAAAATGCAAGTACAGATGATTGCTCCCAAGCCGCTTTCAGTCTCGATACCTGAATCCACTGCAGCAGCAGCCCTAGAGTCAAGCGCGGCACCCATTTCTCGCGCCCTTCCTGGTCCTATAGCCGTTCTTATGTCCGTCATCCGCACAGAAGGCCTCCGCGGCCTCTGGCTTGGCCAAACTGGCACCCTCATCCGTGAATGTGGTGGCGGAGCTGCATGGTTCACCACGAAAGAGTTCGTCGGAACAACGCTAATCAAGCGGCGCGGCTCCGAGCTTACACGGAAAGACATCCTCCCATGGGAATCTGCGTTGTCTGGTGCATGCGCAGGCGGAATATTCAACTTTTCCATGTTCCCCGCCGACAGCATCAAGAGTACTATGCAAACTGAGGAAGACTTGCGTCCTCGAGGCAGTAATGCCCCAAAGCCAACGTTCCTTGGCACCGCAAAAGCAATGTACAGGGCGCAGGGTGTGAAGGGGCTTTACGCTGGGTGCGGTATTACTGTTGCTCGATCAATACCCAGTAGCGCAATTATATTCCTGATTTACGATGGCCTAAGTAGCCGTTTTGGGTAGTAGAATGGGCACGAGATCAAATTACATATTTATATTGCTGACTTCTCGTGCATTGCCTTGGTTAACTTTACGCAACATGATCTACACGGCCAAATCTATGTATTGGAACTTTGTTGGAACTGCTGACCGGGTGTCAAAGCACCTACTGACTGATTCCTCAACTACACGGCGAATGAGTGGTGACCACGCTTGAATCAAACTTGAGGGAGGCGAACATTCACAACTTAGAACGAGTTACATATAAAAGAATGTATTATCCTCCAGGGAAAACATCGCGTAGTGATAAATGAAATATATAAACGAGTGGAAGGATGCCCAGAGTTCATCATGGTGCATAAACAAACGAAAAACCAAAGAACGTAGCCTCTAAGGAGAACATCGCACAATAATAAATGAAATATGTAAACGAGTGGAAGGGTGCCCAGAGTTCATCATGGCACATTCAAAGAAATAACATCACCAAGAAAGAAAGAAAAAAGTAACACAATGGGTTTCGATTTTTGGGATGATGCAAAGCTAAGCCCGCATATACTCATACCCTGGCATGTCCGAAGGGCGTCTCTGCATCATCTCAGGAAACATGCATCCCTCAGTCCACCCATTTGGGGCCATCGCGGGTCCGGGATACATGGTATAGTCGCTTGCGGTATCTGTTGGGCCGTATAAGACTCCCAGCGACTGGTTGTGGATAAGTGGGGGAGGCTGGTATTGAGTGGATTGGGGTTGGTATTGGGTGGGATAGGATTGCATCGCCTGCGGTTGCATGGGTTGGTATTGGGTGGGATAGGACTGCATCGCCTGCGGTTGCATGGGTTGGTATTGGGTGGGATAGGACTGCATCGCCTGCGGTTGCATGGGTTGGTATTGGGTGGGATAGGATTGCATGGCCTGCGGTTGCGGTTGCGGCTGCATGCGTTGGAGTTCGTATGGGTATTGGTAGAATGTATCAAGGGGAAGGGGCTCTTCCGCCGGCGGAGGCTGGGACGACGACTGGGCCGGGTCACGACGATTGGACGGCCGAGGAACATACCCATGTTCTTTCTTGCGATGTTTTGTAACGTTGGAAGAGGTGTGAGTTTTGTAGTCACAGCCATCGTGAGGACAGATGAAGCGTTGCTCGCCCGTACTAAAATGAAATCAAATAGAATTGTTGATCAGGTGGAACCGATGATGGTGATGAATGACCACGTACTGCCCATCAGTATGATGATGGAAACTTGTTTTATGCAATGTCACAAAGCTACACCCGCCCCAGGTGCAGAAGTACGCTCTGTGTGGGTGAATATAAGTTAGGTGAGCTGCATACCATAGGGTAGAAACACGTACTTTTCTGGTGAATGTATGGCCTCGTGTGTCTTGCAGTCGGCGAACTTGGGAAAAGTTTGGTTGCAGATAGAGCAAGCGTAGGTCTAAATATTACAAGAGTTAGTCTTCAAGTCAATGCACGAAGTATGCGCCTGATTGGGCTTACCTTTGGCATGATTGGTTATGAGTGAGGATAACACTTGTGAGGTGAATGTACGATTGAACTTGAACGGATGATGGTGCTGGGTAAGTATTAGGGTAGGTATATATACGATTCCCTGCTGTGGTCGTGGTATTGTGCTTTGCGATGGACAAACACATGTTTTCAGTGGACAGACGCTTGTGGACCCCACTGCGGTTGTAGTATTGAGCTTTGCGATTGGCAAACACATGCAGAGTTGTGGTTTTCAGTGACCAAACGCTTGTGGAATTCGTACAAGGATGCTTTGTGGAGGTTACTGGTGGATGTGGGCCATGTAACGCGTGAATGCATTGTTGTTGAAGCAACCACATCCGTTTGAATGCTTCATCCTCTGTTACAGCATCGAGCGAACACCAGGATAGAGTTATTTGCCAGAGATATGCGCGTCGATCGAAATTTAACGTGGAGAATCGAGTAAAGACCGATATGGATGTCGACACCGAGGTCCGAAAAATTTCTGGAGGTCTTTGCCGTCGTGACCGGCCTGGGCCATGCAACAGGAACTCACTCGACCAATCCTTTAATTCACTAGGTGCTTTGAAAGTTCGGTCCTGGTATGCATGACCGGGCGAGAGTTGTCGATTTTAGCAGTGAGATGGTCAAAGGAATGAGATCAGACGCGCGATTGATCAGAGTCCGTACAGGTCCGACAGTGCATTTTTGTCTATTGCTACTAGTGAAGTTAGCCTGCAGTACGTCGATGGAGCAAAGAGGGGATTTGTTGTGTCTGCGGTTGACACCCTTGCATGAATATAAGCATCATTGAATATCAGGAACATAACGTACCAGCAAGTTTTGACGTCCAAGTATGCCCAACTTGACATTGTGCCATTTACAACTACTTAGCGATAGTAGAACTTCATGGGAGCGGCACTGTGCCTTGTCAACATGATTCACTAGGTGCTTTACATGGCGGGGCGTACTGACTTCGGTCCTTGTAGGTATGACAGGGCGAGAGTTGTCAATTTTAGCAGTAAGATGGTAAAAGGAATGAGATCAGACGCGCGATTGATCAGAGTCTGTGCAAGTCCGACAGTGCATTTTGTTTATGGCTACTAATATTAGGCAGTACGTCGATGGAGTAAAAAGGGGACTTGTTGAGTCTGCGGTTCACATCCTTGCATGAATATAACCATCATTGAATATCAGGAACACAACGTACTAGCAAGTTTTGACGTCCAAGTATGCCCGACTTGTGCCATTTGAATCAACTAACCTGCATTTTTTCAGCGCTAGAGCCCCTCGGCTTTCACCCTACTTGCGGCACTTAGGCTTTCGATATCTGCAGGTTGGGCCAGAAGCGGGGCGAGAAGTCGCACAGAAAGTTCTACAGTCCAATTCGGTTCGAATTCGCAGATGGTACCCCATAACAGTTGGTTAATGGGACTATGTGAAGGCAGTATCGACACACCCAAATACTCGTGTTCTGTGCAGCTCTCACATTCGAACACTTTAGCTTGCTTTTAGATTCCTTTGATCATGCAAAGCGGCGTTGAACCGTAACGTCGTGCGGTTGTTCTGCGGACAGAGTCGGCGCAAAGGATCTCCATGCGATAAACTCGGTGCGACGAATATTGAACTTGGTATACTTAAAGATCTCGTTGCGGCAAGTTCCAGTGTACGTGGAATTGGGTGTAATGCAATGAAATGAAACTCGGTACAAAGTAACTCGAGATGAAAGACATGTCTGGCAGCCCGTCAACGAATTCCACGCGAGGTTTTCCTTGTCTCTTTCTTCTGTGCAAGAATGCCGCTTCGTTGGGGATATTATGAATGATTCAGGAAAGTCGTCGTGTTGTGGTATCTGATCTACAAGGTACTACCATTTGAATTCAAACTCCGAAGTTTTTGGTGTGTTGCATATCCGTTCTCGCTTGATGTGGGCCATGGGGAGAACAAAAAAAACAGACCTTCTTGCCAACACTCCCTCGATGTCGTAAATTTATTCTTGGGAGATGATTTATTGCGCCCAGTTACCATGTGCGCCATGTGCATGAGTTACTAGTCATGCACATGGCCGCCAAATAACAATTCATATTCATATACGTCAAACAGGTGCACAAGGGAGTCGTTACTTATTTTGAGCAAGTCGCTCACTTATTATTAGAGTCTATACTTGGCGAGGAGAGTAAGTGTGGTGAATTACGACAGACTAGTGTAGTAAGTTCAATGTTGTCATTTCGATTCGTCTATGCGGTACAACGGTTCTGAACTTGAATGTGCATTTTCTAGCTGGGTGGGATAGGATAGTAGTATATGTGCATTGTGACTCACTGGCAGGGTAAATCACGAAGGAAGGATGCCACTAGTGCCTTGATAAGGAGGCGGTGGTACTGGCTGGCAATCCGATCATGCCTCGGAGCGCTGAGCGCGCCTGAATAACTTGAGGGGGAGGCGAACATTTCAATTGTAACTTGGAACGTGTTACATTGATAAAGAGTGTATTATCCTCTGTAAAGGCAGGTCTTGAAAGCAAGGAGCCTCATGGGTGGATCGTGACAGTATTTGTTGGTTATGTACTAGAGCCAAAGGCTCCTAATTTTACACGACACCGTACTTTTGATCGGTCCATTTTTCTGTATAGAGGTCACCGTCATCGCACCAGTGTTTACATCACAATCTAATCATAAGGTCACATGTATGCGTAAAACATCTATTGGGACTTTGGAACTGCTGACTATGTGTCAAAGCACCTACTGACTGATTCCTCCACTACACGGGGAATGAGCGATGATCGCGCTTGAATCAAACTTGAGGGAGGCAAACATTCACAACTTAGAACGAGTTACATGTAAAAGAATGTATTATCCTCCAGGGAAAACATCGCACAGTGATAAATGAAATATATAAACGAGTGGAAGGGTGCCCAGAGTTCATCATGGTGCACAAACAAACGATAAACCAAAGAACAACCATCACCAAGAAAGGGAAAACATCGTAGTAATAAATGAAATGTATAAACGAGTGGAAGGGTGCCCAGAGTCCATCATGGTGCACAAACAAACGGAAAACCAAAGAACAACCATCACCAAGAAAGAAAGAAAGAAAGAAAGAAAGAAAGAAAAAGCGACACAAAATGACGTTTGATTCTTGAAACGATGCAAAACTAAGCACGCCTATACTCATACCCTGGCATGTCCGAAGGGCGTCTCTGCATCATCTCAGGAAACATGCATCCCTCAGTCCACCCATTTGCGGCCATCGCAGGTCCGGCATACATGGTATAGTCGACTGCGGTATCTGCTGAGCCGTATAAGACTCCCAGCGACTGGTTGTGGATAGGTGGGGGAGGCTGGTATTGAGTGGATTGGGGTTGGTATTGGGTGGGATAGGATTGCATCGCCTGCGGTTGCATGGGTTGGTATTGGGCGGGATAGGATTGCATCGCCTGCGGTTGCGGTTGCACGGGTTGGAGTTGGTATGGGTATCGGTAGAATGTACCAAGGGGAAGGGGCTCTCCCACCGGCGGAGGCTGGGGCGACGACTGGGCCGCGTCACGACGATTGCCACGCGGCTCAGGAACAAACCCATGTTCTTTCTTGCGATGGTACGTGAGGCTGGAAGGGATGTGAGTTCTGTAGTCACAGCCATCATTAGGACAGATGTAGCGTTGCTCGCCCGTACTGAAATGAAATGAAATAAAATTGTTGATCAGATGGAATCGATGATCGTGATGAATGAAAACGTACTGTCCATCAGTATGGACAAGGAAGCTTGATTTATGCAACGTCACAAAGTGACACCCGTCCCAGGTGCAGAAGTACGCACTGCGTGAGCGCATATAAGTTAGGTGAGCTGCATACCATAGGGTAGAAACACGTACTTTTCTGGTGAATGCATGGCCTCGTGTATCTTGCAGTCGGCGAACTTGGGAAAAGTTTGGTTGCAGCTAGAGCAAGCGTAGGTCTAAATATTACAAGAGTCAGTCTTCAAGTTAATGCATGAAGTATGCGCCTGATTAGGCTTACCTTTGGCATGATTGGTTATATAAGAATATGAGTGAGGATACTACTTGTGAGGTGAATGTACGATTCAACTTGAGAGGATGATGGTGCTGGATAAGTATCAGGGTAGGTATATATACCATTCCCTGCTGTGGTCGCGGCATTGTGCTTTGCGATGGACAAACACATGCAGAATTGTGGTTTTCAGTGGACAGACGCTTGTGGGATTCGTACAAGGATGCTTTGTGGAGGTTACTAGTGGATGTGGGTCATGTAACGCGTGAATGCATTGTTGTTGAAGGTACCACATCCGTTTGAATGCTTCATCATATGTTACAGCATCGAGCGAAAACCAGGATAGAGTTAATTGCCAGACATATGCACATAATCGATCGAAATCCAGCGTGGAGAATCGAGTAAAGACTGACATGGATGTCGAATTCCATGACACCGAGGTCCAAAAAAATTCTGGAGGTCTTTGTCGTCGTGACCGGCCTGGGCCGTGCAACAGGCAGTCATTCGACCAACCCATTAAGCCACTAGGTGCTTTGCATTGTCCAAGCGTAGTACTTTGAGATTTTCATCTTTGTAAATTGTGGGCAGGACCGGGTGAGAGTTGTCAATTTCAGCGGCGAGATGGTCAAAGGAATGAGATCGGACGCGCGATGAATCGTAAAGTCCGTGCAGATCGGTGCATTTGCATACATTTGTGTCTATTGCTACTAGCTAATGCTAGACAGTACGTCGGCGTGATGAGGGGACTTGTCGAGACCGTGGTTGTGGTTGACACCCTTGTATGACTGTAAGTACGAGCGAGCATCAGGAACGTAACGTACTAGCAAGTTCCGACATCCAAGTATACCCGAGTTGTACAAAGTAACATAGAGTCTAACGAAGTATGCTCAAGTCAGTGTGTATTCTTGCAGAGACCCTGCTGTTACTTGAGCATGACAAATCAGTACAAACACCTTGGAATTAGTACACACCGCAACGATTACAGTGGTATCACACTACTTAGTGATCGTGATAGTAGAACTTCATGGATGCGGCAGTGGTTGTGCACTAACGTATTGTTGATGCTGCGGATTCCGACTGAATGAATGAATTTTCTATTCCACGCTCAGATACCTAGGTACCTCGACTGATATTTACGCCTCTGATTGGCAGCAGTGTATTTCATTTTATAAAGAACTCGGTTTATCACAGCTAGGAAATTGTGCTTATGCACATAAAAAGTCTACGTAGGTAACTGAACATGACAATTATGGTGAGAAAACAACAATCTACAGTTGCATCTCGAAACTCTAAAGTACTTGTTGATTATAACGGAGGATACTGCCTCATCAACAAATACCAAATAGTAAACAGGGACTGCGAATGGGAGCTAAACAAGAACACCTTCTTTGGCGAGTCTTTGCCCAGTATCCACACCAGAGCTGCGGCGAATAGACAGCTTCCCATAATGTATGTGTTTTCAATGAAGGCCAACATAACCAGCATATGACAGACCGTCAATATGACCTTGGTTTTGAGTATTGAACCGAGAAGGACAGGTATAGTGGGGACCCCAACCTTCATATCGTCTTCAAAATCACGGACATCGGTCATGATCTATAGATACAGTCAGGGTCAAATCGTGCGATCATGTGCGGTCTACTTACTGCGTGGCATGAGCGGTTGACGGTCGACCACACTATCAGTTGAACGACGCTCCATGGAGACGGCAACGTGCTAGTGAGATTGCCTGATCCCGACAACACGGAGAAAACCACAGCGTAGATGCCACACCTGAAGAGTATTGGTTTGCATGCCGTGTATCGTTCAAGGTGAACACGCAGACGTACCCTCAAATGATGCCATTAAAAATGGCTTTCATGCCAGGAATGCGTTTGATGACCAGGACAGGCGCAGAGGTAGAAGGCTGGTAGTTATCTCTGCCGAACCTCCCGTGGAGGCGCCTCGAGATTAGCCAAAACTTCTTGAAGCTGATCGGAGTGGTCCAGAGCAAGGCAGGAACGACAAACATTGCCGTGGTGAGGAGCGTCGAAATTGGACACTGAGATAGTACCAATGCAAGGAGCACACCATTGGCGGCGAGGAAAGTTCGTGCATATATAAACCAACAGGTGATGCATGGGTCGTTGGTGGTAGTGCGGTCCAACGAAAACTCCTCTTCTTTATCCTTAAGATGGTCAGCGCCAATGGCAAGGATATCGGACGTGACGCAGATGGTTATCTGCAAAGATAATTGCGTGAACGACATTATCTAGTATTAAATTAATGACCATACCGGTCTCCAGTCGATACGTCCGTTAGAGGACATCACATATGACATAAGGGCCGACAGGGCCAAACTGTTCATCGATATCACGACGGGTCGCAAGAAAAGCTCATCTGCAAGTTTCGGGATTGTGAGGGATAACATCTTGAATTGAGACTGAACGGCAGGTAAACACTACCCTCTCCTGCTTTTTATATTGAGCAACCGCGTTCTGAAATTTGAAAGACTGTCACAAATTAATGTAGGAGATCTTATCAGAGATGCTTGGGAGCAGATTTGAAAACCATATGCCAACGTTCAAACCTGTGTTTTTTTTCACCGCTCACGCCCCTGGAATTTTGCGTTACTTGGAGCAGCTTAAGCCTTCGATATCTGTACGCCGGGCCACGGGCGGTATGAGAGGTCGCACAAAAGTTCTATAGTCCGGTCCAAGTCGTACACAAACGGTGTCTTACAACAGTTGGTCAGTGGGACTATACGAAGGAAGTATCAACAAACATTTCCCAGGTACGCTTTTGTTGTGCAACACTCACATTCGAACATTTAGGCATGTATTGGATTCCTGTCAAACAATATTCACTGGCGGCAAAAGTTTTCCCGCTGTGCAATCAGTGACGCCTAACTGCGCCCACTGGAAGCGCCCAATTGAACTGCGATCTAAACGAATACTTCATTACCGGTCAGATACGGTCAGGCCCTTACATTTACTGGGGTGACCAGGCACGCGATGGGGACAACGAGGTGCTGGTGGATATTTGTGAGAGCCTCATGGCTGTGTACCCGTGCTATATCCTACGGCAGTGTGTTTGTTTTGTCGGAAATTCCTAATTCGGATCTCAACACCTTGTAAGGCTTTAAAATGGGTTAAAGTTGGGTTAAAGTCCTTGAAATCGCCATAGAGATGCGGTTGCAATAGCATTGCTGGTACATATGTCCTATGTCGCAAAAATCCGAAAGTGATTGCAATCCCCGACTTCCAAGGAGGGTCTTTGTCGGTCTAATGCAGTCTATAAAGTTCTTGATTAATTCCGCGGAGATGTGCCAATAGGTGGGGTGATGACATTACCGACTGCTCGTAGGTGCTTGCTTCGCAATAACACTTATGCTCCCCTGGAGTTCGCATTGACCCTGCGCCGCGCGCCATGGTGCAAATCACTACTGTCAACAATGTCAATATTTATTGGCCAAGACCGCCGGGGACCCGTTCTCCTGGTTTTTCTATCATTGTCGATGGATATCAAGTCACCGGACTTCGTTCTAAATACAAAATGTACCTGATTGCAGATATGCCGTGGAGGGAGCCACAAGTTACAACTTGAGTACACGTTCTTTCAGGAACAACGCGAACGTAAATGACGTAGCGGAAAACGTATTAGTGGTGAAACATGTGTGGGGAAGGCAGAACGACTTGATGGACTGCGAGAAAGCTAATTATTTAATTATTTAATTATTAATGGTATTCAGAGTAGGCTCTGAAACGCTCTGAAACGATTCAGAACGATTCAGAAATGCTCTGAAACCTGTTTTGAAAGGTTCTGAAAACCGGCTGAAAAATGCAATTTTAAACTCCGTTCAAAATATACTTAGCGGTTCAAACACTTCAAACTTTCTAAGTCACACTGTAAGGTTAGGGTTAGAGGCATTTGCACACAAAAAAAAGCTGAAGGTTATATATTTCGTAGCTAGTACATAAAAACTAATGGCCTTTCACTACCCTTCAAGAAATTCATGACCTTGCACTCCAGTACGCTTCGAGGCTAGTGTGAAGCGGGACAGGGTGGTAGGGTTCTTAGTGGAACAATTGCATGGACGAGCGGCTGGTCCGGAAGACTTGCATGGATGTCACGATGTGCTGCAGCGCCTGCATGAGGTAGATTAGGGAGTGACTTGAAAAAAAAATACAAGGGTGTCAGCGGAGTGGCTCTCAAAATGAACATGTGCATACGCACCGGGACTCCATGCACCATCCTGATGAGTGTCCGAGCTTCTTGGAATGCACTGGGATTATCATGAGTCATAGAATAGAAAAGGAATTTGAACTTACACTGATGGGTAGGGAATGACAGGGGTATACCCATGGGTATCTGTGGTGATACCCCCACCCACACCCACCAAAAACCCACACCCACACTGGTGGGTGTGGGTTTATTCATGGGTACCAGGGATGGCTACCCATACCCACACCCATAGAGGGTATACCCATGGGTATGACATGAATGATTGGTACTACACACTTAGATATCTTAATGAATGTTGTAGTAGTACTGGAGACAAATATACTGCTAGTCTCACCTTGTTAATTGGCAGCCATTTGAGAGAGATATAAGCTAAATAAAAACCCAACATCAGTAAGTCTCTGAAAAATGCAAAAATCAAAGTTGATATTATCCTTGTAGTACTAGTTGAGACAAGTCTGTTGTGCCTCTTATTTTGTTAATCAGTAGTAATTTGAGCAAAATAAAAATCCATATTGATGAGTTTGGCCAAACACAAGTTGTTATTATCATTATGTATCTTGATGAAAATTGTAGTGCTATTTAAGGTGAGTCTATGGCTAGTTTATCTTATCAATTAGTTGACATATCAGTAACATAGGGATTGAACACTACTGAACCAAAGTTCAAAGTTGTGTTTCTATAGTCTACATGTAACATAGTAAATGGAATCAACATAGATGACAAAGATAGTATTATTGAAAATGAAGTTGTTGGCCATTCAACCTAGGCATACCATTCACTGAGACCACTACTAGCATATTTGACAAAGTTGAATCACATATCACAGTGCAAAGATAATTTTTTTGCCTACATACCCACTGTGTGGGTGTGGGTAGGGGTGTGGGTATCCTAAGTGCCTACCCCCACCCATACCCCTGGGTACCCACACCTACGACCCACAGTGGGTTATAGATACCCATAACATTGCCTACTGATGGGTTAGGACTGGTCCAGACTCATCCGAATGGTGGTGCAATGCAGTGCGAAAGGAGGGTATGGTGATGCGGCACCGAGTTGGGATATGAGAGCTAATGGTAAATGGTATGTGAGTGGCGTGATGTGGTGGCAGCACTGGGAGTGGATAGAAGGAAGTGCCGCCTGCCTGATGATGATCCTGGTAGTCGATGTTTGCTGCCAAGTCCCCCTGATGGGCTGTAAGGGTGCGAGGTGGAGCGGCCAGCACAACATGGAACGTGTAAGGTGGAGCGGCCAGCACAACATGAGATGAGTGAGGTGGTCCAACTGCATGCTGCCGCGACAGGTTGCTGTCATGGATGGCATCAGCGGTGGTGTGCTCGTTGCATGGCACAGCGCAGGTGGCAGGAACACACCTGCGTAACATTCAAACTCCGCTTAAAACTCGGTTAGATTAGATTAGTCCGCGATAATGGAATAACAGCCCACTCAGCCCAATGCCTCACCAGTCTCGCCATCAAGACTTGCTCAATCAAATAGATACTAGTACTTTAAATGTTACAAAGGCCTGGGTTGAGCATGCCATAGCAGAGGGAGATCTTAGCTCCTCTGACTCCTCTATCTCAGAGGATGGTATTATTAGGACCCCATCACCACCTTCCCCTATGTCACTGTTCTCCCCTATGTCTGGCAGTTCAGGCTCCTCAGGCGACTCCATTCTGATTCATCAAGAATACACTCATATTATTGGCTCTCTTACTGCTCTTCAGGATGAGGTACAGATGGCACATGTCCTTCACATTTCTGATGAGCCTCCTATGCGGGCACCACAGATCCAGCTTCTTGACCACTTTGCTATCCATCGCCCTGACCTATTCCGGATGAAGTTACATGTCAATCCTGATATATTCGACGACATCCTTGATCAAATCAGTGGTGACCCTGTCTTCCACAATCAGTCCAATAATCCCCAACTCCCTGTTGCTGTGCAACTCTCTATCTTTCTTAATCGTGCTGGCCACTACGGGAATGCAGCTTCCAACCAGGATATCTGTCAGTGGGCAGGCATAAGCATTGGGTCTGTTACAAACTGCACTAATCGTGTCATGACTGCCCTGCTTGGACAGCATGATAATTTTATCTGCTTTCCTACTCTTGACTCTCATGAGGTTGCACGGACTTGTCACTATGTTCAGTCCAAGTCCTGCCCACAGTGGAGGAATGGTATTTTGGCAGTTGATGGATCACTATTCAATCTCTATCAAAAGCCAGGTCACTATGGAGAGTCATTTTACACCAGGAAGTCTCAATATTCCCTCAACTGCCAGGTGTGTTTTATTTTTACTTGACACCTCTTTGTCTGATTTAAAAAATATTTTAGGCAGTCATCCTGCCTCACAATCTCACTATAGTGGATTATTCTATTGGTCACACTGGTAGTGCACATGATGCATTTGCATTCCAATCCACTCATGTTTTTCAACAGCATGCAATGCTTCTTGGAGATAATCATTGGATTTGGGCAGATAGTGCTTATCCCTTGGAGACATGGTGCATTCCCCCTTTCAAGAAGCCTCCTAATGGGTCCTTGACCAGAGACCAGAAGGCTTTTAATACTACCCTATCCAAGGTACATCTATTATTTTATTATTCAACTTCTTGATATTCAATTAATTTTTTTAGATTCGTGTTCGGGTAGAACACACATTCGCTGCTCTCAAGGGCCGTTTCCAGTCTCTTCAGGAGCTTCGACACCCATTGCAGAATGATGACCACCTTCAGTTCCATTCCTACTGGGTGATGTGTTGCATCATCCTTCATAACATGATTATTCGCTTTGAAGAACAGCGTAACATTTTTAGTGGTGAAGGTAGTACCACTGATTGGGCCCTTAGGGATGAGGGAAGAGACCTTATCCCCCCCCCCCAGAGCAACAAGACCCTGATGTAGGTCTTGTGGGTGATACTTCCTATGTTGGCACCCCTGGCCATGCAGCTCGTGCAGAGTTAATGGAGAATTTGTTGAGGTAGTAACTTACAGGAATCTTGCAAAACACAAGACAAGACAAGCAGCTGATGTATTACCATAGAAATAGGAGGCATGTAGAACATGTAGGTATGACATGTAGACATATGTGAGACATGGTTTACAAAAAGAAAAAAAAACAAGCATGTGATACAAGCAGAACAAAATGAGCACATACAACTACAATGTCCGTGAACAACACACAACACAGCAGCAATGACAACAAATACACTCACAATCGGGCGCTCAGGATGCGCCCCTCTCAACTTGAGAAGTTCGATCTCGAGCTGCAAAGCAGCCCTTTTCTCCGCCTGAACCCTAGCCTGGGCCTCGAGAACTTGAAGTTCCAAGGCCTTCGCTTCTTGCGCACACTGGTGCACAATGGCGGCGTCACTGCGTTCCTTATCGGCCTGCTCACGTTGAAACTCGATGTCACGTTGGTGTCGGTGAGCATTGACTTTCGCGAGCTTGTATTCAGAGGCAGCTGCCTTTGCAGTATATATGTAACTCATCCCGGTAGTGAGTGATTCGACTTGACCCTGGACGTCCTGCATCTCAGAATTGACGCACTTTGAGAGAAAGGATTTTTGGGAGGGGGCTGCTTTGCGAGTGGATGATGTTTGCAATCCTGATATTCCTGTTGGTGTGGCGCGTATGCACGATGATGTTGCAGATGATGACGACGACATCTGAGAGGGTGATGACTTGGGCGAGCGGATGGCACCACTATTAGTAACACGATCTACATGAGTTTGGAATTTTCCATGGGAGTGGTTGTTAGGGGTACGAGGAGCATGCGTAGGGGGTGGTGAGGATGGGCAAGGGCGCTTGTTGGACGGACGTTGTCCTCGTCCTCCTGATTGGATGGCCCGAAATTGTCGTCTCGGGGCTCCCCATCATCATTGGCATCGTTGAGAGGGGTAGAGGGGAGTGGAGGTTCGGGTTGGGTGATGAAGGTATGGTCGTCATTGGGGTTAAGGTCCTTGTCCATGGGCTCATCAGGGCAGGGAGGGGGGAGAGCTTTCTCCTTACCCTTCCCTTGGGCAAGCAGAGGCTCGTCCAAGATGTCGTCGATGATGTCACTCTCGGTGTCCCCAACGATGTTGTCGGGGTCAGGAGAAGGGGCCTGAGCGACCATCTGCTTGCCCTTCCCTTGGGTAAGGGCAGCCATATTAGCAGCGTGATCAACACCCGGCACAGATGAAATCGTCTTCGGCGCTGTAAAGAGTAGATTCGTTGTAGGCGCTACAAATGTATTACCTTAGAACTCAATGTGCGAGTGTAATGCTCGTCCCAAAGAGACTGCCTATAGAATTATCTCTTGATATAAATGCAAGGGATATCTTGTTAAGATCGAAGGTAAGAACAGGAAGAGTTACCCAAAGTGCGTCTCAAGTTCCGAAGATGCATCCGAAGTACCAAAGTACTTGTCCAATGCGAGCGAAGGTGGTCCGAAGTCAAGAAAAGAAGGTCCGAGGCAGTATGAAGTGTCTGATAGACGTCCGATGAACAGCAAAAGTTCCGAGAGAGAAATATGGCGGATGTGTCGAAGTGTGTCGAGATATGTTGAAGTATAAGACTTAATAGATGTACCAAGGTACGACTAGGCAAAGTCTATTGGAAGAGCTAGAGATATCAAGACACAAAATGGCAGCGGTCAGGCCAGACAATCGTTCTGAATGAACAAAGAGATCGATTGCGCGAAGTACGACTATCCGAAGTGACTCTACAAACTATGACTCGTAGCCAGGAAAGTGAAGTGAAGTGCGAGTATCTGGCGAGTCGGATTATATCCTACAGCGTGAAAGTCCGGAATCTGCGTAGGTGAAACTAGTAGCAAGATAAGCTATCCGAAATGTAATAAGACTCAAGGCGAGCCGCTACAGAGATATGCATGTAATAGCACACGAGGTGTGTAGCTATATGTATTAATCAAGCTTTTCGATGTATGTGCCCCTAAGACATGATCAATAACAGATAAACCAATGTAAAAACGCACCAGCGAAGTCAAACGGACACGGAAAGGACATGGTACGGAGGATCGGACGTGTATACAGACCTTGGAAGGGGACGGACGACCTTCGGACTACTCGGACGAGTGTGCAGAACTCTCGGAGTGTCAGGGAATATAAGTGTGAGACGCATACGATTTAGGAAGGATACACGACCAACGCCAGTCCGAGTGTTACAGCGCAAATGTCGGATTGCTCTTCCAAAGTTTATCGAGTATGTCAAACCATGGGAAGTCGATTAGTACCTGCTCTGTAGTTTGTTGTAGCGCAGTTTGATAAATTCAAATAAATAAAAACCTTACCTCGAAGATTTTGTGCACCAGCAGCATCAAGTGGATTGATGCCAGCGCCGGTCTGATGGAAGCGAGCACATTGTTTTTTATATTTATTCCTGAGACTAAGATTGTTTAGTGAATTAATGCATATGAGAGGGGGAATACGCACTGCGTAATACAATTAGAAACTGCCACTGTAAATTTGTGTTTGTCCTCAGCATACGCATCCTTGTACTCCTCATCCTTCTCGAAGATAACTTCAGCTATCGCCGCCCAGATGTGATTCTTTTGACTCCCCGAAGGATCGGGTTCACTGATGGCGGGATCGCGAGATTTCTTCGATTCATTGAAGAGCATGCAGCAGTCAGCAGGATGAGTGTCGAGGAATTGTACAAGGGCATCGGTGCGATCCAACTCGCGGGTCTCCCACCTGACGCTAAACTTTGCAGCAGGGGTGGTGGAGGTATCACGTGCAGCATGAAGGTTGTATTTCAGACCCCGCTTGGGCCTGCTGAACGTTCCGTAGATTCTGAAAGAAATTTGTCAAACTTACCCACGTTTTCAGAGCCGCCCAATTTTTACTTTGAACACCACTATTAAATATGCCGGCGTGGATATCAGCGGAATCAATAAGGACCGCAACGATCCGGCTATAAATCAGTATACTATCTCGATTGACAAACCCTAGTGCAACGTTCCATACTGCTGTTGTGCTATTGCAAGACCGTTGCAATATTTATGCAAGCACATTTTGTCGAGGCATTCAATCAGCGACTAGCGGAGTTATATATGAAGTACTTACGAGCGGAACTTGCCGAAATATATGGGCGTTGAAATCCAAATTAGGAAATTCAAACATCCTGCAAAAATTAGATGGAAGTTTAAGAGTATTACCCTACATCATGTCACTACCCAGTGCTGTGCGGCTTGCCACCTCCTGCTCGCCAAGAGCTGTGTCCCGTCGCAGCCTTCAGTTTCTCCGCCCGACACAGAGCTTTGCACACAATGGTATCTCTCGGTCACCCCAAACATCATACATCCGGCTTTACGCCTCGAGGTCGAAGGCGAAATCTACTGCAGACCTAGTCCCGGGATCTAAACAAGCTCTTACTTCTGAGGTTTCTCGTTTAGAATATGGAAAATCCGAGGCGAAGATGAGTGCCGCTGTCGAGTGGTACCGCAAAGAGGTAGCTGGCCTAGAGACTCGTGCAAGTGGTCGCGTCACCCCAGCCCTTCTCTCGCCAGTACGCGTAGAACTTCCAGGCAAAGGAAAAGACCTTGTGAAAATCGAGGAAGTGGCCACCATTGGCGTTCGAGAAGGCTCAACCTTGATTATTACGGTGTTCGAGGAACATGTGAGCACCTCGTCGTGGTTAGGCTCGAGGACATTCGCTCATTGGTGCACCAGTAGAATTTGAAAGCAGTGGAACAGGCCCTATATTCCGCAAAGCTACCAAATATTGTTCCTCAGAAGCAGGATTCCAGGACAATCAAGATTCCCATACCTAGGTCACTCGCTTCGTTTTCCTGTGGCATGGTCGTTCATCATTTCTCTTTTAGGCCAACAGTCGAAGCCCGCAATGCGTTGACTGCGACTGCTCAGCGAATGGCAGAGGATACCCGTGTACAACTTCGAAAAATACAACAGGCTAGTGTCAAAAAAGGCGACTACAAAAAGCACTCAGTTGAACTCGAAGAAGTAAGTTTGACTTACTTTTTACTCACTTCATCATTTTATCTTATCCGACCTATTAGTTTCAGAAACTCGCAGATAAGAACTCTGCCGAAGTAGACAAGATTCTTGCACATATGAAGAAATCAACTGGGGCCCGGTAGGGTGGGTATCCCTCCATGGAGAGGCTGTACCCTATCGACATCTTTCAAGGCATCAAGCTTCAGGCCTCACTATCTGTGTCTATCATTATCGATGCATATACCAATTCAAGGTTCATGATACATGCGAACATTCCACATGCGACAGGAATTTTTCGACATTACTATAAGTGAAGCCGGGAAAGGCGACGGTAAGAATATCAATAACAGCCACTGCACTGGGCCACTGCTTGATGTACTAGTTGATACATTCGAAAGAGATAAATAATAATCCAAGCTTGTCTGATCCTGTCAGTTGTTGGTTACAGAAATCAAAGTCTGGCGTCCACGACGTAGGGTAAGTGTTGATTTTGACTGTGCTCTCGTGCAACGAGCACAAGGTAACTTCATGAGCTTGAGCGACGAACAATTTGGATTGGTTAACTACGCTGCTACTATTGTAGCTCCACATAGTTTGTGAATACGTAGACTGCAACATGAAACTTTGATAAATTATACACTACTAGTTAAAGTTATTTACTCAGGACTGCAAAAGACCAACGGGCTCTAAGGTATAACATCTGCAAGGTATAAGTCTACAAATTCGATGGATTAGGATAATGATAACGGCCAGAACAATTTTACAACGGAACAAGAAGCAGGAAAAGAATGAAGCAGACATAATGAAAATTTCGGGTTACGCGGTCCTATGCATCTCATCAAAGGAGGTTGCCTCGGTGGTCGAGACCAAACACTAGCCAAGCGTGAGCAGACGTGCAGGAAAGAGCAACACGCCACGTACAATTTGCCAGTTCACGGACGCTCATCCCTGCAATAGAAGTGCTCATTAGCAACGTGTCCAAGACTCATGGCGAATACCTACTGCCAATCTTCTTTCCGGAGCCTTCGCCAAGGCTACCATCCGCAAGGTTTCGCTGATGGTATGTATTAACAGAGCACAAACGTGAAGTATAATTTGCTCTACCTTGCGCTCCTGGAGAGCAAGAACACGATCCTCGACAGTATTGGCAATGACCAACCTGTGCACGAAGACATCTTTCTGTTGACCGAGACGGTGGACTCGGTCAAACGCCTGGCTTTCGATTGCTTCGCTCCAGCCAAGGTCCAGTGAGATGACACCTGTGAGGAGTCAGAACGCAGCGAAGTAAGAAACCGGGGAGGCTTACGATTAGCCCTTGTCAAATTCAACCCAACACCTCCGCATTTCAAGGACATAAGCATAACTTGTGCAGTATTGCCCGTCATGAACACTCGGACAGCCTGATCCCTTTGACTGCGACTCATCGACCCTTGGTACCTAAACCGAAAGATAACAGCAACTCAGATAAGCAGGTACGAAATCATCAGAAGATTCGTACTTCACATGGGGTACTTTCTTCTCTGCAAGGAAGTCAGAGACGAGTTTGAGACATTCGGTCCACTGCGATATAATTATGGTCTGCAAATGTCATCAACACTACCATCACTATATTTTTGGAAGTCAAGCCGCACCTTGTCGCCAGGACTTTGTTTGGCCCACTTCTCTAGGTGCTCCATCATGTGCTGAGAGTGAGAGACATTAAAAAGATTTTGCCAACGAAATGTAACAACCTACATTCATCTTTGTAGAAGGAAGGAAACGCGACATCATTTTAACTTGACCCATGGAACCAGGCACCTTCCTGGTGCTCCGGCCGATGACCACTTCTCTCTCATCTGCGTCAAGTTCATCATCAGACTCAACGACCATCGCGCGGCGCTTTCTCAGACGTTTCTTGATGTCGCGCCTGGCATCCTTCTGTCCTTCATCCTCATCATCCTCGACAATAAAATCACTCATGTCGTCGTCGTCATTTTCCGATTCACCATCCGAGTCATACACAGCACGCTTCTTATAGATGCGCCTGGCCCCGCCTTTGCCACTCGATCCCCGAAGTATCATATCAGATATCTCGGGCATCTCATCATCGGAAGATGTCGACACGTCTCCGGACAACTCGGCATCAGTGGGTTCAAATGCTTCGCGAATGAAAATAGCATCCGCAGAAATGGGTGTGCGACAGCTAGGACCTGCAAAACAAAATGAGTGTGGCAAGAAGCTTTACGTGCGTGACTCACAAGGCTTCTCATTACTACGGTATTTACGAGGGTCCTCTGCGTCTTGGACAAAGGGAGCATTAAGGACGTTGGCAATACACTCGCGACAAAAGGCATGGCCGCATGCCGTTATACGGGCCTCGGTGAATGTATCCATACAGATGGGGCATTCCTCACCATCGGCAGTGGCATCCAGGGACTACATCCATGTCAATATCATGAAATCCATGTGACAAGAAAAACGCACCTCTTTTTCTGCCTGTACACGTGCCATCGCGCACTGGAAATACTTTGCTTTCAGCTTCGTGACAAAATCTGATGACACCAGTCGAACTGCGCGGGCCAGCTCAGCCTTAAGGTCATGCCCGCCATCTAACTGATCTGCTGCAACAAGGGCTTCGGAAGTCTCTTGAATAAGAGCGGGATGGGAGCACACTTGTCGAAGACGCAATAGCATCACAAGGACTATTTTAAACGAGTCATTAACAACAGCTGAGTTGGTGAAATGATGAAGTACCTTGATGATAGTTTCTAAACAAGTAGTGATTGAGATTTTCAATTTTTTTCTGAACAGTGGGCGACTTACTTCAAGACAGTGCCAGCGCGGAGAAAACGATTGAATTTAGCTTGAGAGCGAGCTTCGACCTGAAAGACGTGCAATGAGCGCAACGCATATATGTACTGGTAGAATATACCATTTGGTATATTTCGCGCTCCTCCTGGGAAAACTCTAGTTTCTCCATTTCTACATGTTTTGTGGGAAGTTCGATGAGTTTCTTGCCGTCTAACATCGAATCCTTCTTGCGACGCAGCATAATCGATATGAAGATAGCCTGGAGTCTCTTGCTTGCCAATTCAGCTATAGTTAAGCGCGGTTAAGTGAAGGTGAGATCTTAGGCGAACATCGACGTACGATTCTTTTTCTCGATGACGGAGACGTGTCCATTAAACTGTTGCCAATCATACCAGGGACGGAAGCGAAGGAAGCGAAATAGCGCGTATGCATCAACTAGGCCGTTGATAATGGGAGTGCTGTCCGAAAATTAGTGAATAGTGGTCTTGATGGATGAGATGCTCACCCTGTGAGGCACCAGCGATAGGTCGTGTCAAGATCGGTAACGCTACGAGATATTCCTGCAGGGTCATGAGTATATAGGAGAAAGAAACGTGGCAAGTATTACTTGTGCGCCGGTTGCGAATGTTCTGTGCCTCGTCGAGAATAACACGGTACCATTGGACTTGAAAGAGAAGCCCAACTATACAAAGTCAGTTTAGGTGACCACAATGGTCGCCATGGCTCACATTCTCTCTTTGTCTTCTTATGTTTCCTATCATCCCCCGAATCGCTTTCGATAAAGGAATCGGTCTTCTTCTTGCGCTTTTGAGCCTTCTGCTTGGCTTTTTCTTCCGCCTCCAGATCTGGCCATTCCAGTGCAAGAGTCTACCAGAGTCAGCAATCGATGAAAGATATCACACTCAAACGCACATGATAAGTGGTTAATACGATGTCGTATTTCATCAAGTCGGTCTTCTTGCGAGGTTTGTTGGAGCCTCAATAGAAGAGAACGTGAGACTTGAATTCGATCGAAACCCATATACAATTCTGAACGTACCATGATAAACTAGACACTTCAAATTATTGGTGGTCTTCATCTCGATCTCAAGCTTCCATTGGTCCAGTAAGGCCAACGGAGCAACGATAAGGTTCGTCTTGCATATAGGGTCATTGGAGGGGTTGGCGACGATCACCGAGATTATCTGCACCGTCTTCCCTAAGCCCATCTCATCGCTCAAACAGCCTCCCCTGTCGCCACATTTCTCGCGTTCCAACGCCCATGCGACGCCAATAACCTGGTGAGCTAACAAAGAAATGGCCATTCCTGGAAGGAGATCGTACAGGCTTTTCAATCCAAGTTTTTTGAGGGCCTTGTCGACACTGGCATTGCCATCGAATTGCTCCGCATTGCCAGCAGCGATCAAAAATTTGTCAATACTGCAAACAGCACAGAGATGATAACGTGAGAACGCATTCATTCCGAAAGATTTCGTGACGTACTCGCCCGGGTTCGCAATCGGCCCGATAAATAGGTCTTTACCCCTCCCGTAGAAGTCGCCATCCTCGTCAAAGCGCGCGTCACGGGTGTCAGCACCACCGAAGATATCAGGCAGCTCCCAATCCTCCTCCGAGTCTGTGTCCAACCCCATAGCAACGTCGAGACGGACCCGTGATCCCGATGCAATAGGCTGGTAATTAAGAGTTGGATAAGAATATCCAGTATTGTCGCCGTTGTAACGAGGGACCTGGGAAGTCATAGTGGAAGGTCCTTGACTGACGGTCGTGTCTTTCGTCAATTTAGAAAGCTTGGCTAGGGAGTTAAGGTCGTTTTGAATGTTGTTGATCCTTAAACGGGTTTCATCAGAACTGCGGTGCAAGGATGGTCGGTGGGCCACAGGAAGCACAGCCTTTTGATCTGCGAACTGTACGGGAATGTGGCCTTGCGAAGGCTGCGTGTTGGAATTCACAGGCGCCTTGGGCGGTTGAATGGTTGTGCGCTTAGATACAGAGAGAGTGGAAACTCTAGATTTGTTTTCCTCATTCTCCGCACCAAGAAACACGAGAGACGAGGAAGTGCGCTTTCGAGGAATGACAGCGTCAGCCGGCTCAGGCTTTACGGCAGTCTCAGCAGTTCCACGCCTCAATGGCAATGACACGAACGCTTTCATTACTGGGGCTCGTCGGGCAGATGAACTTGGGCTGGAGAGACTATCTACATTCAGATTTGCATCGAGTTGTGCCAACAAACCACCTCGCGGCGGCTTTGTATCGACGGCGACGTTTGATGGGAGTACATTTGGCTGCGCATCATTGTCATGATAGAGCTGGCAGAAAACACGATTTTACTTACTGTTCCATTCTTGATCGCTTTTCCAGCATGAAGGGTTTTGACGCGCAGAAGTCTCGCTTGTTTGTGCCTCGGTGTACTGGCATGGACCTAAAGAGGTTATGTTCATAGGTGAAAAATAACTTGCATACGCAATACCATACCGTGTAATTAGCCAAACTACCAAAACCATCTGCTTTGCCACCCGAGCGGCCAGATCTGGCACCCAATGGGATATTGATAGCAGCGCAAGCCTGCTCCAAGCAGGTGACCACGCCATCTATAAATTTAACTCAACAAATCTTCACATCCACAATTGGGAGCGCATACATCCTGTCTTTGGCTGCAACGTGACTCTAAACTATAATTAAGGTCATCAAAGAAGTATTGATGTGACACCGGATGATAAAAACGTACGTTGGTATCATAAAGATCTATATCTAGATGCCGGCGAAGCGCTGTGAGATAGGACTTGGGAATAGACGCGTCCTGAAATATGTTCAACCCTGCCGCACAAATAACGCCGCACAGACGAGCGCCAATTAACATGTACTTACCTTCACGTGTTTCTGAAGGCCAAGCTGCTCCCTTGCGATAGCAAGAATATCAGGCTGATGTGACGATGTGTCCATCGTGGCATCAAGATGCAAGATAAGCGCTAGCAACAAAATGGAAGAAGTGCAAAGTGAAAGACGAGACGCGACCGCGACACGACTTTAAGGCGCGTTTGTTTGGCATTCTTTGGTTGTCCGCATTTGGATTGAATGACCCAGCTTTGACCATGGGCCATGGCCACGTTGACTTCTTTAAAGAGAACTTTAACTTTGTGCCATGGTCTGCGCAAGGGACGACTACATATATCCTTTGAGCGCTTGCCAATGATTTCATGGTGATTACCTTCTATCCTGTATTCAGCCCTCCTTCTGTGATGTTGGATGTTGGATCAGTTGAACGGCAGACCTCTGATGACATAGACCGAGCTCCTACTATTGACACTGCTCGCGGCCATCCACAACGTGTCTTGTGCAGCCTAGTGAAATATCTTTCTCGTTATTCGAGTGAAGGACCACAACACGGATTCTGTCAATGGAACCGCCGATTTAATGATCCGACTTATCTATGGGATTTATTTGTGAGCATACTTCATTCTCGACTTATACCCTCAGTCCGTGGTGCCATATGACCGTGGTTTGTGTACAGGTTCACTGGCTCTGACTCCATTCCTGACTTCCGGCAATCTACTAGCTCGACCCTCTAGATCTTAGGGGTTGAGGTCTGCAACCTGGGAGCCCATGTCAGTGGAAGAAGGCGCAAAGATGGACACACGGAGCGCTGCAATGTCATAATAACAATCAGTGACATGGTAAGATGCCATGCCACGTTATTTGACGCATGAATCCGTCTTTGGGCTATTGCTGTATCCGCTATAGGTCACATGGCCTCGCACAAGGTTCGACATTACTATTTTTGGCTAGACCTGTATCCCGTGAGTTATACATACACAAGGCGAAGCTACTGATGCAAGGCCAACCACAGTTACTGACTTAGGATTATGAACACGTCCGTTATTTGTACTTCCGCGTGAGTGTGATTTTACTCTTTGGAGCCAGAAGTATTCCCTGCCGTTGATCCTTGCTTAGTCTAGAGGTGCCTCTCGGTTCTCCATCGCTATTTGACAACTATGTCTTCAGGCTACGGAATGCAGACACATCAGTCTTTGAACCCGCTACGCATTCCAAGATCTCTTCGAGCGAGTGACATTAAAATATGTTCAGAAGCAAATTCATTGATCAACCCAGCAATAAACTCGCGCGTCGTGCCATCAACCATACTGCACCGATATGAAAGCAAAAAAAAAAATTCACCACCACACTAGGAGTGCAGTTTGATCCCTATGCAAGACTGCGAGCAAACGCGTACGTACGCGTGTCGTCGACACGTATCCTTCTTGTCTTCTTCCTTTCGCGTTTGCTTGCAGCACTTTCGCTTATTCGAGAACTCTGCGCATATAGTCTTTATATCAGATATATATCAACTAAAATGACTAACTCTCAGACTTCTGGATTACCTCTAGGAGTCGGGGGTAAAAGTACATCGGCTTTGACAGCATTTAGAGTTGCAGAGCCAGACCCAAACAGAATCGCGGGAGCGGTTGGTTCAACTAGTAGTCGTGTAAGCATCAGCATCTCGTAATGATATCCTTGCCGAGAACGAGGGCTGATTAAGCGCTGATTTGTAGGGTCACGACGACAGACGCCGTCGAGGACGATGAGGATCTCTTCATTGTTCTTGCTGAGGAGCAACGAGAGCTGCCTAATCCACGGCCTGTCAACACGGACACTCCTATGATTAGCCTCTTCAGAGGCTATAATGCACTCACTCCCGGTTCACGTGCTGGATTCGAAGCTCTAGTGCAGTGGCGAACAACTGTCATTGTTTCCTCGTATACAACATGACCTTTGTTTCAATGCAATCTCTCCTCTACAGCTTCGTATCATTTCTCAGTTCACCGCAGTAAAGTTTATGGCTTCCGGATACTGAATACATCATTATTTGTATCTTGATCTTATTTAACCTGTCAATGATGCTTGCAGTAAACGCACGAGTATCTTCTCGTCGTTCATGTGCGTCACCTTATCCCCTTCAGCTCAGCGAGTGACTAGTAAACGCATACAAAGAGCAACTGCCAAGCGGTGAGTAATGTAGTTGAATCCGGGCCGCAAACTACTCATACTCACGCAAAGTTCGTGTGGGCAGTATTTACAAGTTGACCCGTATAAGCACCAGCTGGCGCAAGTGCCAGCGTCACTGGCGGATATCAATGTTGTTAAAGCAGCAACAACGGCGAGGACGGAATAGACACGCATTGTTATGAGGATCAAATATTTTGGAGGACGGTATAGAAGATGCCTCTTTTATGCAGTCTCCGTTGTTGAGCAGTTACAGCATGTTTGGCGCGCGGTCCGACTCCGGGCGAACTCTGAATATCATGAGGATCAATGACCTATCCACTGGAATTACCTTTTGAATAAATGGTATCTGCAATGCCAGCAAATTGCCAGCTAAGAGATCTGCGTTGTGTAGTAAGGTATTGACAATTTGGTATGGAATAGTCAAGATACCCACCTGTGAGTCTCAGATAGCACTGTACTTCGCACTTGCTGGCATCTCAGTGTGAGTGTAAATCCATTTCAAGGTTACCTTCGTGGCAGAAGTGAAGGTCAACGCATCAGTTGACGAGTTTTACACAAGGTCCACTCTGTCATTACAACATGGCATTATCGTTACTATGATCTTGACGTCCTAACATAAGTACCAAGTCCAACATCCGATAATACTGTCCTCTGATACATATCCACAACATGACACGAGTGTTCTTGGCATTGCCTTCCGTTACATGTCCTGACGTGGTGGCATAAACTCATACCCATGGCCCATCATTCAACGTTTAATGTCGAGTGCGTACAATGATACCCTAGGAACAGGCATCGCGGTCGTAGGCAACTTCCGACTTGGGCGAACAGGCTGATCCATTTGGGGATCGTCCGTTATTACAGGTTCTGGTAACTTGCGACTTGAATATGAGTTCTGCGTCATCGACATCTCCTGCGAAAATTAATGGAATCATGCGTTGATGATAACAGCTCAACGACTGACTGTGTTATAATCAAGAGATGGACTCTTCGCTTCATCTCTTGTCGCTGATAAAATATGCATCGCCTGACCGGATGATTTAGAGCTGCATAATCACCGTGACCAATTGCACACACCTTATTATTAGCTTTTGATGGCCGTCCCAAAGAAGACGCATTGCTGAATGCGCGAGAAAGAGTGAGACGCTCCCGCTTCAAATCTTGATACTCTGATAACGTTTCATCCAGTCGGTTGTGCAGTTCTGCCTGCTCCTTGCGAAGCTTCGCAGCCTCCGCTCGGAAAGCGTCTCTCTCCCGACGAATCTCAACGAGATCGCTGAGTAATCTAGCGTTATCTGCCTGCAGTTGTTGAATGACCTTCCGTTGACGAGAGTGGACGCTTTGTAACTGCTCGATCAACATTGTAGAGGGCTTTTCCATGGCGTTCGGAATAGAGAGTGCAAAGAAGGTCAGAACTTCAAAGTGGCTTGAGCGTCGATCACCGGAGGTAACTTCTCTTTTTATTAGTGGAACGATATCATACTACTACGCATCACCATCAGGACAGCATGGTGTTTGATCTGAAAACGTGCACACCCACCAGAAACCCCACGTAGTTAATACTAGCAGTGACATGTTGTTCCGGGACCGGCGTGATGGAACGATAAGTTTCTATTTTCGCTGCTGCCTCTCATGGTATAATTTGTACCTGGCTGGCTGTGTTGCCGTTGATTCCTTTGATGTGCTCGGTGCAAGGGACCAAGGGCTATAGAGTCTGTGCACTGCTTCTGACTGCCTCCTGTTGAAGAAGGTGATATTGACACTGCGATTGTGATGTGATCATGTAATCCCGCTTGTAGGGCCTTGTGCTAAGTAAGTAGCTGTGCATTGCATCAACAAGCGCCAGCATGCAAGTTCAACGTTACCGTAGCATCGCGTTGCAGGATATCCGAGTCAATGTCCGCGGCACAGGATCTGGATGAGTTCAGCGCTGTGTGGAAGAAACCTACAAGACAGCGTTGTTCCGGCCTTGAACAGCCTTTTCAGAACCCGTCGGTACGAAGATTAAGCATCAAGTGCTCAAGTGATAAGAAACCTTTAAGCTTCGTGCCGTTGAGCTAGAATACTTACTGTGCTAGTAATACTAGTACTTACTAGTGTTTTGGTTGGCTTTTATTTAATGAGTCGGCAATTAGAAAAATTAGAATCGAGTTTGAAAATGCATCGCCATGACTCAGACGTTCAACTTCTCGCGATCGCGCAAGGCTGTCAACACAAGGATAGGAATTTAAATGTCCCTCTAGCTATCATCATACACTGAGATATCCAGAAGGTGTGTTTTTGTGTTTCAACCATATCTTGTATATTTTCCCACACATCTAATACAACATCTAGTACTTTGCTTCCACAGCACCTGATTCGAGGCTCGTCAGCTTGAGCGGTGAATGTAAGGCTTATGGCAAATTTATATGTACGGGCAACGACGACGGTCATCGTGGTGAATGTTGAACGTTGACAAGCTAGGGGCCGACGCAGTTGTCACGCGTGACTCCCAAGCTTAATCATACTTCGAACCTCCCAATTGAGGATTAAACTCCGCTTTAATCTGGCTGGGCGGCTGGCACACCCACCAGACAGGACCTAGACAGGACCCAGACAGGACTCTACGTGGACTCTACGTAGACTAGACCTAGAGTTTCCATTTCCCGGACGTCCTCCTTGAGCGGTAGTCCTATGTGCTCCAAGTTTCAGGTCTTTAACCCATCCTACGTTTGTCTCCAAAGACATATATCCTTGCATCGCCCTTGACGGCGTCAGACGGCCTGACATGGTGTCGACTTTTGTTCGAAGATGTGACTATTCTTGGTGACCACACGTAATTACCCCACTATCAGCACTATCAAAGTACAGTTACGGAAGGCCAGGCCTCCAATGCGTGTTTCGGTTGCGCACTTCTTCTATCACGCGCCTCATGCTTGCTCGGATTCAGTATGTACTGACAGACATGCGGGCGAGTCGCCGAAAAAGCGACAGCGGCGCGCCGTTAAGTATGTAACACTTCATTCCACAGGGTCACCTGCTCCAGGCCATCCCTTCTCCAGCTGGTAGCGCGGCTACTCTCGCCCGACCATCGCCGCTCGAAGTATATGAATGCCCTCGAGCTTTCCTCTGCTTATGTTTTCACACTTCGTCACCATGAGATACTGGCTTGTGTTTGGGGTCTTTGCGTCTTATATATCTTCTGTGAAGGGCTATAGTCTCATCCGCGAATACTCGGGGCAGAGCTTCTTCGATCGCTGGGACTTCTATGGCGATTATGACAACCTAACTGCAGGTGAGCATCGTATCCGCCATTCCTTATATTCTGCTACAGTATAAAACATGATGCAGGTAATGTCATGTGGGCCAACGAGTCCTATGCAGCCAGTCAGAAGCTGGCGTACATAGACAGTCGAGGAAATGCCATCATCAAAGTGGACAACACAACAAACGTGCCTTTGGGCCAGAACCGTAGCACAGTACGCAAATCACAAGAGGCGAGCACCGGGTACTTATTGAAGCTCAACAGGTTCGCATAACAAGTCAAGACACATATGATATCGGAAGCGTTTGGATAATCGACCTCAGTCACATACCGTTTGGATGCTCGGTATGTTATGAGGCTTAATTCACTTGCTGTTAGTATCTGAACTATTTACTTGAGGTATGGCCCGCATTTTGGACTTTTGGTGCGCGTGATGCTGTTGGTTTTGATCTCACCCACTAACGCGACTTTGTAGGGCCCAACTGGCCGGAGGATGGGGAAATAGATATCATCGAGGCCATCAATATGATGACCTATAACCAAATGAGTATCCATACCATGCCAGGATGCACTGATAATGGATCAGAATATCAACTTGGTATAAGCGGCCCAACGACCGACTGTTCTCAACCCCCTGGATGCACAGTGATGGAAACTTCTCCGAATAGTTATGCAGGCGATTTTGCGGCAGCTGGCGGGGGAGTTTGGGCAACGCAATTTGATGTATCGGGTATCTTGTACGTAGTTGCACGTGTTGCATCCTTACCATCCTTATGGCTAACAATCACTTGTAGTATCTGGTTCTGGAGTGTGCGGCGTACTCCTGTGTTTGATGAATCTTGTAATGTGCTGACATATTTTTCAGCGCCCCAACATACCTGCTTCCATCAATCAAGCTAATTCATCTTCGGTGGACGTCACTCAATGGGGAACTCCGCATGCCAGTTATTTTTCTAACACTTGCAACATTACCCAGTTCTACACCCCGCAGAACCTGGTTTTAGATATTACTCTTTGCGGAGTCTGGTGAGTCTTGCTATACCTCGTAGCGCATGACCTTCATAATCATGTTACATATAGGGCAGGTGTTGGATCAAACTATGCTTCGACGTGTGCCAACGCAGGTCCAACAGGTCAATGTGTGAGTGCTCATAGCTGAAAATGACATTTTTTTATCTCAAACGCTTGTCATACAGTACGAGGACTGCGTAGTCGGGCCTGGAAGTCCACGATATGATGATGCATATTTCAACATATCATATGTTCGTGCATATACCTCTGCTCTACCATCTGCCACTGCCACTGCAACGATGTCCACCTATCCTACAAGGGTAACGGCTACACGTCAAAGTGGGAAATCCACGCGAAACTACGATAACAATGGGTGGAGTGCGGTAGTGATGTTTCTCATTGCGGCCCCGATTGCCGTGATCGGTTCATGGCCACTCATGTTCAAAAAGCTGCATTACCGTGGCATGCCAGTGTAATCTGCATACTTTTTACTTTTACTCTTGACTGCTCAGGGATGACCGAGATAACTTATGACTGCATTTATATCTAGATTGCACGATGAACAAGGGACAGATTGATGTACTATTATTATGGACATGTGAACAACAGACTTTCTTTTATACCATGATCATGTGTGCAGATTCGGACACCGTCATGCTACGGCAATCTATAGCTTCAAGTTTTAAAGCTTCAAGTCCTATTGTTGACCTTCACATGTCCTTGAACAGTGGTACGATATTATTAATACCTTTTCTTTTGTGTGCCGGCAGTTGATGAGTTTGCCATGAGGATTAGATTCGCGCAAGAACGAATTTGGTTCCTAGATAACACATTTTTGGCGGTCTGGTTTTTTCTGGACCTGGTAGTTTGATCATTCTAGAAACCAAGATCAGACAAGTCAACGAGTAACCCCAGTCCTATCTCCCCCCGTTCTTCTTCTCCGAAGTGATCTTATTCTGGGCTCGATGTTCTTTTCGAACAACACGTTCCCGCACGTCAATTCGCGTGGAGTTTCAACGTACCTTTGATCAAAACTTCCGTACATCCCACTGATATCGCTCCTATTCACAATAACGATGTGAGTTCTTCTGCGATTTCCCCCCTTTTGTTACCATTGAAACCAAAAATTAGATATACGGCACACGGCATTGCTTCTCGGTTAGTGGTAGAAGTGCGGTGCCATGCAAGGCACGAGCGGCAGGAAGACGGACGGTTCAACGCGAGAGGGGCTGTCGCGGACAGTGCGGAGGGCGCACATGATGATGGGTCTCAACTCCTTGCTGTGCAAGGACGACCAACACAAACAACATCCTGCTACCGTCACTGAAATTTGAAACTTGAGGCTTTGAAGATCAATAAGACAGTGCGATAGTGGATATCATCTTGTTCGTCGTCGGCCCAGAGCGAATTGGCAATCTGGTGTTTCAAAAAGACCCCTTAAGCTTCTTCGCGTGCCTGTCAAACTATGCCAAGCCAACATCCCCCCTTCACGTATCCCAGCCACAAACTCTGGCAAACAAATGGCATCGCTCTGTTCGCTTCAAGCTTAAGTTCGCTTCCGCTTGCTATGTAATACCAGCCGTTTGTTCTTGTCGTCGTCTCCTCCATCAACTGGCCCATCCATCACCTCAACCGATGTGAGTCGTTAACTGTGCAACTGTTGCTGAAGATCATGCATGATGATCCTCACTGAGTTTCTTCTATGAATAGCTCGACTCCACTTTTTTGCCAAGCTTTTCCCTCGTCCACGATATCGATCATCATCAATACGCCACTTTCCTGTCGATCGCCGTGAGGCGCAATTGCAAGGCCAATTGGGCCAACATATATTAATAGTTGTGCGTTATCTCTAACTGCTCGATATTATCTGGGTGACACGCTATGGCAGATATCTAGATGCATCTTCAAAGTTCGATATTGCAGTGAGTAATGACTAGCTAACGACAGTTAGATCTGGGAAACTGGCTAGGTCCTTGGAGGGAATCAAATGACCCATCTCCTCAAAGCAGTCCGATTATGCAACTGCAACCCACGAGAGCACTCGTCAAGAAAGATTACCTATAGGGTCCATCAACTCGTGATCCTAAATAAAGTACGATACAACAGTACTACTATAAGTCCTCTTTGTATGTCATTGCATCACGGTCAAGGCTGGAGACGCGTGCATACTCGAGGAATAAACTTGAATCGACCGGTCAGGATGACTCCCTTCTGAAAAAGATGGATCCTACCGAAACGTGTATGCTGTCAGATCTTCCCGTCTCCAGTATCTTTGGCTCCATTCGCGCCCGGCCGTTGCTATTTTCTTCGCCAACTCGTCATGCGCACCTTCTCCTTGGGGTCCCCCACGGAAGAAAGTAAATGTATCATATAAATCGGACAAATCAACCTGTATGGGTACATAGTGCACCCAAGGCGCGACTCGATCCATAAACCTAAGAACACGACTTGTTTATTTCGCGCGAATCAAATGAAACGAGCACTCACCACTCAGGATATATCGTAGCTTTGAATGGAAGAGCGTTTGATGTGATGAGCCGCTTGAACCGCCCTGACCAGCCATGTCCATCGACCTGAAAGTGGCAAATAATTAAATGCCATCGTCGAATCGAATCTAAGACTAACATCAAAAACATATTTATAATGGCCAGCCTCTTGAAGGGTCTGCATTTTTCTCCAGTCATAAAGTCTATCCAGCTGATCACAGAGGTCTAATGCGCAGGAACCTGCCTTTCCGGCGAATTGAATGTCGATTAATGCAGGATTGAGGTATGCTTTGCGCATAGGTACGGGCTCTCCAACAGGCTCAGAGTCATTCAGAGGCGAACGAAGCACATCCGCTGTTCCTGCCATATCGTTGACAAACTGTATTAGATGGTCTCTGTGCCCTTGCCGCCACCTGGTATGGGTGCCATGAAATATGCCAGTATTAGTACCGCGCCAGAGTAATCTTTCGTCTATCCTATCTTCCCACGGCGGGTTGTCTGAGACAGGAAGGTCCTCGACCCAGCCATAAGGGACAGCCGGTCGAATATCATGATGAATCACTGTCGAACAGAGAGAAAAACGAGGAATGAGTGTGCTCCGGGGATCTGGCCCTTTGTCGTGCGACAGAAACTGGCCGTGGTTGTGGAGAAGAGAAGGATTCAGGCACGGGTCCATCGAGAGGCGATGGTCGGAGATGAAGGTTTTGTTAGGTGCGCGCTCAGGGGGGTTATCAAGATCAACGGGATGTTGCCACGCTGGAGATGATGCCTGGCAGGCAGAGAGCCATCCAGACCGCTGTGCCGGTGGTAATTCACCCTGTTTTAGAGCTTAACATCGTGTGAGCAAAACTTGTTGCAGCGCAACAATCAATCAAAAAGGACGTACTATGTCCAGCGGCAGCCGCTTCAAGCGCCATCGATTTGATACCATAATCTGATAGCATACTGGGATTGTCATGAGGCGAAAAAACGGCGCGGAAAGGAGGAAGAGCATCTTGTACATCCTGGAGGAGTTTTAGTACATTGTCAATGCGACCGATGAGCCTTTCGGTAGCATCTTGTGGCAAATGGTAGCCGACGATTTCGATGAAGGAGTTTTGATCTGTTTTTGCAAGAACAATAGTATTTTCTTGCGCCTCCAGTTGCTCTCTGTTCGTCTGGAAGTCCAGGGCGTCGATACCCCAGTAAGGTTCCAAATCTTGATATATCTCGTCGTATTCATCTGGAAGTTGGACGTTGTTTGCCACTACATAGTCCCACCTACAGGCCCAACGGGAATTTTTCTATGAAGTTCGTTTAAACCTGGTTTCCATGCTGACCACGTACCATTTCTCGAAGTGAATTGGAGGAGGCCTGTGATATCTTCGTTTATATTCTGCAACAGCTTCGGGAAGTGTTTTGCTTGCGCGCCCGAGCTTCTTTGACCAAGCCTCCTCCGCTCGTTCCATAAGCTCAAAAATCGGATGACGTCCATTTGGGTTGACAACGAGCAACCCGTCACTGCCGTAATAGTGATCACCGAGGGGAGGGGGCTGACGTTCCTCCTGCACTTGAACAGTGTCTACTATGTCATCAACCAAGTCTAGTTGATCATCCTCAAAATAATCGTGAGATATGGGAGGGAATGGAGACGTGGGAGAATCTGGGTCCAGTGTTGATATTACAAGTTCGATGCTGTTATTGGGTGGTACAAATACGATGTTGCGCAAGGTGATCCCTAGAACGCAGGAAACCACGACGATTGCAACGGACCTGTGAGAGACTCGACCCATAGGTGCCGGGGAATGGTAAGTGGGAGAGAGTTGCTCGCGGCCATTATAATGAATTTCATGACAAGTCAGGGAGGGTAGAAGCCTCGTCGGATCAGCACTCGGAGATGATATTCCTTTTTATGAAGTAGCTGGCACCCAAGTTTGGGTCGTATAAGTCTAAATTTATGTGTTTGGCTTATCAGGGTAATCAACGTATCAGGTACTCACTGAAAACCGGGAGAACCTTTGGAGAATCATTTTAGAACTTTGTACAAACGTTCACACAGGCATGGGAGGTATAAACAAACCAAAATACATTACCCCTACTATATTTATTGAATGCCGTGCAACCTTCTTCGAGAGAGTCCAGTGCTGGTCAGTCGAGGAGAGAAGCTGTCCGAATTGGAGAATGATTCTCAACCCCGAGGAAGCGAGTCTCCTGACTGAGATGAAACACAAGTCCCCTGGCTGTATGATGCCTTTCTATTTTTCAACACTCTTTCAATACACTCATTATCTTGTCACTCCTCGCTTTTATGGTTAGCTTTAATGCATATTTAGCCTATCTGTGACGTTAAGTACTAGTAGTTCTTCGCTGTCGTTTTGCCTCGCCATCTTGCTCAGATTATCCAGGGGGGACTTGCAAGTCCTTTGTTCCTGCTCCCAAGTATATATACATCATCCCCCCTTGCAAAACTCGGATGCTGACTAGGACTGGCCAGACAAGAGGCGCTGGGTAATGTGTTTTGGTTTGTTTACACACTTGGACCCACGGATAAGCATAAACCGTAAGCGCGTAAGCTCCCTGGTGTGAACATCCCCATCGGTGGTTACTGCGAGCTCCCAGGACGCTGACTCAGAACCAGATCAAGCAAAGTTCAAGTTTGTCCGAATGAGTACTATATATCATAGGTGAATTGAAGTTGAAGTTGAAGTTGAAAAGAAGTAGTGATCAGATGTATTAGCTGCAATAGTATTATATATCCACCCGTTTTGCTCGAGGAGCACGCGAAAGATACGTTGCATACCATCGTAAAAAAAGCTAGTCCTCCTCCATATAAACAAAGTTCTACCGCGTGATGTTAGCAGATATCACGCGCAACTGCGCTCATTCCGAAATGGCCTGATGCATCTTGTTTGACATGTTCCCAGACCAAAGCGATGAATTTTCTGAATCGTCGGACCTCTGCCCTCATTAGCAAATGATGCATCCACAACATCCCGATCCCACGGTATCGTCACCTTCGCGTACGATCTCCGCGTCGTTGCTTAGTGCTGTTCCCCTGCGAGAAAATGCATTGCTAAGGCGTCTCTTCTTCATAGTGTCGTCAACCGTCGAGATGTTAGAGGGGCGAATGGAAAGATGAACGATTGTAGGCAGGGAAGACGAATCTGACGGTGTAGAAGTTGGGAATGAAAGATCTTGTAATCATGCCATTCATCCATGTGAGCAAGACAAAACATTGCGGGCGACAAGTATACTCACGGGTAAGAGTATCCTCATCTTGCAGAATCTTGCCTAGGTAAAGAATTCGCAAATGCGATGGGGCTTGCGGACTTTCATCTTGCCAATCTGTGGATGAGACCTGTTATAACAACGAAATCCAGGACTAAATGAGTTAAAACCCTGACCTGCAGGCCATGCATTCCACACCAGCTCTTTGACCCTTCCAATTGTTATCGCTGGATCGAACGACATAGTCCGCCTTCGGCCAGAGACGAGAAGAAATGACAGGGACACTTGAGGTGTCTGAGGTACGATATTTTCTGGTGTAGTAGGTCCGTCTGTGGCAGACAGTGCAACTGCTTCAGTGTTGTTCACTGTAGTGTCTAGCGAGGCCTGTCCCAAGTTTGAGTTCGGAAGGGCAGGGTATGATCCAAAGGTCGGAATGCTGTCGACATCGACACGAGTAAACGATGTTCGGGCACTTGCGGAGTTGTATGGGCCTGCGGCAAATGTAGCACGTGGGAGCATACTTGAGGTGCCGTGAACAGTGAAAGGGCGTTCAGCAGGAAGTGGAACAGGAGGATAAGAAGTTCTACGACCTAATGAAGGGGAAGCACTTGCATGTGCTGTGGATGGACGCTCGCGAGCGTCTGGCTGCGGCAGGGATAATGGTGGATCATCTGATGAAGGTTGATTTTCCATAGCTTGTTCATGCGAGGCAGGGGTAGATGTATTCATCGCGCCTAGGTTTGAACGCAGGGGTCGGGATAAAAGACAAAAACCGACAACTGGGAGTTGAGACGTTCCTGAACAGGCGCGTTAGAAAGCAACTTCACAGCAAGCCTGCAGGTGTCAGGCTGCTGGGTCCACTGATCAGATGAAGCACAGAATGAAAGTGAAGGTGTGAATTTAAGCGCAGTCGGCCGTTCACACTAGGGGCGAGGGAAAAATCCGTGTTAAAAAGCCAACAAAAGATCGCTTGTTTCGATTTGATGGTGCGAATGCCCTGACCGGTTGACCACAGGATCTGATCACCGAGCACACGAGGCGGGCTGATCAAGCGACTATTATGACACTGGGGCTCGCAGGGATGGTCGAGGCTTTGTGTGAATGGGACAGAATCACTTGTGAGACGGTATGTTCACGATGGGAGGAATGATTAAATATGACGGTCGCCTGTGATTGATGATGGCTGGTGGAGTTATATTTATCAGACAAAGCCCCGCAATCCAAGAGGGAGGCGTACAAGTACCCACGTACTTAGCGGCGTGAGGCTGGGTGTATAGCAGTGCTATGTCGTCACGGATCTAACTTGCTGCTAAAACCGACAAAAGATACGCTGGTGAAAACAAGGTGAGGAAACGATGAATAGCCTATAAGACCACAAACATCCTACTCACTATAAAGGACTTTATATGAAGACACAGGGAGACCTGACACGGTAGCTTTGGAGAGGGAGCTATAACCGTTGTTAAGTTCTTCGAAAAGCGACAAGCGGAGTACGGCAAAAGCTTCCGGGACCACTGCCTTGCCAGTAAAACTTCAGGTCCAACGAAACTAGTGGTATCCTGAGAAAAATTGATACGATCGTCCAAGATGCTCCTCACTAGCTGCTACTGTTGACGAAGAAGAGAGAAAGGAGTATCTTTCATGGGATGAGACCACCATTCAGATTGTTTTCCAGTGTTTACTTGGGCTTTGCAAATTATGTTACGGGCCAAATTTGAATTTTAGGTGTACCTTGATACTCAGTTTTAATTACCATGATGACCAGAGGCACCGGAAGAGTTCAAGAGTTCTCATAACTCAATGTGCCTCCACAGACCTCTCAGCGACACATAAAGTCTACTTGTTCAGCAAAGGTAAGTCAGAGACCGATACCGATTTGTATTATTTTGACGAGCTAGGTGTTTCTAGAACAATCGTGTTACACTGGATCTGTGAGAAGACCTTCCTCGTTCCATTCTTGCCACTTACAGCATCTAGGCTCCTCAGCGCTGACGCCATCAAATTTCTTCTTCGTCTCCCTGAGGGGTTGAATTTTGTCCACTATGATGAATGTAATCATATTCAGGTACGCTCCTTCCGTTCAGTCGCTCAAACTTGAATTCAAACCCAACGAGAACTCTGCGTCGTCTCACTGGCATGATGCACTCTGGGATTACTGTGAGGCAGCTGGAGCTGATTTCTCTATAGTCCTCTCGGATACATACCTCGCTGAATGCTCGGGACGAAAGGTTTTCTCCATGGGGCTTTTAGGATCGGCGATCTTCCGCTTCGAGGGCTGGTTTGGACATGTGTCACAGTATGTCAGGTAATCCAATCGGGATCGTTATGTTAAACGCATATCGTTTCCGATATTAATAGGGTTCCTTCAGGCTGTGTTCCGCATTCATGTCAGTACGTTTGAATCATTGATTATCCAACAGAACGAAATTCGACACAGCACGGTCAGCTTCATGGAAGCATATTTTCGACCGGAAGAATGATTAATTTTGTGCATTGTACATCTACAGTAATGTGTTTTCGCGAGTTATGGCAAGCATCTTCCTGAGTCTTTCTAATGTGGCTAGTCCTTGTTGTCTTATGTATTGTGTAATTTTTCTGCCCTTAGTGAAATTGTAGCAGTGGTGAGTAGTGTATGGTCAATTTGTAACTGTCTGAGATCCATAGGGTAAATTGACAATATGCCTAGAGACCTTCAGATTCACCAGTGTGAATTGTCATAAATTGACATGTCTGTAAATTAAGATTGTGATACAGCTACCTTCATATTGATAGGCCAGAATCCATTTTTGTTCATTCACCATTTTTGTTTAGTTGTGGAGCTGGCCAAACAAAAGGGTCCTGCCTATTACAACTTCATCGGGGTGAGATGCCCCAGAATGGCACTGGACTGTGCAGCTTTCTCATTTGACACTGTCTTTGGACACCATTCATTCTCACTATGTTCTAGCAGCTATGAAGCAACAATGGGTCACTATGTCTGCCCAAATGTCATCCAAGTGTTGGGATCTGAAATGGCCGAACATGGAGAGGAATGAGCATAGGCAAGTGCAACCCAAGCAAGTTGAGCAAGCGATGCAAGTGATGTCAGCTGACATCTTTTTCTTTATATCACAATATACTCCTATGTTACTAAAATTTTCCATTCCTATGCTAGCTAGTATAAAGGCTCGAGTACAAAGGACATGACATCTCAGTTCTATCAAAGACACTGAGATGTATGTATATCTGACTCTACTTACTTTACGATGAGCTCACAAAAGACTTAGTATCATCCTCATTTAGGTACTTGTCACATAGTACAAGAGTTCTATCAAAGACACTGAGATTATCATCCTCGTTTAGCATCCCACGTGTCTCCCACTTGTCTCAACTCTCTATACCAAGGCCATGTAGAGTTCAAACGACAGCAGACGTGACAGAGGAGAGCTAGAATAGCAAAGTATCTAGGTCTCATTAGTTTTGTAAATGTTAGGTAGAACTATGTACTCACATCTCAGTCTCTTGAAAATGGACTGAGATGTTCCTATGAAATGTGAACTGCTTTAACTGCGGATGAAACAGGAATGAAAATTTAGCAATATATTGAAATGTACGAGCTGACGTCAAGCATTGCTCGCTCTGCTCTTTTGGTATGCGCTCAAACTGTCACCTCTCCTCATTGTTCCAATATCGGATCTCTCGGCCACCTACTCATCGGATCTCTTGGAGTCCAATACTCCCCCTCGAGCAGATTCCAAACTCATTAAGCCTTGAAGCCTTTGAAGGCGTGGACGCAGTAGGGCTTTAGTGAAGCCATCTGCAAGATTGTCGTCTGTTGGGCAATATGTCAAGTGAAGAGTGTTGTTGCGGATAAGGGCACAAATGAAGTGGTATTGAATTGAGATATGTTTCATATGGGATTGGAACTTGCCATTTGAGGCAAGCACTATTGCTGCCTGGCTGTCGCAATACATGGGAGTGGGGAGGCAGACATCAGCGTAGAGTTCCTGGGTAAGGTACTGGAGATATAGTATCTCCCATGCGACACTCGTCAGAGCGATATACTCAGCTTCTGTGGTGGATAAGGCTATCAGTGCCTGCTTGCAGGAGCTCCAAGCTACTGGTCCTCCATTCAGCATGATGACATACCCGGAGATTGAGTGCTGGTGCGACTGTGAAGCCCAATCTGCGTCGACAAACACCTCAAGGCCTCCATCGGTGGAACCGAGTGTAAGCTCAAAGTTTGAGGTGCCTTTTAAATAACGTAGCACCTGTTTTGCTGCCTCCCAGTGTGCTTTACCTGGATTCCACATAAATTGCGAGAGGGCGGCGATGGCAAACACAATATCTGGCCTGGTACTGATGGCTGCATACATCAATGAGCCAATGGCTCGCTGGTACAGGACGTCACTCATCGCCTGAAGTTCGGTGTGCATTGCAGGGCACTGGAGTCCATGGGCGTGCTTGCATTCTTAGTGTCTGAAAGATTGAAACATTCAAGGATGGTCTCGACATAAGCCTTTTGGGAGAGTGTGATAGTGCAGGCTACATGATCTCGAGTGACTTTGAGGCCCAATAGCCAGCTTAGTTCACCAAGGTCTGATATTTCGAAGTATTCCTGGAGCTGAGATTTGAAGTGTTGAATGTGAGAGATGTGATTCGCAGTCACTGCCATGTCGTCTACAGAGACAGTGATAACAACATGTTAGTCTGTCGTGCATTTGAAATACACAGCCTGATCCACTTGTGAGCGTGCAAAGCCTAACTTGGCAAATACACCAGCTAATTCTTCAGCCCATTCAAAACCGGCCTGCTTGAGACCCGGCAAGCTTCTCTTCAACTTTAGGACCTTCTTGCGCTCTCCCTCACTTAAGTACCCAGGTGGCAGCCTCATATATATGTCCTCCTGGACATCAGCATACAGGTATGCACTTTTCACATCTACTTGATGTATGTCCCAATCTAGGTGAGCTGCCATGGCCAGGACCATGCGAATCATAGTCATGTTGCAGGTGGGTGTGAAGGTGTTGAAATAGTCTACACCATAGCATTGACATTGGCCATTAGCCATGAGGCACGTGCCATGGAGTTTCAACTTCTTGCCATTGGGCCCTCATTTGGTGGCTAGAACATAGTGATATGGTATGATATTAGCGTCATGTGGTAAGTCCTGTAGGCTAGAGCAAGTCAGACTCAGCGAGAGTAGAACAACAAACACTATATTGTGTACCTAGAGCAAGTCAGACTAAGCTCTAGTAAGTACCAGTGTAAACGAGCTATAAGATGAATAATAACATACCTCAGCGAGAGTAGAACAAACACTGAGGGTAAACAACACAAGAGGACCGCTACTAATACCATACAGAGTTGTTAGGTAAGTGTAGCTGAGTGTTCGAAGGTGAATCACTATACAGTACCAGGAAGTAAGGAATGACAAGATAGGTAATGAGATGGTCAAAGGCCAATAAGTCCGTCACTTCCCAAGTTCACAACTTCTCCAGCTGACTAATCTCATAGTCTATTGCCTCTTGCCACTCTTC